AGATTTGCTTCCATCTTTAATGCTTATTTATGACTTATTCATGAGGACCGGAGTCTTAAGTCCCCTTTATTCAGGGCCATTGTAACTGCAAATTGTTGCTATAAAAATGGGGAGGAATATTGGGGGTCTGGGGTCTCCTTGCTATGCTTTGCACTCAGGAAGACCCCCCCACCCCACCCTCCCTCCCATCACTCCCCTTCCTGTAAGTCCTCATTTTATAACTGTCAGCTCCCGGGAAGGTGGGAGGGAGAGCTAAAATCCCAGAAGATGGAAGGGAAATTCAAAAGGATTTTGATGGATGAACGAAGCAGCGCTGAAAAGACAGGATGAAATATCGGAGAGATGAACGCAAAATGGGCTGGTTAGAGGGAGAAAGGAAAGCGTGGGAGGGTGCGAGGATGGGGGGATATCTGTTGTAGCAAAAGTACTTTTGTGAAGAAGGTAGAATTCTATAGCCGGAAGGTTCCCCACAGGTCATCTAGCCCAACCCGCAGCTTTTGGAACAACTAGTTGGTAGCCCAGGAGTCAAGTGAAATCTTGTTCTCTTCTCCTTTGCAAGAAAACCATCAAGGTTAGAGAGCGCCAAGTTCTCCTCCTCCTCCTCCTCCTCCTCCTCCTCCTCCTCCTCCTCCTCCTCCTCCTCCTCCTCCTCCTCCTCCTCCTCCTCTTCTACAACTCCCCACTCCCTTGTAACACCGATGATGTTACATAGCGGGTCACGAAACGTCTGCAAACAACCAAGCTCAAAGAGCACCAAAAGATTTTTTTTTTTCTTGTTTGCAACAGTTTTGGGATGACTGCAGGAATCCTTGTAAATGTGAGGGGTTGCGGGGTGTGTTTGTGGGTGTGTGTGTTACACCTTAGGGAATACTAGAGTTTTGTAGACCCGGGCAAAACTTGTGGAAATCAAGGACTGGTCCCCCCATTGTTATTATTTTTTTGGATCAGTGATAAAAGCCTGATCTTCCTTTCTGCCTGGCTAAAAGAAACCAAGGGATATTGTGTCTTCTGCTGGAGGTTTGAAATGCAGAATATCAATCTCCCTGGCACGATGGGGAATTCTCTCTGGTGGTGGAGGGGAATTTATTTTTATTTTTTTTTAGGGGAAAAACAAAAGTGCTTATTGAGGGCGAGTGAGGAAGTTGTGTTTTTCCTTCAAACAACTGGCTCCTTTGGTGTCAAAGCGTCTTTTGGATGCGACTGTTGTGGGAATTACGTCTCCCCCAACATAACAAGACCATCCAAATCACTAATTAAAAGAAAGAAGCTGAGGCAGACAGTTTGGGCAGGCGATTGCTAATTGTGGTGCTTGTTTTAATCACTAGAGGCAAGTCTGAATTATACATGAACGGCCTGCAAGCTCTCCGTCCTCTGGTTTCTATTCTTTGAGGGTCCGTGTGGTGCCCACTTTCCAAAATCGAAGGCCAGTTGATGGGTGCTTCTGGCTGGCCGATGTTTCCACTGTGGTTGATTTCTGGATTTTCCATCGCTGGATGGTTCTGCCCCAAAATCTGGAATTTTGATCTAGAGTCCCTAAGTTGGGGCTTCCATCTTGGAAGGTCATCCCTGGAAGAAGAGATTGGACAGACATTTGTCCGGGATGGTAGTAAGGTGTCCTGCCTTGACCAGGGGGTTGGACTAGAAGACCTCCAAGATCCCTTCCAGCCTTAGGATTCCATGATTCCATGAGATGATAGATAGATAGATAGATAGATAGATAGATAGATAGATAGATAGATAGATAGATAGATAGAGAAAGAGACTGATAGAGATGGATGGATGGATGGACAGACAGATAGATAACGGATAATAGATAATAGCAATAGATACATTGATAAATAGATAGAAAGATAGATGATATAGATAAACATAGATAGATGATAGAGATAAAAGATAGATAGATAGATTAGATAGATAGATAGATAGATAGATAGATAGATAGATAGATAGATAGATAGATAGATAGATAGATAGATAATACATGACAGACGAAAGAGAGATATGATAAATGGACAGATGGATGGATTGATGGACAGATGGATGAGTGGGTGGATGGATGGAACAGCTTACCTCCTGGAGTTGTGGGTGCTCCACCATCAGAGGTTTTCAAGGAAAGATTGGACATCCATTTGTCCCGGATGGTAGAGACAGGGGGTTGGGCTAGAAGACCTCCAAGGACTCTTCCAGCCTTAGTATTCTGTGATTCTAAGTTCTTGTAATTTGAGCATTTGATACTTAGAGATACGGTCAGAAGATAGTTGATACGCTGTTTATAAACCGACCTGGGTAAGAGTTGTGAGTTGGGACGCCTTAGTCATCTCTTTTCAAGGATACGTAGAGAGGGAGAGACAGATGTGGGCTTTTTGGCCCGACAGCTGTGAAGCCGATGGAGCCTCTGTCTTCCCAGGGAGTCAACCAAGGGCGTCACCTGCCAAGGAGCAGGTATCTCCGTCTCATAAAAGCTCATTGGGGTGAGGTTCTCGGTGGCCTTTTTGAAATAACGGTGTTCAAGGGCAGCATTAATTCACAATAATGGGCCGATAAATATGATACATCTCTAATAATCCCCATTAAAATAAAATGAAGACAAGCCAGCAAGGAGCTGGGATCTTCACCGTGCCTTCGGGACCTTTCAGAATGATTTCTCAGTGATGGGTTACTTCTTCTCCCTTCGGTCTCTCATCCCAACGCTGGGGTAATTTGCTTGTTTTATGGTCCAATTTTGAGACAATTCTCCCTTCAAAAGGGCTGGTGGGGGGGGTTAACTCTGGCCTTTGATGTGCGGGGCCCCCAGTCCAGATCTCCTAATCAGTTTATTTTCCCGAAATAGATTTCACTTGGCATCAATTATAGAAAACAAATAATCTAGGCGCAGTAATAACCCCGCCCGCTGTAAGAAATGTGTTAAACGCACACCATGCTGTCGCTCTTAACAACGTCGGTTCAATGGTGCCTCATTTTCAGGCCGCTGAAAATTTGAAAATGGGTCTAGATCACCCTGGAAGATCGGTTAAATATAGCCAGGTCTCCTAAGATCAACACTTCCGGTGAGCTTTGGATACCATGGTTTATCCAAAGGTTCCTTTGTAATCTTGTCCTTGAAGACAGGGCAAGTATCTCGTCCCAGTACATGTTCTGAGGTGTCTTCAAGGGATGGTGACCACCATCTTCTCTAGGAGAACGTGAGGGACATTTAATCTGAGTTATGGATCCTTCATGGAGATTGTTCTCCCCATCCAAAGCATGATGAATAAAATTTCTTTTGGCCCTGAATAACCTTCCAAAACTGGAGGTTTTCGAGAAGAGATTGGACAGCCGTTTGTCTCCTGCTTGAGCAGAGGGTTGGACTAGAAGACCTCCAAGGTCCCTTCTATAAACTCTGATCAACTGATCCATGGAACGGCTTCCCTCCAGAAGTGGTGGGTGCTCCATCCCTGGAGGCTTTTAACAAGAGACTGGACAACTGTTTGTCTGGAATGGTCTAGGGTTGCCTGCTTGAGCAGGGGGTTGGTCTAGAAGACCTCCAAGGTTCTTCCAACTCTGTTGTTCTGTTACTCTGACTTCGGAGGTCCACCTCTACTATGCCAGTTGAGAAGAAGACCCATCTCCAATCACTGCCAGTCTCGGTTTGAGGGTACAAAGCGGGCGTTAGGCTGCCCGTCTCCCCACTGGTAGCTTTGGCCCTTTGCCCTCGATCCGTCCCTTCCTTTGATTGTCCAGCCGATCTGAAGGACGAGCAATTAATTGCCTCAGAGCATCTATTCATTATTAAAAAATTCCTCGTTAGTGCAACTGCTTATTTGCTACCAGCATCCTTCCAGCCGGAACGGAGCAGCTCCCTTTTTTTTTGCCAAACAGCTCCAGTGCCAACGTTATCCGGGCCGTGGAAACAGCCTTAATGAAACATTAAGATTCTTAATTACACCATTATCCTGTTTATTTTTATAAATAATTCCACCGCAGTCGTTAAAATGGGTGAGTTTCGGAAGGGAATGACTTCCGGGAGAGAAATAAGAGGTTTTTGGCTGGCTGTTTTTGCTGCGGGATTCTTTTTTTCTGAAAAATATTCTTCCAAACTTTTTAGGAAGAACTCCCAAGTTGAAATGTTTCTTTTTTTTCCTTTTTTTACTGAAATAGTTTATTGCAGAAAAAAGCAGCTTAAGAGGTTATAGGAGTTACACAAACATTCAGGCTGAGCTGTCTGTGGTCCTGATAAATTGCTTGGGCAGATTCATTCCTTGCCTTTTTCATGCATATTTTTAAATGCAGTTTTTACTCAGGAGTAAATGCGGAAATTCACCTCTTTATCCCGCTTGAAATTTTATCCATCTCATCCAGGCCTCTCTTAGCAACTAAAAGATCACCTGTATTTTCAAGCACATCTTGAAAGTCGCCCCAAAGCTGTTTCCATGTGAGATGGGTGGCAAATAAATTTAATAAATAAATCTTCCAAGGCTTGAGGACTAGAAACTTGCAGTGCCTCTTGTATCTGAAAAGCTCACATTCTCAGAAATGCAGCCTGGCTCTTTTTTTTTTTTTCCTCCAGGATTTTTTTCAAATCGGATCCATCCGTGGATATTTGCTTCTTTTAAATATTCAAAAGAGTTAGTCTGCCTGGATTGCATTTATGTCAAGGGAACCTATCATAATTTCAATATTATTATTTGCAATTCAGACAGGTATTGTCAAAATGTTATCGTTGTTCTGTCTGCTGCTTAAAGGAGTCCAGGAATTTCTTTTTGGAAGAAATCCTGCCTGCTTTTAAGGTCATCTGTCAATCTCAATCTCAAATATTTGGGCTGAATCACCCGGCTTCATTATAATAATAATAGTAATTATTATAATAGCAATGGTCGTTCAACGGGGCACAATTCCCTTTACAGAAATTTCGGGCTCCGTTGCGGTCGTAAATTGGGGACTGCCTCTCTCTTGCACCCAAGGGCCTTTCTCTTTGTAGGCAAGGGGTGTGGTGACAACCTTTGTGCTTCTGCTCCCTCTAGAATCCAGATATCGTGCTGGTGCACTACCTGAATGTCCCCGCCATCGAAGACTGCGGGAAGCCGTGTGGTCCCATCCTCTGCTCCATCAACACGGACAAGAAGGAGTGGGCGAAATGGACCAAGGAAGAGCTGATTGGCCAACTGAAGCCCATGTGTGAGTACCACAACGGAGGGTGGTTGGGTGGGAGGAAGGCTGGTCACGCAAGAGGGTGGAAGGAAGTTCTTGAAGGCATCTAGGTATACTTGCTCAAAACTCTTCCCTTTGCCCTGGAGCATTTTTTTTTAACCCTGAGAGGTACAATGGATCCTTCTACACAACGAGATTGTGTGTGTGTGTGTGTGTGTGTGTGTGTGTGTGTGTCTTTGCAATGCGCAGCTAGACAGCAAGCAGCCCTGATTGACCATGTAGGCTGTTGGCCATCAAATCATATCCAATTGGCTGCTTTGAGGTCTTCAAAACAGGGAAGCAACCTAGAACTAAAGGAGAAATTTCCTGACAGTGAGAACAATTAACCAGTGGAACTGCTTGCCTCCAGAGGTTGTGGGTGCTCCATCACTGGAGGCTTTTAAGAAGAGATTGGACAGTTGTTTATCTGGAATAGTCTAGGGTCTCCTGCAGGGGGCTGGACTAGAAGACCTCCAAGGTCCCTTCCAGCTCTATTCTCATTGATTGATTGATTGATTGATCGATTGAAATGGTCTAGGGTCTCCTGCTTGAGCAGGGGGCTGGACTAGAAGACCTCCAAGGTCCCATCCAGCTCTATTCTCATTGATTGATTGAAATGATCTAGGATCTCCTGCTTGAGCTGGGGGCTGGACTAGAAGACCTCCGAGGTCCCTTCCAATTTCTTTATTCCGTATTCTGATTCCAACTGGCTGAGACGCATTTGCCCCCCCCCTAAAAACAAGCAATTCCTGATTTTTATTTTTTATTTTTGCAAGCATTTCTAACCCCACAAGGGAGGTCCCCTGAACCAGAACCAAAGGGTCAATCCGTTTCCCCCCTTCCTCAAAAACAAAACAAAACAGGAAACGTCCCTGGGACTTTGGAGATAAGATTGACATCTGTCCAAGCTGAGCTTTGCTGCTGCTGCTGCAGGGGAAGGTAACAGGATTTGCAGATCTGCAGTGCGTCAGGAGGAAGAGAGAGAGAAAAAAAACCGAGGCTCCGATGACACCCAACTGGCTGTAAATCTCTTTTATGTTTTGTGACGGAGGCAATTGGGGGGGGGGGAAATACAGAGTCCTGCCCAATTATTCTGCATTTGCACGTTTCAGCCTCGCCCCCCCCCCCAAGAGAGACGTCTCCCCCTTTCTCTGGCCCAGGCCGGGATGGAGAAATAGAAGGCGGGGGGGGGGGGAAAGCAAGGATGGAGCACCAGGGACGGCTTTCCATTTATTCCTTTTTATCTTTATCTATTTTTATTCCTGCATTGGATGTTTTTATTCATTTATTTTTATTTGCAGTTGTTAAGGGAATCGCTGCAGCTGCTAAGTTAGTCAGACCGTCGTTAAGTGAAGCCGGCTTTCCCCCCCCCCGACTTTGCTCGTCAAAAGGTTGCAAAAGGGGATCCCATGACTCAGGATGGTTGAAGGATCCCCAGGGTCCAGGGGATCTAAAGGATAGAATGAAGAAGGGTTGCAGGGATCCTTCCCTCCCTCCTCTCCTCTCCTCTCCTCTCCTCTCCTCTTTTCCTTCCTTCCTTCCTTCCTTCCTTCCTTCCTTCCTTCCTTCCTTCCTTCCTTCCTTCCTTCCTTCCTGTCTGAAATATTATAAGGCCTCTTGCCTGAGCAGGGGGGTCAGACTAGAAGACCTCCGGGGTCCCTTCCAGCTCTGTCATTCTTCCCAAAGGCCCTCCCTTCTTCCTTTCTCCTCCGTTCCACAATCGGGCCAAGCTGCGGAGTGAGTGAGTGTCGGGGAACTCACAGCGGGGAAGCCGAACCCTCCAAAGCAATTCCGGAGCCCATAATCCTGGGGTGACGCCAGAATATGGAAAGGAGGCGAGTGACCCCCCCCTCCCAACAAGTCAGCCCTCTTTTGCTTCCTACGTTTCGCCATTCGGTTAGCACCATCCTGTGGCCAGAGAGGACATTTTTCTATAGGTTTCCTTCCTATAGTGGAGGGCTGGGAAGGGCGAGAGAGGGAAGGGCTGTCCGGAGCATCCCATCTCCTGGGGGGGGGGAGTCCCTGGTCCAGGCCGCTGGTCCGCCCAAGGAAGACCTCTGCCCAAATCTTCGCTCGACAGGGCGTCAAATTCTAACTTAGATAGGAAAGCCCACCTGGAGATGGTGACTTCTAGTCCCGCCTGTTGAGGGTCCAAATCCCACGGGGTCAGTCTAGCTGCCTCTCGGGTACCCTTGACCTGGTTTAAAATTTTTTCCAGACTTTACAAACCAACGGGGTGGTGGGGGTGGGGTTTTTCTTTCATTAGCCTTCCTCTTCCTCCCCCTTCCCAGCACCTGGGGACCCCCTCCCTTCCTGATGATTGATTCCACGTCAAACCGCCGAGGGTGATACGTTCAAAAGCATCCGGATCTCGTTTTAGATGTTCAGCAGGAGCCATTTATGGGCTCAAAGGAGGTTCTTAACATCCCCCCCTTTCTCTGGAGCTGGAGGGATGGGGGGGCGCAGAAGGGAAGGGAGACAATCTGCATATCGGATGAGCCAAGACATTTGGTAATTTGCATGAAGCATCCCCAATTTCTCTCCTTTGCAATCTGTCACCCATCAGTAGTTTTTCGTTTTATAACCTTCAGGGACGAAATGGGAGCCTCGGCTTTTGCAGCGGGAAAGGGGGGGGGGGAGAGGATTTGCAGGAAAAAAAGGAGGGGGGAATTTTGCCCCCCCCCCGAGATCCACCATACTGTTTTCTCCAGGATGGTATGATACGAGGATCTTTTGCTCATGAGACGCCGCTCTCTTTCTCTTTCAACCAACCTTGCAAGCTTTGGCTGGGATACGGAATACAGGATAACAGCCTTGGAAGGGACCTCGGAGGTCTTCTAGTCTAGCCCAACCCCCTGCTCAAGCAGGAGACCCTAGACCATTTTAGACAAATGGTTGTCCAGTCCCTTCTTAAAAAAACCCCAGTGATGGAGCACCCACAACTTCCAAAGGCAAGCCCTTCCAGTGATTAATTGTTCTCATTGTCAGGGAAATCCTCCTTAATTCCAGGGTTGCTTCTCTCCTTGATTAGTTTCTATCCGTCACTTCTTGTCCTGCCTTCAGGGGCTTTGGAGAACAAGTTGACCCCCCCTCTTCTTTCAGGCAGCCCCTCAAATATTGTAAGATGGCCATCATTAAACTAGCCATCCCCAATTCCATTTCCAATTCCAATATCAAAAGGATTGTGTTACCGTCAGGGAATTCTGGGTGTGGAAGCCCACATGTCTTAAAAGTTGCCACGGATGAGAAAACATTGCATTAGATGGATCTAGCAAGCTCTGAAACCTCTCCTGGCTGGCTCTAGTACCGGTGCCAAGCTTGATTGGTGTCCCAAAGGTGGTTTTTTTTTTTTTTTCAAGAGGCAACTGCACTTCCTTGTTTTTCCTTGAAGACGTTTCGCTTCTCCTCCAAGAAGCTTCTTCAGCTCTGACCGGAGGGTGGTGAATGGAAGGATTTATACTCCTTGCAGACAGCCAGTCATTTGCATCCTTTTAGAGAGCCGTTGAGGCCACCTGTAGGTTTATCTGTGTCTTCGGGGTCACCTGATTGGTGCGAATGGGTGGGGAGCCTTCTTCCTTTCAGCAGTTCCAACAAAGCTCCACGCCCATTTGCACCACTCAGGTGTCCCTGAGGACACAGAGAAGCCTCCAAGTGGCCTCAAGGGCTCTCTAAAAGGATGCAAATGACCAGCTGTCTGCAAGGAGTATAAATCTTTCCATTCCCCACCGTCCCGTCAGAGCTGAAGAAGCTTCTTGGAGGAGAAGAGAAACATCTTCAAAGAAAAAACAAAATATAGTTGCCTCCTGAAAAATCATCTTTGGGACAACCAGGACCTGGAGAATCTCCACGGACGTTAAGCTTGATTGGTGTTGCGGGGCTCCAGACCTTCTGGAGATCCTGTGCACCAAGGCCTCTGGTCCAGCTCCAGGCCCCTGGTTGCCATGGCGTCTTCTTCTCACCGGCTCTTCTGCTGTTCTGTCCACAGTTCATGGCATCAAATGGACATGCAGCAATGGGAACAGCAGCTCCGGCTTTTCAGTCGAACAGCTGGTGCAACAGATCCTGGACAGCCACCAAACGAAGCCGCAACCTCGGACGCACAATTGCCTCTGCACCGGCAACCTGGGTGAGCAGCAGAAGCTGGCCGGTCCAGTTGGAGACCCCCAAACCCAAGAATTTGGTTAACTGAGTTCATCGTGTTCAAACTACAGGTGGTCCTCGACATATAAACATCCGTTTAGTGACTGAAGTTAGGACGGCAGTGAAAAAGAGGGCCTTCTGACCGTTTTTCACACTTAACAACGGTCAGATGATCATACCAAGGTCACCTGATCACCGTTCCCAGCTGGCTTCCAACAAAAACAGCCATGGGGGGGGGGAAGCAGACCCGCTTAATGACTATGTGATTCACTTAACAACTGCAGTGGTTCGCTTAAGGACCGTGGCCAAGATCATAAAATCGGGTGCAACGCAATCGCTGCCTCGCTTAGCAATGCAAATTCGTACTGTGGTCGTAAGTCGGGGGTTACCTGTAATGTGAATACATGAAGAACCAGGCCAGGAATTGTAGGATTCACAGCATTAACGGATATTTAGGTAGAGTTAGACTGCTCAGAAAGAGAACGATTCTTCCTCTAACCCAAATTCCATTTCAAGTAGTCCTTTCATTTAGTGACCGTTCGAAGTTACAATGGCAGTGAAAACAGTGACTTAGCATCGTTTTTCACACTTATGACCGTTTCAGCATCCCCAGGGTCACAGGATTAAAATTCCGTCCCTTGGCAACTGGCTCATGTTTATGACGGTCACAGAGTCCCATGGGGTCAAATTTCCGTGGCTAAGTGAGACATTTCTTAAGGGAGCTTTGCCCCCTCTTCCTTGCCACCGTTGTTAAGTGAATCACTGCAGTTGTTAAGTTAGTCACACGATCGTTAAGTGGATCCGGCCTCCTTGCTGACTTTACTGGTCAGAAGAGGATCACGTGAACCTGGGGACACTGCAACTGTTGTAAATATGAGCCAGTGGCCAAACATCTGGGTTGCCGCAACGGTTTTAAATGTGGAGAGCGGGTCCTAAGTTCCTTTTTTCAGCGCTGCTATAACTTCGAACGGTCACTAACGAATCGGTCGTAGGTCGAAGACTTTCTATAGTGGAGCTGCAATGGTTCACCTCTCCCTTTGTTTTTCCCTTGGTGCAGGGGCCGGGAGCAGCGTGCATCATAAGTGCAACAGTGCCAAACACCGCATCATCTCCCCCAAGGTCGAGCCGCGGTCAGGGGGCTACAGTGCCCACTCGGAGGTGCAGAACAATGACGTCTCGGAGGGCAAGAACGAGCACAGCCACAGCAAATCCTGCAACCGGGAGAAAAGGAACGGCAAAGTGGCCAAACCAGCCCTCCTGCACCAGAACAGCACCGAAGTCTCCTCTACCAATCAAGTGGAAGTTCCAGACACGACCCAAAACTCTCCGGTCAGCATCAGTAGCGGGTTGAATAGCGACCCAGACGTAGCAGACAGTCCAGCGGTCACAGGCGTCTCCAGCATGGCGGTGGCTTCGGTGATGGGCAACTTGTCCCAAAACACCACCGTTTTCATGTCCGACATTAGCAGCGAGGCCGTCTACACAATGTCCCCCACCGCTGGGCCGAATCAACACCTTCTCTCCTCCGACGCGGCCGCCCAAGGGCTGGTGCTGGCGGTCAGTTCCGACGGCCACAAGTTCGCCTTCCCCACCGCCAGTAGCTCCGACGGCCTCTCCATGTTGCCCGCCAGCGTCTCCGAAGAACTCGTGCTGTCCACCACGCTCGAGACCAACAGGAAGATGCCAGAAACCACCATGAACTTTGACCCGGATTGCTTCCTGAACAACCCCAAGCAAGGGCAGACGTACGGAGGAGGAGGACCCAAAGGAGAAGGTCTCAGCGGCAACATTCGACAATCGCCCACCTCGGATCGGGGCTTCAATTTCAACGCAGCCCTCACCAAGGAGATCAAGACAGAAGACACCTCCTTCGAGCAGCAGATGTCCAAAGAAGCTTTCTCCTCTTCTTCATCGTCCAACTCGCTGACCCTGAGCACAGCCTCCAGCCTCCTTCCCTCGGGCGGAGGACTCAGCCCCAGCACCACCCTGGAACAAATGGACTTTAGCGCCATCGATTCCAACAAGGATTACTCGTCGGGGTTTAACCAAGCGGTGCAGAGTCCACATGTCCACCAAACGCCTTCCCCGAGCTTCTTCCTTCAAGATAGCAAAGCGCTCCCTCTGGAGCAAAACGCCCACAGTAGCCTGAGCGACGCGAGCAGCTCTTTCGTCACCCCTCTGGCCCTCCCCAGTGTCAAGACAGAGGCCTCCTCCCAGAACACCTCCAACTGCAACGGCACAGTGGAGGCCCGGATTGAGTCCACCTCTTCGCTCCAACTCATGCAGTTCCAGGCCAACTTCCCGTCCATCACGACCGAAGGGGAGGTCCCGATGGAGACCTCGCCGCAGGCGGAAGGGAACGAGAATCTGCTCAAATCAGGGGAGCTCCAGTCCTGCGGGGCCGAGCACTACATGCAGCCCGAGGCCAACAGTAGCTTGAGGAACGGGGGCAACCTCCCCATCCTCCAGGGGAACATGGTGCAGGGTCTCTACCCCGTGGCCCACCCGAGCTTGAACAACTCGTCCAACATGGAGCTCAGCTTGGACCACTTCGATATCTCCTTCAGCAATCAGTTTTCTGACCTGATCAACGATTTCATTTCGGTGGAAGGGGGCGGCAACGCCCTGTACGGGCACCAGCTGGTCTCTGGGGAGAACGCCGGGCTGCCCCAGACCGAGGAGGGCAGCCGGGCAACCTATGGCCAGGCCGAGATGTGCATTCCTTGCTGCAGCCCGCAGCAAGCGAACCTGAATCTCGGTAGCACGGAGAACGGGGCCAGCCCGATGACCTACATGCACGTCACCGAGGTGGTCTCGGCAGCGGCCGCTGCAGCCCAAGGCACCCTGGGCATGCTCCAGCAGAGCGGCCGGCTCTTCATGGTGACCGATTACTCCCCCGAGTGGTCGTATCCTGAGGTCAGCTCAAGAGTAACTTTTGCAGGAACCCCTGATAGAACCGGGGATGGTTGTGGGGTAGGGTTTGGATCCAACACACATCGTAGTCATTTCTGCAAGCAGCTCAGAACCCAGTCAGGGGGTGGGAAAGGATCAGGTTGTTTTAAAACCCACCGTAGCCTTTAATCCATTCCCCAGCCCGCCCTGCTAGGGTAGAAAAGAGGTGCATTTCCCAGCAGCCTCAGTTAACAGGCTAATGGTGAAGGAGGTTGGGAGATGTAGTTCAGTAGATCCCTGCCTTCGTTTAGGACAAGTTAATCTTGGTAATTTTAAGATGTGTGGACGTCGTGCTGGCTGGGGAATTTTGGGAGTTGCAGTCTACACAATCAGCCTGAGGAATTCTGGGAGTCAAAAGTCCTCCCAATTTGCCTGAGGAAATCTGGGAGATGAAGTCTACACGTCCTGACCAAAGAATTTTCAGAATGGTAGTCCGCACAGGCTGAGTGGAGAATTCTGGGAGTTGAAGTCCTCATGTGCTGGCTATGGAATTCTGGGAGTTGAAGTCCACCCATGCTGTCTCAAGAATTTGGGGGGGGGGAGGCAGTCTACTTATCTTGACCAGAGAATTCTGGGAGTTGTAGTCCACACAAGCTAGCCGGCCACTGACCCCTCTCTTTTACTCCCTCTGCAGGGCGGTGTGAAGGTCTTGATCACCGGATCCTGGCAAGAAGCCAGCAATAACTACAGCTGCCTCTTTGACCAGATCTCCGTGCCGGCCTCGTTGATTCAGCCAGGGGTGCTGCGTTGCTATTGCCCAGGTGAGGGTTTCCAACAAGACAGGGGTTGGGGGGGGGTCAACAGAAAAGAGACTCAAAGACGTAGGGAAGTCACTTTTGGTCACCGTAATATAAAAAAAGAGGTTGAGACTTCGGAAAAAGTGCAGAGAAGAGCAACTAGGACGATTGAAGGCCTGGAGGCTAAAACATACAAAGAACGGCTGCAGGAATTGGGAATGTCTAGTTTAGGAGTCTTCAAACTTGGCCCTTTTATGACTTGTGAACTTCAACTCCCAGAAGTCCCCAGCCAGCCATGCTGGTTGAGGAATTCTGGGAGTTGAAGTCCACAAGTCATAAAAGGGCCAAGTTTGAAGACCCCTGGTCTAGTTTCATGAAAAGAAGGACCAGGGTTGACACTATAGCAGCCTTCCAATATTTAAGGGGCTGCCCCAGAGAAAAGAGGGTCAATTCTCCAAAGCACCAGAAGGTAGGACAAGAAGTAGCAGAGAGAAACTTATCAAGGAGAGAAGCAACCTGGAATTAAGGAGGAATTTCCTAACAGTGAGAAGAACAACCGATCCAGCTAGTAGCTGTGGGTCACAAAAGCCGTAGTCCTCTCTGTTGCTGAATAGAGAGACTCACATCCCTTTTGTCGTTTCAGCTCACGACACGGGCCTCGTCACTCTGCAGGTGGCTTTCAACAACCAGATCATTTCCAATTCGGTGGTTTTCGAATACAAGGCCCGGGCATTGCCAACCCTTCCTTCTTCTCAACATGACTGGCTCTCCCTGGATGGTGAGCAATGCAAGACACAGGCAGGACTTGGGAGTGGGGGGCGGGTGGGTGGGGGGTTAAGCGATGGGGCGGAGCTAAGGGATGGCATTCTGCACCCAACGCTGCCTAAATCCCTGTTTTTCTCAACTTTAGGATGGGCAGTTTCAGGATGGGTGGGTAACTTTAAGATGGGTGGACTTCAGCCCCCAGAATTCCCCAGCACCTGTGCTGGCTGGGAAATTCTGGGAGTTGAAGTCCACTCATCGTAAAGCTACTCAAGTTGAGAGAAATTGACTTAAAATAACCCTGAAACCATCACTTTTCCTTTTCTTTGCACCCTAAGCCATCAGGTGTAAGGGGGGGGGGATGCTCTCAAACACACAGTTTGAGAATCTGGAACGGGACTCTGTGGCATTTGGAGGCTTGCTCTCCTGCTCGGCTGAGCAACTGGGGTGTAGCTGGGGTGCCCGTAGGGGTGTGGCACACGGGGAAGGCAAAATGGGTAATTCCTGCCACGCTGCTGATTTGTTTTATGGGATGGGAGCTCTGCTCCTTTCATCCTATTTCTTGGGTGCTCTTGCAAAGTCAGATGTTTGGAAAATCAGACATTTTTGTAGCTTACGCTACACGTTTGGGGGGGGGTGTTTGCGCTTCCAAATGTTGGGGCACCCTCTGCTCACCCTCCTCGGCAGCGCCTGTTGTAAATATATAAAAGTATACAGTGTTTACAGATCCAGCCTGGAGCGAAGGAGGAATTATTTCCTGACAGGGAGAACAATCGGTGGTGGAAGGGCTTTGCCTCCAGTAGTTGGGGTTGGGAGGACGAGGAGGAGGAGGAGGAGGAGGAGGAGAGGACGAGAAAGAAGAATAGAGGAAGAGGAGGTGGCAGAGAAGAAGAGGGGGAGAAAAAAGAGGGAAGAGAGAGGGAGGAGGACAAGGAGGAAGAGGGGAAGAGGAAGAAGACGAAGAGGAGGAGGCGAGCAGGAATGGGAGGAAGAGAAAGAGGAGAAGAAAGAAGAGAGGAAGAGGAGGAGAGGCAGAGGAGGAAGAAGAGGAGCAAGGGAAGGAGAGGAGGAGGAGGAAGGAGCAGGGACGTCGCCGCGCAGCAGCCACCCAAAGCGCTCCGGCGACGCGGAGAAGCGCAGCTCGGCTCCCGCGCGCTTTGCCTGCCTTCCTCCCTCCCGGCTGGCGGCGGCGGCAGCGGCTGCCCGGTCTACCCACCGGCCGGCTTTAGCGCTCCTTCCCGGCGCAGCCCGCCCAGCCCGGCCCTCCGCGCAGCGCCCGGCTCCTCCGCCGTAATGCGGAGCCCGCGGCTGCATTGCGGGCGGCGGGGGCGGGACCGCTGCGGAGCCTCCGCCCGGCCGGGGGTCCCGCGGCTCCCGCCTCCCCTCCGGCCGAGCTCCGGCGGTCCCTGCCAGCCGCTCTCCCGGCGCGATCGCGGCTCCTCGCCGGGCGCTCCCCCTGCTCCGGAGCGGGCTGATGTCACTTTCCACGCCGCGGATTGGCCGTCCGCGCCCAGGCGGGGCTGCCGTCGCTGCCGCTGCGGCTGCGGCGGCGGCGGCGGCTGCCGGATCGGCGCTGCCCATCGCGGAGCTGCGCTGGCGGGGAAGCGGGGGGCGCTGGCGGGCTGCCCGTCGGGGGGCGACGAGAAGGGCATGGGCACCTCGCCTCCGCTGCGCCCGGCCCCGCGGTAAGCTCCCTGCGCTCGTGGGGAGGGCGAGGAGGGGGGACACGGGACCCTGAGCCGTCGACGCGGGTGGGAGTGGGCTGTGGCTCCTGGCCCCTCCGGGAGGCTGGTGGCCTCCGTGGGAGAGCCGGACGGGAGGACTTGGGGACCTGCGCTTGGCCACTGTTCAGGGAGTGGTCGAAGAGAAGTTTGGGGGGGTGGGCAGGTCGTCCCTATTGCTCCGTTCCCCCCCCCATCTCAAGGCGAGGGATCCCCCCTAGGTGGAGTTTTGGGGTGTCCCTCGTACCTCCCGACCGTGGGAATATCCGCGTGGGAATATCCGACCGTGGGAATATCCGAAGCGCCTGAAAAGGAGAGCAACCCGGGAGGGGGAAGGCTGTTCCAATAGCTCCCTTCCCTCCCGCTACAGACTCGCCTGGCACTGGGGGGGGCAGCGAGGCACATCATCTACCCACCCACCCCAAACAGAGGCATGGTTGTGCTGGAAGCTTTGGAAGAAGTTCGGAAATGTTAAAAACTCAGAGCTTCCCCACCCCTCCCCTCTTAGCCGCTGTTTTAGGGGAGGGTCTCACACATACACACAGTATAAAGCCCCAACACCTGGAAAAGACATTTGCAAACTGACTTGATGTTTTCAAAACTGTTGGGGCTCCATCTGATGAATGCGCCGATTTACAAATTTATAGTTTGTCGCTGCCCACAGTGGCTTGATAAATACAGATTTAATAAACAATAGGTTTAGGTATATTTAGTGTCTGTGTAAAGGGGATATTAAGAATGGGAAGCGAAAAGGAGAATTCCTGGTAGGGGCAAAATACCTGTTGATTATTAGTCCTTACAGCCACGATTGAGTGCAAGGCAATTGTTAATGTTGTCCCCGTCTTACAACTTTTTTCCCACAGTTGCTAAGCAAATCACTGCAGTTGTTAAGTGAATATGTGGTCATGAAGCAAATCTGCCTTCCCCGTTGACTTGGCCTATCAGAAAGTCGCAAAAGGGATCACATGAATGCTACGAGTTTCTATGAATGTCGGAAACAAGTATAATATCTGATGGACCTTATCCAGATTGGTAGACTGAGGAAATGCTCTAGCTGTAGTTTATTTTTTTTTTAAATTATATTTATCCTTACAGACCAGATGCAGAAATCTGGGCTAGAACTGTACTGCAGTCTAGTAAAGTTTGAAACTCTCTTTACAACCACACAAATGTGGTAAATCAAGGATTACCTGTTGTTGTTTGCAATCGGTCTATATGAGCTGACCGTCCTTTCCACCCCTGTCCTAAGCCAAGCATCCAAGGTGTGGGTTTGGCCACCCCAATGCCTCTCTTCCCGGGGGGCCCCTGACCCTCTCTTCCCCCTCTGTGGCTGCAGATAACCAGTTCAGGATGTCTATTCTGGAACGACTTGAACAGATGGAGAGAAGGATGGCGGAGATGACCGCATCCCAGCAGCACAAGCCAAGCGGGGGCAACAGCGGCGCCAACGGAGGTAGCCAAGCACAGGTAAGGGCCAAAATTTTGCACATCAGGGTGTGGGTCTCTTCTCACCCCAGTGAGTGAAGAAAGAGCTATCCGAGGGGTCTTCTGGATGCTGTCTCCCTGTTTTCAGGACCGAAGGGGCGCTCCTGTCTTGTATTCCTTCAGACATCCCTTTCTGACTATTTACTTCAAGAGAGGGACCACACTAGTAGCAATAGTGGAGGATATTTGTTTTTTATACGTATATATTGACAGTTTCATTTTGACGTTATGAGCCACCCAGTGTCGCCTCGCAGCAGCAAACAAATTTAATAAATAATAAAGCAAAAAGGCCAGTTATTCCACAACAGAACAACACACGCATTTTTTTCGACATGTTTAAAAATGTCCCGCTCTGAAAGAAGGCCGAGAGGGGAATTGTCGGAATTAATTGTTGGAATGTATTTTTATGTAACAACTACAGTAGCATTCAGCCATATATATATATATATATATATATAGATATATATATATATAATATATTATATATATATATAATATATATATATATATATATATATATATATATTTATACTGGTGTGTGTGTGTGTGTGTGTGTGTGTGTGTGTGTGTGTGTGTGTGTATATATATATATATATCAGTGGTTCTCAACCTTTTTAATGCCGCGACCCCCAACCGGTCGTAAGTCGAGGACTACTCAACTGGTACAGCACCGTTTGCAGAAAGGGACTTTTGGCGGGCTCAGAAGGGCAGAGACAGCCTGGACAATTCCTATGGGCTTTGGAAAGCCAATAGAATTAGACTCTATTCAAGAGAGTCTATTCTATTGGCTTTCAAAAGCCAATAGAATAAAAGGGAGGAGCACAGCTAAGGAAAAGGGGGAAAAAAATGGCGGACTCCGTTGTTTGGCGACCCCCGTGAAACGGTCGTTCGACCCCAAATGGCGTCCCGACCCACAGGTTGAGAACCACTGATATATATTGATTTATACTGGTCCTTTCTGGTCTTTGTTGGTTGCAAAAGTTGTCCCCCACAAGGGGACGATGGAGGATCTTCTCCAGATGCCATCACCACCATCAGCATAACATATTTAACCTTCCTTCTGGACCCTTCCCCGCACACCCATGCCTTCCACATCCGTATGTGCCCCCTCCAGCTGGCCGTCCTCACTCCGGTCTCTCCCTTGCAGTGCATCTCCGAGGCCGCCAGCTTGGGCACCTGCTTTGAGAGCCGGGTTGTGGTGGTGTGCGAGAAGATGATGAGCCGAGCTTGCTGGGCCAAATCCAAGCACTTGATCCACTCCAAGACTTTCCGGGGAATGACTCTCTTGCACCTCGCGGCTGCCCAGGGCTACGCTACCCTCATCCAGACGCTCCTCAAATGGCGGTAAGAGTCGGGAGGTGGAGACGTGGGTTTTGGGCCTGCTCACCCAAGGAGAGGAGTTGTGTTGTGTTTCTGGGCATCATCCCAGCAAGATGAGACTTTGCAGTTGGTTCTCTACCAAAGCTGGCCCAGAAAGGATATGTTTCTGTGTGTGAGGGAGACAGAGAGAGAAAGAGGAGAACAAAAGAAAAAGAAAGAGAGAGAAAAAGAAAGAAAAGAAAGAAAGAAAGAAAGAAAGAAAGAAAGAAAGAAAGAAAGAAAGAAAGAAAGAAAGAAAGAAAGAAATGTGTGGGGGGAGAGAGAGAGAGAAGGAAGGAAAAGAAAGAAAAATGATTTGTGTGAGTGTTTGAAGGGGAGAGAGAAAGAGGAGAAGAACGAAAGAAAAGAAGGAAGGAAGAAAGACAAAGAAAGAAATGATTGTGTGTGTATGAAGGGAGGAGAGGGGGGGCTCCAGGCTCCAAAAGAAATCGGATTTTGCCTTTTCCATGGAGCTTTTCCGAGCATCTTGACGTCTTCTCTCTTCTCCTTGGTTCCTCAGCACCAAACACGCCGACAGCATCGACCTGGAACTGGAAGTTGATCCGCTGAATGTCGACCACTTTTCCTGCACGCCGCTGGTACGGAGCAACACCCTGGCCGTCTCCGGGAAAGGCTTGAGATTGGGAGACGGGGAGGAAGGGGGTGGTTGCTGGCTAGGAGGGGCCATGCAGGGAGTCCCTGAGTTACGACTATCTACTTAGTGACTGTTCGAAGTTACAGCGGCACTGAAAAAAGTGACGTAGGACCATTTTCACACGTGTGACCCTCGCACCATCCCTGTGGCCACGTGATCGAAATTCAGACACTTGGCAACCTATGCACCCTGACGTCTTTTCTCTTCCAGATGTGGGCCTGCGCTCTGGGTCACACAGACGCCGCCGTGGTCCTCTACAAGTGGGACCGCCGGGCCATCTCCATCCCCGACTCGCTCGGGAGGCTCCCGCTGACCATCGCCCGCTCCCGCGGCCACGTCAAGCTGGCCGAGTGCCTTGAGCAGCTGCAGAGGGAGGAGCAGTCGCAACTCCGGCCGTCCCCTCGCCTCCCCTGCCCCTCGCAGGAAGAGCCCAGCGGCGAGAACTGGACGGCCCAGTGGCCCAGCAAAATCATCGCCTCTCAGGACCAGCAAAAGGGCATCACCGTCATCTCCAACTCCAACACCGGTAGGTGGGCAAAGGCCTCCTTCTGTCCATCTTCTCAAACCTCCACCCTGGCGCTGAGGATGTTACCTAGTTTGGTAATGTAACGTCTACAAAAAAAATCTAGAACAAATCTAGAAATCTAGCACCAAGGACAAAGGGTGGGTCAAAGGAGCACCAGTGAAGGAACCCCCCTGACCCGCACGGGAGAACGGCTTGCCTTGTCCTCACATAATGACGACCTTTCCTTGGCTTGTCCCACAGAGAGACAACAGCGTGCGATGCACCAGCTAGGGTTTGTTCCTGATTTGTCCTCTCTTTGCTTTCAGAACTGCGACGTCCTCGGTCCGAACCGTCCAGTTACTACAGCAGCGAGAGTCAGAAGGATTACCCAGCGCCCAAAAAACACAAACTGAACCCCGATTACTTCTCCACGAGGCAGGAGAAGCTCCTGTCCACCGCCCTGAGCCTGGAGCAGCCCAGCGGCCGGAAGCCCACCCCCGGCGCCAAGCCGTCTCTGTCCGAGACAATCAGCCCCAGGCACGGGGCCCAGGACTACACCCGGGAGCTGGTCCCCAACTTGATGGGCTACCGCAGCACCAAGTGGGCGCCGAAGGAGACCTACCTGGGCATGCCGGGCGTGCAGGTGACCGGCAGCCCTGCAGGAGTGGCCTTGGGGAAGGACTCCGGAGCCCAGCGGCTGCATCAGCGAGAACAGATGAGCGTGCTCATGATGGCCGACAGGGACGTGGCCGAGGTGGAACTGCTGTCCTTCCGCGGTGCCTCCCAGGGGGAAGAATGCCTGCACCACATGGATGATTTGCAGGTAAGCAGGAAATTCGTTAGGAACATTGGACAACCCTTGGTCTAGGATGGTATTAAGGACCCCTGCCTCGGGCAGGGGGGTTGGACCAGATGATCTCTGAGTTTCCTTCCAGCCCTAAGCTGCGAAGGTAGAGCGAGGGGTCTTGGGCGTGGGCTGACTGGATCTCCTTGCCTCCCGCAGGTCACCATGATGACCCTGGCCGAGCACATCATTGAAGCCACCCCGGAGAGGATCAAGCAGGAGAATTTTGTGCCGGCCGAAGAGGCCTCCCAAGTGGAACGGACGGACAGGGCCGCCCTTGGCACCTCGATGAGCTGGCTGGCCGGTTACCTGGCCGACGTCGACCGCTTGCCCAGCGCTGCTCAGATAAGGTCTGTGGGCTGTGCTGTCTTCTCTGACCCGGGGGTAAGGGGAGGGGGCTTCTTCTCCCTTTAAGGCCCAGTCTGCAGAGACCGAGGGGAGCCCGGAGGAAGGAGACTATGGAGGGGTCCCTGGTGCCCTCTGAGCTGGGTGGTTTTCTGGCAGACGTTTCATGACCCAAACTAGAGAACATCATCAGTGCTAGAAGGGGGAAGGAGGAGGAGGAGGAGGAGGAGAGTTTTTTTCCCTCAAGCCAGGGAGACCTCCTGCTGCCTTCCCTGACGCTCCCGTCCGTCCTTCTCTTCCAGAAGTCTCTACGGCGGATGCCTGACCCCCTCGCCCCACTCCAGCCTCAGCCCCTCCAGCTCGCCGGTCAGTGAGATGGCTTTTGAGAAGCCCAGCCTCCCTTCGGCCACCGACTGGTCCGAGTTCCTAAGCGCCTCCGCCAGTGACAAGGTGGAAAACGAGTTTGCACAGCTGACTCTCTCCGACCACGAGCAAAGAGAGCTCTACGAAGCTGCCAAGCTGGTCCAGACGGTCTTCAGGAAATACAAGGTGGGTCCCCGCGGGAAGAGGGGGGGCGAGAAGACCTCCACGGGGGGTGGGGATGGCCAGATGGTGGGGGGCAAGAGGCAGACTCTGTAAACCACTTAGAAAGGGCTGAAGCGGTATATAAGTCTAAGGGCTATTGCTTGGGCTCCTCATCCAACCCTCTGCCCATCTCTGAATCGAGGGCTACCACTCCTGCAAGGGATGCTGTCAATCCTCGACCATTATCTTGTCAATTATCTGGACCCATGAATGCTTTGAGGAATCCATCTCTGGTGGCGTTCCCCTTCATCGGAAACTAGCCTCCGGCCATGTCCTCCTGTCCTTCTGCACCCCTTTCTCCAAGAAAGTGATCCCGCTGCTCTTGTTTTTCCCAGGGGCGTCCCCTCCGGGAACAACAGGAAGTGGCCGCAGCCGTCATTCAGCGTTGTTACCGGAAATACAAGCAGGTAAGAGGGACTCCGTTGGAATGCCTTAAGAGACCCGTTGTACACCTGGCATCTCCGAATCATCGACCCAGACCATTTGGGACCCAGTTGCCCCCATGGGGGGGGATGTTTCTCTGTAAAGGACTTCCCTGTCTTCATCCATTGGGCCCCCCAACGCACGGAGACCATGAAAAGTTTTCAGGGTGTTTTCAGACCTTGCTCGCTGCCCAACGGACCATCTTCCCATCTTTCTGAAGGAGATGCTTTTGTTCATAAGCTCTGCTCTTCCTTCCTTGTGTCGCCCCATTGCACATTTGGGTGGGGGGAGACAAGCAAGAGTAGGGCTCCGACATCCACACGTTCCTGAGACTATTTAGGTGGCTCTTCCATCTGCTGGAAGGTTGTGAATTTTGGAGGAGCACTAGGGTAGACGGCTCAACATGGACGTGAAGGTATCTTGACGGCATCTCAAGACCATGTTCCCTGGCCTGCATTCTTCTCTCTCTCTCTCTCTCTCTCTCTCTCTCTCTCTCTCTCTCTCTCTCTCTCTCTCTCTCACACACACACACACACACACACACACCATTGTTGACAGCAGCTTGTAGGGCAGTGAGAAGGAGACTTATCAGGTCCGTAGTGCTTGGGGCTACCGTTGTGATCACCCAACAATTCTGACGGTAGCCCATGGTGGAGAAGAGAGGAGAGTCCGCTGGCTTCTTTGGAAGGGACGCTTTTGCCACTGTCCCTCGCCGTAGGATTGTCACACGTGGTCCAGCTGCCCTTAGAAGCCCCCTGTCCTGTCAGAGGTGGGCCCATAAGCCTCTGACAAATTGCAGAGTTCCTCAGATAGGTCAGTCAGCTCGCCCGTGGGACGATTTAACAATTCAATCCATTATCTAAAATAAATAAATAAAATATTCTAATTTTCATCGTCCACCTTTCACTCTGTCCCTCCTTTTGCATCCTTCCCTTAATGACTCCGTGCCACCATTTCTTCGGTGTGAGTGTGTAACTCTTCTCCTGTGCCGAATTGTCCCTGGTGAGTTGTCCTGGACCCAATAGGTCAAGCTGGTCAGCTAGTTGGAACGGGGAGGAGGCAACGTGGAGGCAGAAACAAACTTTTCCTTCTTCCCCACGGGGAGCAGACAGGCGGACAATCCACTGGCAGTAATGCCAGTTGTGAGGTTGTGAGTCATCTCGAGTGCCGTTCCGTGGCTGTCTTTTTTCCCCTTAACTCAGCCGGGAACTTTTGGGGAAGAGGGACTGAGCACCGTTTTCCTGTCTCAGCAACACCTCACCCCCCTACCCCCCAAATCCCTGGCAGGGCTCCCCGCAGAATTGTAGCCTCTGAACCCTCTTCTTCGCAACCACAACTCCCACCCCACCCCGCCCCACTCTGGCCGGTGGCCTTCAGCTTCTGACTGCTTCCCCGGAAGCTCTTGGAGAACAAGGGAGGATTTGCGCCCCCCCGATGATGGACGTGGCCGACTGCTAACGTTAACCTTGTATTTTCTGTTTCTCCCAAGCTTACTTGGATAGTCTTGAAGGTAATGACACAACACACCCAGCTTGTGAGCTTTGCACATTCTTGGCAAGTCAGGGAGAAATCTTGGTTGGCTTGGCCGAGAACACACCTGGACCGGACCCAGCTGTGGAGGCTGGGTCTCAGTACCACTGCTTTGCTATGAATGGCCAGCCTGTCCTGTAACGGGGAGGGGAGGAGGGAACTCACTATTCAGGGAGCCCCCCCCAGCCAAAGACACCCCCCCCCAGCTAGGAAGGTTAAAGTTTGGAGTTTTGCATGATCTGGATGCGTCTCTTTCCCAGAGACCCTCAAGCAGAGGTTTAAATCTTCTGAGAGATTCTCCATCTTATTTATTCGTTTGATTTCTCAGTCAATTACAACTCAAAAAAACCCCCCCTCAAATGAATGTATTTATTTTCTTTGATCAGCGAGGATAAAAGACCAAACAGGAAAACGAACATCCAACCTAACAACGAGGGGGCAAAAAAAAAAATGTGTGCCAGAAAAAAAGAAAAGCAAAAAGGGGGAAAAAAACCAAAAACCCAAATGTCAAATAGATGTAATGTTAAACATAATCCACCCAGGCTATATGCTGAAAAAGTGAAATAAATAACAATCGTATAGGTTCTCCTCCCCTTACCGGACGAATCGACAAATAGCCAGAAAACGGGGCAGCAACTGCATCTTATTTAATTTGGGACTTTCCCCTTTGTGTGTCTCCTGTAAGACGACAAGCTCAGCCCGACAGCAGTTCGCATAAACCGGCTTAACCAAGTCTCTTCAGATTCTAGCAGCTACATTCACCCAACGGGAAAAGCTGGGTTAGTTAGGACCTCGTTTTTCCGCGGCATCGCATAATTCTGCTAGGTTTACAATTCTGCGGCTTGGTTCGCAACCCCCTTAATCTTAACTTTATCAAATTAACCCTATTTCCTGGTCCGTACGACACCTTTGGACTCTAGAGGCTCTATTTATGCAACACAACTCTTGATTTATTTATGAGTTTGCTTGAATGATTTAAAGAACGGTTGAATTGTCATAAATCATGAAGCCGTTAAAATTTGTTCAACCTCGGTCAGCACACACAATGGGGGAAACCGGATTCGCTGAGCGACTGCATGTTTCGCTTAACAACGATGACAAGGAATGTGTAAAAAGGAGCAGAGCACACGTAACAACTGCTCGCTTAGCAGCAGAAATTGGGGGGGAGCACTCCACTGCGGTCGTATATTTATGGCGATGGGTGTTCTGCTTGGCTGAGAAGTCGGCCTTCAGTTTCTTTTTCTCTCTTCCCTCCCCGCCCTTCCCCACCTCCTCCCTGCCCTCCCTCCCCCCTTGCAGTATGCACTTTATAAGAAGATGATCCAAGCTGCCATCTTGATCCAGAGCAAATTCCGAAGCTATTACGAGCAGAAGAAATTCCAGCAGAGCCGAAGAGCAGCTGTCCTCATCCAGCAATTTTATCGCAGCTACAAAGAATTCGGCAAGAAGAGGCAAAACCGCCGGACCGCGGCCCTCGTGCAGCAGAAGCTCAGGTGGGTCTTTTGGTGGGTGGGGGGGAGAAGGGGGAGGGTTCGGAGGGGAGGGGAAGGGAAGAGAGAGAGAGTCTCGGCTCCGGGGTCCTTGATGCTCCCTGAGCTGAGTTATTCTCTTGTGGACATTTCATGACCCAACTAGGTGATATCATCAGTGCGAGAGGGGAGTGGCGTTTGCGCTTTATTTATGTAAAGAAACATCTGCAAGAAACCAGCCAAGCTCAGAGAGCACCAAGGACCCCTCCCCAACTGTAATTCTTGGCATGCACACACACACACACACACACACACACACACACTAAAGGTTCTGGGTTCTAGTCACCCAACACTTTATGCCTGTCCCTCTCTCTCCCACAGAAGCAGCCTGCTCACCAAGAAACAGGACCAAGCTGCTCGAAAGATCATGCGGTTCTTACAGCGCTGTCGCCACAGGTGAGGCACGTCTAGAGCCCGTTTGGGGGTCTCGGGGGGCTTTCCTAGCAAAGGGGGGGCAGGCTGGAAACACACACAGCCTTTGTGGAAACTGCTTGGACCACAGTCTGTCCATCTGCAAGGGGGATCTAATTTCAGGACACCAGTGTGGATTGCCCAAACTTTGCCCAGAGGCATGATGGTTAAATCTGTGTGTGGAGGTTGTGTATCACAAGGGTGCGCTGCCCATAACACTGGAGGTTTTTAAGAAGAGACTGGACAGCCATTTGACTGGGATGGTGTAGGATCTCCTGTTCAAACGAGGTTGCAGCATCCTGCAGGTGCAGGAAGGCAGTTTTACAACTTTTTGCCCCAAACCCAGCGCTTGCTTCCAATTTTCAGCAAAAATGCCCCATGGTAAACACTGGGCTCACTTAACGACGGTGGCGTTTGCTTAAGGACCAGAAAAGGTTGTACAATCGGGATGGTCGTGTGGGTGGCCCACTTTACAACGATCGCGAGTGTAATGGGAAGACTCCGATGCAGGGAGTCCCCTTGACGTAACCTAGAATTTGGGAGGGATTTCCTGACGGTGAGAACAATTAATCAGTGGAACAGAAGTTGTGGGTGCTCCATCACTGGAGGTTTTCGAGAAGAGACCGGACAACCATTTGTCTGAAATGGACCAGGGTCTCTTGCTTGAGCTGGGGGTTGGACTAGAGGACCTCTAAGGTCCCTTCCGATTCTGTTATTCTATAGGATTTCATGGTGCACATAAAACACAAGGATTTTAGCAAGAAAGCATCGAAGAACAGTAGATGGCAGGATTTCAATATCTCCGGCTTCTGGAGAAAATTTCCGGGGTTCAGGATTTCTGTTCTTTTGAACAGATGTTGGCCAACCAGGAAGTCCTCAGATAAAGCCACAAACATCTGGCAGCTCTGAAGCCCTGCTGGTTCTGCAGGATAGGAGAGCTCCATGAATTTAGGAACCACTCCAGAGAATCTGTTCTCCAGTTGCTATGTCCTACCTAGGTCTTACTATTCTGAGTATAGTCCTGTATTTGAAGCTTCCTTGAGTTGGAGATGGTTTGGTTCCGTCTGGCTGAAAGCCAGGAGAAGTGCTTTGAGCAGGCTGTCCTGAAATAGCTTTAGCTGATAAATGTCTGTTTTTTTAATAGCCAGTTCTGGTACACTGTTATTTTCAATTAGTCATGAATATTTTTGCGTTTAGTTCCTGCTGGGTTGTGGCCCAGAATTTTTCATCTTTGCGATCGCTCGGAGTAAATAGAATGTGTAGCCTGGGCCATCTTCATTTGTCTTTTGGTGGGTAAAATCATATTATTTCATGCATTCCATGGGGGACATTTCTGGATTATTCATATCTGAGGAAGCATGGTAGGTAACCATGCCAGGGTGGAAAACTTCGAGCACAGTGACTTCCTTGCTTTGTTAGTTCTTGCCTCCAGCCGAAAATAAACGTTCGTGAAGTCCACACAGGCCCAAAGAAAACCCAATTTGTGTTTCCAGGGATTAACTGATTGTCTTTCCTGCTGGTGCATCATGGAATACCACAGACTTTTTCTTGAGCATCTAAACATATAATAAGGCTGTACAAATCCTCTCAAGAACATTCCTGAGAATGAGAACAATTAATGGAATAGCTTGCCTCCTGGAGTTGTGGGTGCTCCATTACTGGAGGTTTACAAGAAGAAAGTGGACAATTGTTTGAGTGGGATGGTAGAAAGCTCCTGCCTTGAGCAGAGGGTTGGACTAGAAGACCTTCATGGTCCCTTCCAACTCTAGGAGTCTATGTTCTAGGATATTGGTGCCCATTCTACATTTTCCATGGCACTCAGGTCAGGAGGGTGGTGCTCATTGGCCAGGCTCCATATCTCACCAGGTTGCATAATTCTAATTAAAAGGAAGAGAGAAATGGGAACTTGACATGCTAAAATAGCAAGAGCAATCTTGATGTACACAGGTGTGGACCTGGTCATCTCAGAGAAGAACAGGGGTTACTTGGAATACTGTGTCCAGTTCTGGTCACCATGATGCAAAGAGACTGGGCAACCATTTGACTGGGATGGGATAATATCTCCTACTACTTGAGCAGAGGGTTGGGTGAGAAGACCTCCACGGTCCCTTCCAGACCTAGGATTCTACGTTCGATGACTCAATTTCTCCATACCTCCGTCCCCATAATTGCAAAGTGGTCCCTCAAATGCCCACTCCTCCCCCTCCTTGGTGGGTCCTCGTTGGATAAAAGGTCTCTCTTCCCGCCCAGCCAGACTCTTCTCAAACCTTCTCTTCTAAAAGTCTCTGTTGGTGCCGATAATGCTAATATATGCTAATAGCTCTTTGCTATTGTTTTGCTCATCTGAAGCCCTCTCATGGACCATAGACGGTACAAAAGGGTGAGTTTAGCTGCCTGCTGGACTGTTTCTCTTCCATTTAATATATATCTATATATATCTCAAGATATATATATTTATATGCCTCGGGGTCTCGCTTTCTGCTTGCTTGCATGGGGGCTGCAGCTGAGATGAGAATGCACTGAGTTTTCACATCCCATCGAGTTGCCAAAGCCCAAGGAGACTTAACTCCGTTGCAGCTACTAACCCCCGCTGCTTCCGACAGTGTTCAGGAGGTGCAACAGGTGCATGAAAGGAAAAACGGGCAGCGGGGAATTGGATCTGTCCATCCATCATGGGGGCATGCAGAGAAATGGGGCGGGAAGGAAGGGGATGCAGGAATCTTGTATGGTTTCGGCATCCTTCGGAGCCAGCCTGAATCCGCCAGAACATACAGCATGGAGTTTTGTCAACCATACAGACTACTCATAGTGCGCGGAAATGGCACAAAGCAAGAGGGGACTCGGTTTGGTGGCCAGGCGGGTCAGAATTAATCTCGAGTACTTCTGGGCAGGCGACTGGGCATTGAGTGAGCCAGAGGGAGGGCTAAGACCCTCTTTCTGGTATCCAGAGGATGGGGAGTTGGGTTGGATGGCCAGCTGATGTCCCAAATGGGACAGATCTTGAGGTCTGTTCCTGAGTTCAGACGATCAGCTCGAGAAAGGTGGGGAGGAAGCCGCGTGGACCTATTGGCAGCCACTGTTATTAATACTGGGAGCGCAACTGGGCAGTTCTGGGGAGGCCATGATGGATGTCCATCGGGAAGATTCTCACATGGGGCAGGAAGGCCTTTGCTGTGCATGCAGACTGCCCCCCCGAGTCACACCGTGACATTTCCTGCAACGCCTGGGAGAAGCCTTGGAGAATCAGGTCACCGCCATGTTTTCCCGCAGTCTTCCCCATCACCATTTTCACGGGTTTGCCCACAAACAGAGCAGAGGGGTTGGGAAAAACCATCTCACCGCCATGTTTTCCTGCAGTCTTCCCCATTGCCATGTTCACGGGTTTGCCCACAAACAACGGGTGGCGCAGCAGTTAGGGTGCAGGACTGCAGGCCACTTTAGCTGACTGTGTTCAGCAGGTCAGCGGTTCAAATCTCACCAGCTCAAGGTTGACTCAGCCTTCCATCCTTCCGAGGTAGGTAAAATGAGGACCCAGATTGTTGGGGGCAATGTAAATATACATATATACATTGCTTACTGGTGTACACCGCTTAGAGAGTGCTTGCACTTAAAGCGGTATATAAGTCTCATAAATAAATAAACAGAGCAGACCAGTTGCCTTCCAGTGACTAGCAGCCCAGGTCACCCTCTAGGAGAAACCGGAGAGTTTGTGAAAGTTTCAACCCTATTTTTACTTGTATTAAAACCAAGAAATTTTTATTTATTTATTTATTTGTTCATTCATTCATTCATTGAAAGGGCATCACTTTAAACTGACCGAAGTGACGGTTAAAGTAAGTTTGGGAATCTCATGCTCTGCTCCTTCCATCTTTCTCTATCCCACTTCCTAGCTAGAACATATAACCTAATAATAATCCCAGACAGGGTTGCATCTAGAACCCTCTTTCCAGCTTAGCTTGCATAATTAAATATAGAATCAACCGTCCATTGCTTATGCATGCTACCCCAAACAATGTTTGGGGCAGAGAGAGTCCATTTTAATCTAAAATTGTTGGATTCTTGGGGTCCTCTATGCTTGATTGTTTCTCTAGATGTTTCTATCAGGTAATTGCACCAGTACCTGGGAGAGAAGGACTTGCTGGTGATTTATATATAATAGCTAGCTATGCCAATCTTGGTTGGCATGCGGCTTCTTGGTTAAGTGCAAAAATCCACCCCAGATAAGCAATCAGAAAAGTAATAATACTCTTGTCAAGAACTGTCAAGGAACAAGAATTAAGGAGACATTTCCTGACAGTAAGAACAATTAATCAGACTTGCCTCCAGAAGTTATGGATGCTCCATCATTGGAAGTTTTCAAGAAGAGACTGGAAAGCCATTTGTCCAGAATGGTATAAGGTCTCCTACTTGAGCAGGGGGTTGGACTAGAAGACCTCCGAGGCCCCTTCCAGCCCTATTCTATGTTCTAAGGCATGCTTCATTCTCCCAGGCACTGATGACGTTTCCTAGTCTGGTCATGAAAAGTCCACAGAAGAGCAACCAAGCTCAGAGAACATCAGGAACCCAGTCGTTCAACTCTGAGCATCTAAAATTGTCAAGGGACAACTGTGAGTTAAATTTTCTCTTCTCCTAGTCAGCCGTGTTGTGTGAATGCAAGTATCTAGTGGGCAAGCCTCATCAATCCATCCTCCAAGCTCTCTGCATCGATCAAGTGGCTGAGAAAGCTAGGGAACCATTGCAGGAGAAGCCAGGGTTGAGGAACCTCAAGAGATGTTTCTCCTGCTACTCAGCCGCTGATTGGCTGCGGTATCATGGCAACTGCTAATCTGTCTGGCCAATGAGGAAGGGCCCCATCCTTGCCTCATCCTTGCTCTTCAAAACACCACATGCGATTATTTTCATTTCCACTCGGCCTTCTCTCTTGAGGCCAAGTCTTGGCTCCTGAATCCATAAATAAATAAATATATCTGGCTAAAGCACCAAGGGAAGCCCTATGTGGTGTTCTCCCCAAAATCAGTGGTGCCCAACCTTGACGGCTTTAAGACCTGTGGACTTCAATTCCCAGAATTCCTCAACCGGCTGGGGAATTCTGGGAGTTGAAGTCCACAAGTCTTCCAAGTTGCCATGCTTGGCCATCCCTGGTCTAAACGTTCGTACCAGCCTCGTCTGCGTGAAGTTTTCTTGGGTGCTCTTGACAAGGCGGTTTGTTGCCCAGTCGTGCCCACATCCTGGTAAGTATCTCTCAATCGGAACGAAGTACTTAATCCTGAATCGGCCCTCCTTCTAAAATAATTCTGAATTCTGAGTTGCTTTGGGAGCCGGCCCTTCACCAACGGTTTGGTGTTAGTGAGACAGGGAGTTGTGTTCACACAAGATCAAAGACTACTAAGGCTGCAAGGGACTCTGGAGAGCGCATTTTCAGCCAAGCCTCTGTCTGGGTTCACCTCATGCTAGCTAACCAAATAAGCTAGGTTTGTGCAACTTGTTAATCCAAGATATATTCCATAAATATATATATATTCCTTTCCGGCTGTCGGTTTGGACTTGCTGGTGTGTTTTGTGGGTTGATGGAGCCAGGGTTAATTGTGACATTCAGCATCGCCTCATCGACATACCTCGGGGGGTCTGGTCTGTTTTTAAACTGGGTTGGCTTCCGCTCAGCAATGGTGATCCTTGTCATCCAAGCTTCCCGAATTTTCACAAGCATTCCGGGAAAGACTCGGGGACTTGCCGCCCTCTTGCAAACGTGGAACGTTGGGAGGGTTTGCATGCATTCTCACAACCGGACGACCACCAGTTGGCACCAGCATGAATAGCTTTTCCTTGGCTCGGCGGGCGAGTCCTGTTAATCTTGGTTTGGCATGAGTTGGCATGTCTGATTGAATCCATCCACCATTTGTAGCCCGGCACAGGGGGCTTTGATGGTGGAAAGGCAGGCCTTGCATGGGGGAGCACACCTCCAAAACGCAACGCAAGGGGGGAGGATCCAAAATATGTGACGACCTCACTTTTTTCTTTCTTGGGTAAAACGAGGTCTTCAATTCTGGTTGTCTTTCCCAGTAGGCTTTGCTAGTTCAGGATTCTCCAAGTTTGGCAATTTTACTACTTGTGGACTTCAATTCCCAGAATTCCCCAGCCAGACATGGCTGGGTGAGAAATCCTGAGAGCTGAAGTCCACAAGTCTTAAAGTTGCCAAGTTTGGAGACCCCCTTAATGTAATAAGATGGTTAGCATCAGACAGAAGGGAAACCTCTAGGGTGAACACTGTTGTAGGGCAAAAGGGGAGTGCCATACAGTGGCAGAGTTCACACTAAAGTCTAAACCTAGGTATGGTAGGAGTATTAGGTATGTTCACTGCCTTATGTTATTTATAAAAATAATAAAGATGGGATATAAGTAATAAATTAAAAAGTAAATAAATGTGGTGGTACTGTGAGCACACAGCAAGCTATGAGCACGCTGCAAGCCTGATGTGCAAACAGCCTGGTATGTTTCCCAGTGTCTGTCTGTTTGCTCTCTTGTAATCCCTTTCTCTCCAATGAACGTAAAGACCAAGATAAATTCCCTTTTTGTCAATACTTCTGGGCTAGGATCCTGAGTGGAATTACAAGCCCCCTGGGAAAAGAGTTATATTTTTGCCCTCTGCCTTATGGATTCTTGTAAGCCTCCTAGAATCATGGTACAGTCCTCAATTTACGACCAAGATTGGGATCAGAATTTCCACCGTTAAGCAAAGCGTTTGTTAAGGGATATGTGCCCAATGTAAGGACCCGTCTTTGCCCTAGTCAAGCAAATCACTGAGGTTGTTTAATACTGGAGTGCACATTTGAAGGGTGGGGATGCAGGGTAAAGGAAAGTGCATTGGCGCTCGTGTGACGTCCTGACTTAGCAATCGCTTCGCTTAGCCACAGAGACGCCAATCCCAATTCTTGTCACTAAGTGAGGACTATATTAACGTTCTTGAGAGAAGCTGGTAAATACGTCGCTTGCACTCGTGTTAAAGACAGGTGTTAGAGCAGGGGGTTGGACTAGATGATCTCCAAGGTCCCTTCCAACTTTATTATTATTATTAATATTATTATTATATTTCTAACATTCTTAAGAAAGGGCCCCTTACATCTCCTTCTCCTCCTCTTTTTCTCTTTTTTTGTCTTCTCAGAGCGAAAGACTCGAAAAAGGAACTTGAAGAACGAGACCCCGGTGACGGCAGCATCCCATAGGAGCGCAAGGGGGGGGGGAGCTGTTGTGTTTTCAGACTGTTTCCATTTTTTTTTCTGTTTTCAGCAGAAACATGCAACGACAATTTCAACAAAAAAAATGATTTTGATTATTTAAAAAAACAGAACAAAAAAAAAAACACTTGACTGCTGCAGCCGAGAAAATATCGGCTGTAGGATTTTAACGGTAATGTTTAGTCATTACATTTGCACTTTCACGGACAATTTTTAATTTGTTCAGCAAAAGGCATCTTTGGAACTCAACTCTTTGATTGGATCATCGGGGGTGGGGTGGGCTGGTGGGGAGGGGGGGGAGAAAAGAGCGACACCCGGAAGGCGTTTTTTTCCCATGAGTTTTCTTTCATTCCTCTTCGAAAGGAGTCACGACAAAGCAATCGATTTTATCATGATGGGTTGTTGTTGTTTTGGGGTTTTTTTTGGTCATATAGGGCTGTACTCAAAAAAAAACAACAACGAAAAATCCATGTTGTGGAACTGTACAAATACAATACCAAAAAAAAAACCAAAAAAAAGAAAGAAAAGAGAAAAAAAAATTGCGCAAAAACCACCCACCCTCCCCACGAATCCGAGAACGGCAAAAATTCTGTCGCCCCCCCCCCCTTTTTTTTTTTCCAAGACACATTGTGAATTTTGTCCTTTGGGAATCTCTCGGATCACTTTCTGTCTCGCCTGCTCATTCCACCTCCATCCCTTTCGCTCGTCCATCTTTCCGTTCTTTGTCGAGAACCAACAAAAGGCCGTCAAGGCTGCCACCCTTTCGATCGGCTTTATTTTTTTCACAAAGATATTCCCCCCCCCCACCCAATTTTTGTTTTAATTTTTCCAGGAAGCATCAGTGTTTTTTAAGGCAAACGGGTATTTAATGCGGGGTGGGGTTAGGGTGCCGAGAGAGAATTGGGGTGAACAGCTCAAGCAAACTGTTCCTTTATTGGTGTCTTTTCTCTCTCTCTCTGGAAAGCCTTCAAGTCTATCAACTGCCATATGCACTTCTCATGTTTCGCACTTTATTTTCTGGCCTTACTTCACATAAGATTTTTACTTATTTAATTGCGATGATTTGTAAAGCATTTTTGGTAACGTTGCAGACCTCTCGTCCGACTTAAGTCAAGTGCAGGGTTTGCTAATTGGACAGGACTGATCACCGAAGGGAGAACTGTGGTGCTGCGTTCCGCCCAGTAAAATTTATTCTTTTGGCTACTTCATCAAAAACCAACCAACCAACCAACAAACAAACAAAAAGAAGGAAGAGAAAGAAAGAAAGAAAGAAAGAGAAAGAAAGAAAGAAAGAGAAAGAAAGAAAGAAAGAAAGAAAGAAAGAAAGAAAGAAAGAAAGAAAGAAAGATCAAAATCTAGGCAGTTTCTGTATATAGAGAGAAGGTTAGAAATGGCAATGAAACATAAATATTTGAAGGGGAATATATTGATTAATTGCTAAATATTTTATTCACAAAGGGTCAATAACTTGGCAAGAGAAATTTGCGTATTTGTATAGTTTTGTCTGAATGAACGAGAAAAAAAAGTGTGGATGTTTGTACATATTGTATATATTAAAACAGATGTGCATGAATTCAAGGAGAAAAGAAATGAAAAAAAAGCAAAGCATTAGTGGCTTATGGTCTGTAAAATGAAACAAAAACTTTATTTCACTATAAGAAACTTTATTTTAAATGTTCTTTAGAAGAACATTTTGCTAAAGCATGAATAAACTGCAGAAGCAAAAAGAGCTAATGTATTTAGACTTAGGAAAAAAAGGCAAAGTAACATTACTTTAAAAAAGAGATATGTTTACATTTGATTTTGGCTACCAGGAGTTTTTAAATTTCTTTTAACCTTCTTGGTTATCTTTTTTTTAAAAAAAATTATTTTGTTTCTTATTCTATTTAATTTCTCTCTTTTTTTTTGCCAATGGTGCCAAGTAAAGTGAATGCTAATATTGCTTAACGAAAAAAAAATTAAGTTATTTTGCAAAGCAGATAATCATAAGAATTCAAAATTGTATCTAGATTAACACCATACACTCACTCCGATAAAGAACACTTAGAATGAACATAAAACTTTAAAAAAAAATTAAAAAAATAAAAAGAAATAGTACGAAAGTAGAAAAAAAAAGTTTCACATGTCCATATTTCCTGCTGAAAGTCAGACGATGTACTAAAAATTGCACAAAAAATTTTTAAAGTTTAAAACTGAAAAAAAGAGAGAGAATAATAATAATAAAAAGATGCAAAGGATATGTAGGGGTGTCATGGTATATTTGCTATTTCCAGCGAGAAAGAGAGAGAAAGAGAGAAAGAGCAGCCAAAGAAAACTCTTCAAAATTCATCCTTTTTTTGACAAATTTAAATGCAGTTCGCTGGGAGACCTTGGCACTGTGTGGTTGCAGGCGAGGAAGCTGGAGTCCTCGCTTTGGCTTCCTGAGGTCTTGCGTCGCTTGCTGGGACCAGTTGGCCTTCTGGAAAGCAAATTGGATCTTGCATGATCCCAGTTTCCAGATTCAAATGTTCTATTTGTCTCTGGAGGGCTGGTTGTGAGGACAGGTGAGTCCTCGCCCTTCTGCAAAACATCGCTCAACCTGCAAACGGGGAGACCTCTGGCTTGGCCTGGGATCCTGGTGCCTTCTCTAGCCTTTGCGATTGTTTCCCTCCCTCCCTCTCTCTCTCTCTCTCTCTTTTGAACCACTTCCGTTCACTGCCAGGACCGACCGAGACCCCAGGGGGTTGTGTGGTTGTCTTGCCGTACACGCTCGCTGCTCTGCGGCGGTGGTTGGCCATTTCAACCCGCAAAACGAATCGATCCAGAATCCTTAAACCCCTCCACCCCACGCTGAAGCCACATCAACCACTATGTCAGGGACCTTCTTCAGATGCTCCCTCAACCCTCTCTGGATAGCGGCAGAGACTCCAGTGTCTACTAGGATTGCCACAACATCTGAAGAAGGTCCTTCATGTGTGGCTGACCAGACAGAGGAGAACCCCCAACTTTGGCTGAGCGTTAGCTACTACCTTCCTTTGGATGGACGTGGCTTTTCCTGCCCGTAAGGTTGACCTCAGGAGTGATTGGCAAGCCAGGGTCCTGTTGGCCAGAGAGAGTTGTAGCATCTCAAGGTGTCCCACCATCATTCCTTCCAGATCCAGACTTGACCGGTGGGCAGCCTGTCTTGTGGTGGACCATAGGCTGCCTGCAAGGCGAGTTGACCGCAGGCCCCATGCACCACCACCCGTGCCCATGTCCCAGTTTTGTGGAATTGGTGCCACTCTCTTTGGGCCCGTTCGATGACTGTGTCATGCTTCGGGGCATGTCCCTCCTTGCAGGACTCCGTTGTCAGGATGGTGCCTCAGGTCCCCTCCTGTCCTGAAAACCAGATTGGGGAACCCTCTTGTGTCCCCCCCACACACACAAACAAAATCCGGAATTGCTCCATTGTGTGACTTCGCTTGTGTGAAACGAAGGACTCTGCACGAACGAAATGCAGAATATAACATGAACCCCCTCTGTTGCACGCTTTCGTGGCAGTTCCACACCATAGTTGGTGCCCAAAACGGAGGTGGGGGGGAAGGGGAATCCCTGAGACTTGCATGTAAACCTAGTTATAGATGTCTCCTTTTGTAAGTTTTATTTTTGTAACTCTGCATGTTAAAAAGCATCACTGAACCAATGGATCTGTTGAAGAACTCAACTGCTGGAAATCATGCAAAATGTTTTGAATTGCCCTTAAAATATGGAAAATGTTTTCTGAATGCTTTATATTCTTTCTGCTGTAAATTAAAAAAGAAAAAGAAAAGAAAAAGAAAATTTCCCCCTTTGAAGCATGTGGGCTTTTTGTGGGTTGTGTTGTGGGCTCTCTGCATTGCTGGAGTCTCCGAATCTTGAATAACTTAAATCGTTCTTAATTTGGGGGATGATCTGGATGTTCTCCTGAAACTTCAGGAAGAGTTTCAGTCTGCAAGACCTTTCTTTTATCAAGAGTCCTAGAGATTCTAGAATGTACCTGTGACGTGTTTTACCTGGTAGCAATTTGAGAGGGGCTGGCTTTCACAAAAGCATTTTCTAACTGACACTTGAGCTATTGTCCACCTATTTTGCGTTGGGTCTGCCTTCTGTGTCTTTCAGTCACTGGATCAGTGCATAGGTTAAGTTACTCCTTAAATCAAGTTCCTAGCTTAGTAGATCAGGGGAATGCTGCAGACATAGTTTAACCTGAGCTTGATAAAACCTTAATCTCTTGTGATATTCTCTATAGCACTGATGACATTACCTAATTTGGGTAATGAAACATCTGCAAGAAAACCACCAAGCTCAAAGAGCACCAAGGACTTCTCTCTCACACAAATATTCTCCTTTATTGGTATTCTCCTTAAACTATGGGGTAGACGATACTGCTGTTAAATGAACTCACAGTTGACCAAATGGCCACAGCCAAAGAACACTACTAATTAATGCCTCCGCTTCATTTGGAAGGAAACGTTATGTATAACACAAAAGATTTGTGGGCTGGGCTGATCCACTTTTGGATGAAGGACTTGGAGAAGGGAGTGGAGGGGAGACCTGCAAAGTCCGCAGGTGAGCCCCAAAGCTGGAAAGGCTGATTCTTGAGAAGAGAGAGAGATGTTAGACGAGACAAGCTGTAGTCTTTTCCAGCAGAGGGGTGAAATGCATAGGAAGAAACATCAGTCAAGAATCTGGGTAGGATAAGTTTGGGGAAAGCTGCAAATTTGGCAGAGACAACTGAGAGAAGACAGGACTATCTTTCAACTATCTAAAAAGTGGTTACGCAAAAGGGCAGATTAGTTTCTATTGTCCTGGTGCAGAGAAGAGCAACTAAGATCATTAAAGGCCTGGAGGCTAAAACATACGAAGAACAACGGTTGCAGGAATTGGGGATGGCTAGTCTAGAGAAAAGAAGGACTGGGGGGGGGAGCAACATGATAGCAGTCTTCCAGCATTTGAGGGGCTGCCCCAAAGAAAAGGGGTCCACCTATTCTCCAAAGCCCCTGAAGGCAAAAGACTTGTGGACTTCAACTCCCAGAATTCCTCAGCCAGAGGAGAAGCGAGACGTTTTCACAGGAAAAAAACAAATAAACCAAGAACGCCCGGTTGCCTTTTGAAAAACCATCTTTGTCCCTTGCTACAGGTTGTAAGAAGCAACCGGCCTCAGGCTTCTCCAGTTTTTAAGTTCTTCTAAGATGCCAAACCCATGTCTTGTGTCTTTCCTGTCAGCTCAGCTGAGTGACAGCCAGAGGTGTCAAAGAAGCCAGAACTTTGGCTTTGGAAGGGAGAATGTGACTTTTCTACCTTGACCCAGAGGCTCCCTTTTTCTTGCTGTCTGGATGGAGGAATTGCCTCGGCTGATCACAGGCAGGGAGGGAAGTGGATAAAGGTACCTAAGCAGGCTGGTGAATGAATCATTTTTTCCCCCCAAAGAAACAGATAAACGCACTTGGCCCAGGTCTGGAAATGGCTCCAAGGCACTCACAAGCTGCGAAAGAAAAGGAATGTGTGAAAACAACACCCATTCGATTTTTATCTTAAACTTCTGCGGTCGGAGAGCTAGGCTTCCCTTGCTAAGGTGTAACTCTGCATTATGCAAGCTGCATCAATCTGATAGCAAAAGGTGAGGCTGCTTTGGGAGAAAACCAAGGAGTAGCTGAGTCACAGGGAACACTGCGCCAATGCAAGCGGAGCTCTCGCTGAAACCCCGATTGGCAGCTACCCTAAGGATCCAATTCCAATTAGAGATCGAGTATCAAATTCAAAGAGATTACCAAAGCTTCAGTAAGGCCACACCTGGAATGCCGTATCCAGATTTGGTCAGTCCCCACATTACAAAACAAAGAGGCTGAGACTTTGGGAAAAGTGCAGAGATCAGCAACTAAGATGGTTAAAGGCCTGGAGACTAAAACATACGAAGAATGGCTGCAGGGTTTGGGTATGGAAAAAAGGACTAGGGGGGAACAGAATAGCAGTGTTCCAGTATTAGAGGGGCTACTCCAAAGAAGAGGGGGGGGGGAAACAAGTTATTCTCCAAAGCACCAGAAAGCAAAGTAAGAAACAACGGATGGAAACCAATCAAGGAGAGAAGCAATCTGGAATTAAAGAGAAATTTCCTGACAGTGAGGACAATTAACCAGTGGAACAGAAGTTGTGGATGCTCCATTCCTGGAGGTTTTTAAGAAGAGATTGGACAACACTTTTGTCTAGAATGGTATGGGGTCTCCTTCAGCAGGGGGCTGGACTAGAAGACCCACAAAATCCCTCCCAACTCTGTTATTCTGTATGTTTCTTTGATGAACTCTGCAGGATTAATTAGAATTGGAATGGTGGAGTGAAACCTGAATGGTGCAACGTGTCTGCAGACATCTGTCTTTTCCTATATTTGATAGGTTCATCCAAGAAAGCATTTTTACGATTGCTGGTTGCTGACCAAAATTAGCCAAAAAAGAGGAAGTTATTTTATTTCACTTATTTTATTCAAACTTACAGCAGCTTATTTTAAGGATGGCAGCTATTCCAACCTATTAATTCCAGGTTGCTTCTCTCCTAGATTGGTTTCCATCCGTTGCTTCTTGTCTTGCCTTCAAGTGCTTTGGAGAATAAATCAGAATGACAAAGTTGGAAGGGACCTTGGAGGTCTTCTAATCTAACCCCCTGCTCAAGCAGGAGACCCTAGGCCATGTCGGACAAATGATTGGAACTTTTGATGAACAATAAAGGTGAATGTTAAAGCACAGTTGAAGTTATTTGATGGTGTTATTCACTTGCTGTTGTTTTCCCACAACAATCTCGTGACCTGGGTTAGGCCAAGAAGTGGTTTGGCCCAAGGATACCTTCATTACTTCACGTGTGACTGTTGGTTGTTGTTGTTTTTTTTTTTTATGAGCAACAATTTCCAAATACGTTTTGTTAGGAGCAGCCAACGCTCACAGCTGTAGATTTGTAAAATAAAAATTCACACCAGTAGGTGTGGCACAACAAATCAAGAACGACACACTGCAAAGAATGTCCTGTGATAAGCAGAATAACAAGAGCTGGAGGGGACCTCGGAGGTCTTCTAGTCCAGCCCCCTGCTCAGGCAAGAGACCCTACACTATTTCAATCAATCAGAAGAAGAGCTGGAAGAGACCTTGGAGGTCTTCTAGTCCAGCCTCCTGCTCAGGCAGGAGATCCTATGCCTCTTGAAGATCTCCAGTGTTGGAGCACCCACAATTTCTGGAGGCAAGTCGTTCCACTGGTTAAAGTGTTCTCACCACTGGGAATTTTCTCCTTAGTTCTAGGTTGCTTCTCTCCTTGATTAATTACCATCCATTATTTCTCGTCTTGCCTTCCGGTGCTTTGGAGAATAGGTTGAGCCCCTCTTGAAACTGGGAAAAGGGACTTATGGCTGTTTTTCACCCTTACGACCTTCGTAGCATCTCCGTGATCACCATTCAGAAGCTGGGCAACTGGTTGATACTTATCACCGGCGCTGCGTCGTTATCCCCTTTTTTGCAACCTTCTCACAAAGCCAATGGGGAAGGCAGATTCACTTAACAACCGGGTGCTTCCCTTGACAACACTGGCCAGGAAGGACCTAAAATGCAGCAAAGCTTAATCTATGTCTCGTTGAACGGCAGAAATGTTGGGCTCCCTTGTGGCTGTAAGTGTGAAGGACCGCCTGCCTTCTTCTGCCTTTCCTAGCTGTGATCACATCAGCTGCTTCGTATTCGGTGTTACCTCCCAGAGCCTTTCCTTTTTCCCTCCCACATACAGTGGGAATTGCAGTGCCTGCCGAACACGGACAAACGGGATTAGCCAACTTCTTTCCTCACTCAAACTTGCTTCCTTGGAATTTCCAATACCTACTTAGATAACTTCAGGGTTAGTTCAGAACAAGTGTACTCCTGGCTGCGTTCAACGTTTCCGTGCTCTTGCTTTCTTTTTCTGACTTTGAAGATAAAAGGAGAAGATTGGGTCTGTCCCGGGCCATTTCAGTACTTCTTGATCTCCGGAGACATTTTGATTGATTGATTGATTTATTAAAAAAAAAACACTAAGGCTGATGAAAGATCTGCTGGACTCTTGAAACACTGGTCTAACAACACTACCCTGAACTTTTTGCAGAGTTATTACAGCAGCTTCTTTTCTCTGTGAATAAGGATTCGACAGAGCAGCTTCCGGTCTTTCTTTCTTTTTCTTTGTTTTTTTGTGCTGATTTTAGCTTTCACTTCTCTACAATTCCTGCAGAAGTTCCTCCAGGTTAGTTTGCGTCTTCGGATAGTTGCAAAAATACGCTAGGTTTGGGGGTTATCCTAAAGCAGCAGTTGGATGGGTGAGTAGGAAGGAGCTGCTAAAATTGAACCTATTTGTGTACGACTTTGTCTACTATTTTCACTATGCCTGTTGGGTACCTGGGGCTGCAGCCACAATAAGACCGGTGTAGATGGACAGCTCAAAGCCGAACATATTCATTACAAAGGAAAGAGATATTCATATGATCGATCAATCAGAAAAGAGCAGGAAGGGCACTTGGAGGTCTTCTAGTCCAGCCCCCTGCTCGAGCAGGAGGCCCTGGACCATTTCAATCAATCAATCAATCAGAATAGAGCTGGAAGGGACCTTGGAGGTCTTCTAGTCCAACCCCCTGTTCAAGCAGGAGAACTTTTACCGTCTCAGACAAATGACTGTCTAGCTTGTTCTTAAGGAGCATGAAGTGAGCTTCCGGGGGATTCTTTACGATGCCGTGTTTGCTACTTCTATCTCTTTCGGAAAACTGCTTAGGTCTCCGCGATACGGATTCGGAGGAAGCTTCAGAATAAGGGAACCACGAGGGGTCCAAGAAGCAGGAGGAGCAGACGCAACGACCCGCAACTGTGTGAAGAAGCATGAGGTGTAATCAGAGTTGTGGCTTGCTGACCGTGGCAGCCATCGGAGCGTTGCTGGCTGTCTTTGGGGGGATTCTGATTCCGGTTGGGAATCATTTCATTGAGAAGACAATAAAAAAGGTAAGAGACGCCTGTAATTCCTGCATTTTGCCTTGCTTTCTTCTCAACATTTGCATGACATAAGCCAACATTGGGCAAAGATATAGATCTAAATCCTCTTTATGGGAGACATTTCTTTTTTTCACGAATGAAGGCGAATATACATGACCCAGGATAATTTCTTTTTCTTTAAAACAAATAATAAATCCACTAGGTTCTCCTCAAAACACGGGCATGAAAAGGAGAAAGATTTGTGCAGAAGTTCTGTAGATTTTGAGTTCATGCTGGATCACAAGCTGGATCACAAGCTTTTGGAGAGAGAGTTGAAACACTGCCTATGAGAATTATGCCTCCGATAGCATTTAAATATTACACCATAGGAAACAGCTTAGTAAAATGAAGTTCTTCCTGTATCTACGGGACACCCACCCTGCTTCCAAAATGCTGAGGTTCTGGTATCTGAATTACAAAGCCTGACTCCTCTTCAGTTATAATATGATGCTTCAACTTGGAGAGAGACGTGGCTTATGGAGCTGACTGGTTAAAACTTGCAATCAAAATTAATAGACTAACAGAATTTCACAAACTGAGGCAAGAGAAAGCCCTCGGGATGGGGGCGGCAGCACCAAAAGCCAACATAATCCCTGGTTATATAAACAAACGTAGAATCAAAATCCCGTGAAGTATTAGTACTGCTTTATAAAGCCTTAGTAAGGCCACACCTTTAATCTTCAGTGTTAAGTCTACCCATTTCTGCACAGTCCAGTATTTTCTTGATTGTCTCTTCAGACGGTGTTTCTTCGTTTTTCCAGTACTGAGCAGATGCAATTCTTGCTGCTGTTTATACATCCGTACATCGTTTTGTTTCTGATGGGAAAGCATTCTGATCATTTTGTTAAAAAGGGTAATTCTGTTGAAAAGTGAGGATAGCCTGATAGTTCCTGAGTATTCAAGTCGGGAATAAGTATGTGTGTGTGTGTGTGTGTGTGTGTGTGTGTGTGTGTGTGTGTGTATATATATATATATATATATATATATATATATATATATATATATATAGAGAGAGAGAGAGAGAGAGAGAGAGAGAGAGAGAGAGAGAGAATGCTGTATGTTACACCTTGTTGCCCAAATATGGGAGAGAGAAATCTTTTGCATTTGAGAGAAATCCAAATTTTAGAAATATATATATATATATAGAAAGAGAGAGAGAGAGAGAGAGAGAGAGAGAGAGAGAGCGCAATAACCACGATTAGGGGACTGGAGGCTAAAACATACAATATGGAATATGGGCTGGGTTGTAATTTGAGGATTATCTGTATGCTCTGAAGAAAAACACAACCAAAAGGGCATAGAAATTTGCTTCCTTAGATACCTGTTTAAGTTTTTCAAAAATGTTGTGTGTTCTACCCTTCCCGCACCTCACTTTTGCTAATAAAAATAACACCTAGTTCAAATGTCACTCGTCCATAAACACTTGAGGAGGTTTTCCAGGAAACTTTATCCAGAATAGAAAACATGTCTATTCTGACTTAGGAAGAAAAAAAAAACATATTAAAATGTCGTTCTTATTCCTCTTTACAGGAAGCTGCCATTGAAAATGGCACCATCGCCTACGAGAATTGGATTGTTCCTGGGTGTCCCATTTACCGACAGATTTGGGTTTTCGATGTACAGAACCCAGAGGAGGTGATGGAGAAGGGTTCTGCTCCAATACTTGAGCAGAAAGGCCCGTACACTTACAGGTAGGTGAAGACCTAAGGACCAGGATGTCTTGAGGACATGGAAGAGGGATTAGAAAGCAAACAGAGAGACTTTATTGAGTTGGGAGAGGAATGGAAAGGAATAGAATAGAATAGAATAGAATAGAATAGAATAGAATAGAATAGAATAGAATAGAATAGAATAGAATAGAATAGAAGAATAAATGGAATGGAATGGAATGGAATAGACCAGAATGGAGAAATGTAGAGTAGAGTAGAGTAGAGTAGAGTAGAGTAGAGTAGAGTAGAGTAGAGTAGAGTATAGAGTAGAGTAGAATAGAAGAAGAATGGAATGGAATGGAATGGAATAGAATAGAATAGAATAGAATAGAATAGAATAGAATAGAATAGAATGTTCTGCCGGTTAAATTGTTCTGGACTCTCTTTTTTCTTCAAGGATGCGATACATGCCCAAAGAAAACATCACTGAACATGAAGATGGCACTCTGTCTTACCTCCAGCCAAATATTATGCTTTTTCAACCCAATATGTCAGTTGGGCCGGAAAGTGACACGGTCACCACCGTCAACTTTGCAGTTGTGGTAAGCAAGCTCCCTTAAGGTTTCTCACATCTGAATATTAAATTGTAAAAATAAATCAATAAAATTTGGGTACAGAATAGAATAGAGCTGGAAGAGACCTTGGAGGTCTTCTAGTTCCACCCCTTGCTCAGGCAGGAGACCCTATATCATTTCAGACAAGTGTCTGTCCAGTCTCTTCTTAAAAGCCCCCAGTGATGGAGCACCCACAACTTCTGGTGGCAAGCACTTCCATTGGTTAATTGTCCTCACTGTTAGGAAATTTCTCCTTAATTCCAGGTTGCGTCTCTCCTTGATTAGTTTCCATCCATTGTTTCGTATCCTGCTTTCTGGTGCTTTGGAAAATAGGTTGACCCCCCCCTCTTCTTTGGGGCAGCCCCCCAAATACTGGAAGACTCCTATCATGTCCCCCCTTATCCTTCTTTTCTCTAGATTGGCCATTCCCAATTCCTGCAGCCATTCTTCATATGTTTAGTCCCCAGGCCTTTAATCATCTTAGTTGCTCTTCTCTGCACTTTTTCCAAAGTCTCAGCATCTTTTTTTTGTAGTGTGGGGACCAAAACTGGATGCAGGATTCCAAATGGTGTGGCCTTACTAAGGCTTTATAAAGCGGTACTAATACTTCATGTGATTTTGATTCTATGCCTCTGTTTACACAACCAAGGATTGTGTTAGCTTTTTTGGCTGCTGTTGCACACGGCTGGCTCATGTTTAAGGGATTGTCCACTGGGATTCCAAGGTCCCTCTCACGGTGACTGTTTTTGAGCCTTGTTTTGCCTAGTTTTACAGCATGTGCCGAGGTTCCAAACATTAACATATTTTGTGATTTGATCACATATAAAACTTAATTCAAGGCTGTTTGTGTTGATTTGCACTCCGGTGTCTAAAAGTTATGGGCATATTGGTATTTGTTGCAGGCTGCCCCGGCTTTGTTTAAAAGTGTTCTTATTCAAGCCTTGATGAATATCTGGATAAAATCGTCAAAATCAAAATTCCTCCAGACTAGAACAGTGAAAGAAATACTTTGGGGTTATGAAGATCCTTTCTTGAAAAAAATCCCAATCGTAAAATTGGATAAATTCGTTGGAGTATTCTATCCTGTAAGTATGAACTCAGAGGGGGAAAAATCAATTGCTTGCGATTCAGAAAATGAAGAACGTTAAACATAACTGAGGCTTGGTACAGCAGATTTTAAAACACTAAAAAAAAATCATTCTTAATGTTGAAGCTGGGTTGGATCGAAAATTAATTTTCTGTTCTCTCTCTCTCTTTTTTTCTCCTTCAAGTATAATAAAACAGTCGATGGCCCTTACCGAATTTATACTGGGAAAGACGATATAAACAAGAAAGGAACTATCCTGACTTTTAATAATAGCAGGTATCATATCTTGGGGAAAATATAGCTTTATTCATTCATTCATTCATTCAGTCATTCGTTTATTTATTTATATACAAAATCTACAGTTTAATTAAGCAGTCTGTTCTATTTGGTGAACTCTTGCAGCATCACCTTCCTTAAAAAACATCCCAGGGCAGTTGCAGAATATGCTAAGCACAGAGAGATGCGCCGATTGTCATATTGTATAGTCCTTGACTTACGACATTCGAGCCTGGAATTTATGTTGCTAAGGGAGAAATTTGTTAAGTGATTTTTTTTTGCCCCATTTTACAACCTTTCCGGCATGTTCGTTAAGTGAGTCCCTCCAAGTGTTAAATGAGTTGCACGGTTGTTTAAGAGAATCCAGCTTCCCTCATTAGTTTGCCAGTCAGAAGGTCGCGAAAGGGAATCACGTCACCCTGGGAGATGCTGCGACCATCGTAAATACGAGTTGGTTGCTGAGCATCCAGATTTTGACCACATGACCGCGGGGATGCTGCGATGGTCGTTAAGTATGAAAAATGGCCATAACTCACTTTTTTCAGTGACTTTTTAATCTCTGAACGAATTCAATATGCCGAGGACTATCTGTATAAGAAACCTTGGGATTAAAATATCTACTCTCCCCGTGAATCGGTTTAATTCTCAAACTTTCCTTGGATTCAGAGGGCTAAGAAAACTGCGTGGCATCATCTCAGCTGTATCTTATTTTTCTTTTTCTCTTTTCTCCAAAGGACCCTTCACTACTTTAAGAGCTATTGTGACATGATCAATGGCACTGGTAAGGATGTCAGTGGAGCTAAGTATGAAATGTCTATTTATGCCTAGAACACACACAGTTCATTTTGGCATGTATTAAAAAACACGCCAGGTTGGGAACTGAAGCCCAGGTTGGAAAACACCTAAGGATCCCACCTCCAACAAATTTAAAAAAATAAATAAAAATAAAACCGTGCCACTGCTTTTTTGCCCCATCAAAATGAAGGGTAGGAGAAAGTTTGAAGTTTATGGAAAAAAAGAAAGATGCATGGATTTCAGGGGCAAAGTTCTCAAGAAAACAGTGGTCCATTTGTTAGGGCAGGGAAAAAGTTGGCTGCAATTACTATACTAAAACAAGTTGTGAGAATAGAGTAGAGTAGAGTAAAATAATGAAGAATAGACTAGAGTAGAATAGAATAGAATAATGAAGAATAGACTAGAATAAACTAGAATAGAGTAGAATAATGAAGAATAGACTAGAATAAACTAGAATAGAGTAGAATAATGAATAGAGTAGAGTAGAGTAGAGTAGAAGAATAGAATAGAATAGAATAGAATAGAATAGAATAGAATAGAATAGAATAGAATAGAATAGAATAGAACAGAATAGAATAGAACAGAACAGAGGAATAAAGAATAGAATAGAATAGAGTAGAAGAATAGAATAGAATAGAATAGAATAGAATAGAATAGATTGCTATTGTCACTTTGAATGTGCACTAATTGGCATACATCAAAATGAAATTTCGTTGCATTCAGCTCTCAAAGGGTCACCACCTCCGAAAGACACTACATAAATATGACCAAAATAAATAGAGTTGCGAGGCTCCCAACTCACAAGATGCTCTGATTGTTAACTCACAGATGCGTCCTCGTTCCACCCTTTTGTCAGCAAGAGTGAACAGCTGTACTTCTTTTCCTCGGATGCTTGCAGGTAAAAGGGGTTACTTAAAAATACTCTTGTCAGGGGGATTTTTGTGGAACCAAAAACAAAAAAAAAACACAACCCCCCCCCAAAAAACTGCTATTCTCTCCACACGTCTTATTTTTATGATGCAGGTCAGTCTCCGCCAGATTTGACAGGGAGGAGACTGTGAAAGGCATCTTGCTTTATCGCTTCAGCATCCCTCCGTCGGCTTTTGCCTCAAGCCTTACCAACCCTGACAATATCTGCTTTTGCACGGACAAGGAGATAAGTATGAACTGTACAACACGTGGAGTTCTGGATATCAGCTCCTGCAAACAAGTTAAGTGGGGACGAAAAAAAGGGGGCTAAGGAAGTCTTGTTTAGACCCAGAGCGGAATAGGTGGGATCCTTACGTGGCTAGAGTGAGTGAATCACTGCAGTTGGTGGCTTACCCATTGACTTTAGAATAGAACAGAACAGAACAGAATAAATAGGGGTAGAGTAAGAATAGGATAGGAGTAAGAACAGAACAGAACAGAACAGAATAGAATAGGATGGGGTCCAGCCAGAGTTTGAAAGCTCAGAAAATTTATTTATTTATGAGACTTATATACCGCTTTAAGTGCAAGCACTCTCTAAGCAGTGTACACCAGTAAGCAATGTATATATATATATTTACATTGCCCCCAACAATCTGGGTCCTCACTTTACCTACCCCGGAAGGATGGAAGGCTGAGTCAACCATGAGCCGGTGAGATTTGAACCGCTGACCTGCTGAACACAGTCAGCTAAAGTGGCCTGCAGTACTGCACTCTAACTGCTGCGCCACCACTGGTCCAGATTGGAGCCCGCAACATTATCTTGGGACGTTTTATTATATTCGCCTTCGCTCGTGACATCCGCAGTTTTCCATTCGGCTTCACTAAGAGATGGGGATTTTTGCAATCCGCGTTGCAAACTCTCTTTATTTCCCCTTTTCCTTCCACAGGTAAACCTGTCTACCTCTCCATGCCCCACTTCCTGTCCGGAAGTAAGATACTTTTTCAATTTGTGAAAGGGATGAAGCCAAGCGTGGAAGAACACACCACCTTTCTGGATGTGGAACCGGTAGGGAACCAGGATCTGACTCCGCTTTAAGACCGAAATCAAAGCCAGATCCACGGCCATCTTGGTCGTAAAAGGGGACCCTCGGAGTTAATTTTGGGGTTTGCGCACTGAGGGGCACCAAAGCTTTCTCCTAGTTCGATCAGTCTGCCGGTGGGGTGAAGATTCTCATCAGCCTGTACGGGTGCCCCCCCCCCCGATTTTTGTTGCTAAGTGAGACATTCCTTAAGTGAAGTCTGCCCCCGTTGTACGACCTTTCCATTTAAATTAATTGCAGATTGAGTCCTTGAAACAAGCAGACTTCTGGGCTGTTGAGAATCCACCAATGCTGGCTTAACCCTTCCCAACCCAGCATCCAAATGCATTATTTCTCTCTTGAATGCTGCTGATCCTTGATTATACCCCCCATTTGCAAAGTTCACGGCATTTGTTTGGTTTTAGGTCACAGGATTTACCTTGAGCTTTTCCAAAAGGTTGCAGATTAATCTACTGGTGAGACCAAATTCAAAAATCGCGTAAGTCGGGGCTGTTATTATTCCCCCCCCCCCAATTGGGGAAACGTTGGCCGATGGATGGTTTGTTCTACAGGGATGCTTATCGGGAATAGTGGCTTATGGGCAACCGCATCACGGGGTGAAAATCTGCAAGATGGCAGGCCAGTCCAGAGAATAGGAGGATTATGGGTGACCTGAAGCAGTATTCCAGTATTTGAGGGGCTGCCACAAGGAAAAGGGGGATCAACTTATTCTCCAAAACCCCTGAAGGCAGCACAAGAAGCAACGGGTGGAAACTAATCAAGGAGAGAAGCAACCTGGAACTAAGGAGGAATTTCCTGACAGTGAGGACAATTAATCAGTGGAACAGCTTGCCACCAGAAGTTGTGGGTGGTCCATCACTGGAGGTTTTTAAGAAGAGACTAGACAGCAACCTGTCTGGAATGGTCTAGGGTCTCCTGCTTGAGCAGGGGGTTGGACTAGAAGACCTCCAAGGTCCCTTCCAGCTCTATTCTGGTTAATTGATTCCCATCCACATTACAGACAAGGCTTCATCTATGTATGTGTGTATGTATGTATATGTATGTGTGTGTTAGCCATTTTTTGCATTCTTAAAAGACAGCTGCCCCAATCGGAGCTGTTTTAATGTCGCTGCTTTCTCCCTTCCCCCCCCATTTTTCTTTTCCACAGAGCACTAAAAAACATCAAGCATTTCTTTTACTTTCCTATTCTGTGGCTGAACGAGGTGAGTAGGTTTGCATTTTTCTGTCGTCGTGATCTTTCCTTTTCAGTTGGGTTCTTTGGACCCATCTGGGAATCCCTGGCGATTGAACCAGCTAAATAAAGGGAAGGCCTGGAAATGATCGCCGATCCACCACGGAGGGACCGACAGCTGGTTCCCCACTCTCAAGAGCTGGGGAGAAGCAACAGAGGGCCTGTCCTGAACTGGTCCTGGTTTCCTCTGAAAGGAAACCCAGTAGAAAACTACTTCTGGGGTTATTGGTTCTCTCTTTTCCCAGTCTCCACGGCTTCCCACCCCGTCAACCTCTCAACCCTGTTAGGTGGAAAGAAGCAAGAACGCTCTGGGCCAGGGGTCTTCAGACTTGGTCCTTTGATGACTTGTGGACCTCAGCTCCCAGAATTCCTCAGCCAGTGTGCACGCTGGCTGAGGAATTCTGGGAGTTGAAGTCCACAAGTCATCAAAGGGCCAAGTTTGAAGACCCCTTCTCTAGATGGTTTCCATCTGGAGGGTGCAAAGTCATCTTTAGCCACCAGCAGACGTTGCTTTGATTTTTTTTTTCTTGCCTTTATGCCACATTATTCACTTTCTTCTTCTTCTTCTTCTTTCCCCAGACGGCTACGATCGATGATGAGAAAGCAGATTTTTTCCGATCAAAAGTGACCAACAAGATCAAGTTGCTGTACTTCCTTCAATGGGCCCTAATTATCATTGGTTCTCTAATGTTCCTGGGCATCCTAATTGTCTTTTTCATGTGCAAAGACAAGAGACCTAAATGAGTAAGTGAGGTTTAGAATTAAGGTCTCTAATTAACTCATTAGTTTGGAAGGAGTTCTCAGCTCCACCAGATTCTTGGTGGCGTGGGACCTTAAAAATAGCGAGTAGCAAGAAAAGAGGAAGGGAACAATGTAGTTGCAGGCAACCATTCCAGCTAACAGGTAATGTTCTACAAGAGCTTCAAATCCAGGCAAATTTTCAAACATACAGAATTTTGGACAGCTTCCGTTGTGCAAGGCAGGTGCCCTGTCCTAAATTGCCATTTCTTAGCAATTTTGTTTTTAACAGTTGTGTTTGTGAGTGTCAACGCTCACCTCTTCGCTCCATGCATACATAACAGAGGCTAGAAACGCTTCTTCGACTTAAACAACAGCCAGCTGTGTGCGGCGGCAGCCCAAAAAGCAAACACAATCGGTTGTGTAAACAGAGGCACGGAATCAAAATCACGTGAAGTATTCGTAGTGCTATATAAAGGCCACATCTGGAATACTGCCTCCAGTTTTGGTCCCCACATTACAAAAAAAAAAAAATGTTGAGACTTTGGAAAAAGCGCAAAGAAGAGCAACTAAGATGATTCAGGCTAAAACATCTGTTGAAAATTGAGAACTACCTGTAATAATACAGAGAGGGGATCTTGGCTGCCAAGATGCATTTCAGTAGAAATTTAATTCTCAAATGAATCATCCAACAATTTTGGATTTATCTGACTCACATGTAGTTTTTTTTTTTCTTTTCTCAGCCTGTCTGGTGAAAGCAACCATTTCTTCCAGTTTCATGCAGAGAGCGGAGCATTGTCTTCCTAGAGTCATTTTGGGTTGTGCTCTTAAATATTGTAATATGGACAGACAGGTGAAGGATAAGGTTTTATTTTATCCTGTCCTCAATAAAACAACAATATCTTTTGTTATTTTTGTGATAATCGCAGAGTCACTGTGTATGAGAATGGCCAGAATGAGTTCTGGTTATAGATCAGTAAAAATAAAACGTTATCGGAGAAAGATAAATTTTAATACACTCCCATCTGGGCTCCATAAGTAACGCTTCGTTTTCATGTAGACTTGTGTGTGTGTGTTTGTTGTCCACTCTTCTGTTGTGCGTGGCTTTGATGTTCACGAATCCGGGCTTGTAATAATGGACTTGGAAACGCGGTGGTTTCGATTACTCTGAACAGGAACCTAAAATGGAAGGAGATATTCAAGCGAGCGGGAAGGGATGGGGTTAAATACACAGCTAGTCCTCTAGTTACGATCACACAAGTGAGCCCAAAATTGATGCAGCTAAGCGAAACTTTTGTTAAGTGAGTTTTGCCCCATTTTATGACTTTTCTTGCCATGGTGGTTAAGGGAACTCATCACTAAATCAGTGCAAAAATTCCGTGTTTTCACCCCTGCCTGGGAGGAACTTTAAAAGTAACTTTCAAAGTATTAGGGTTTCCTGCCTGAGCAGGGGGTTGGACTGGATGACCTCCAAGATCCCTTCCAACTTTTTGTTAAATTATTATTATTATTATTATTTCTTGCTCATCATGCTGGATGAAAGCTAGTGTGGGGAAAAGCAAGACGGATGGGTGGCAGATTTAGGTAGATTAAATCCATAAAGTACCTTGGAAGCAAAGCCAGAATAACTGCGATCATGAAGTCAAGATAAAACGTCGGATTCATTAATTGCCTCTGAATAATCCAATAGGGATTTGCTGGTGGGTTGCAGAGGACACAGAAAGCTCCCAGCAGCCCAAGAATTAAGAAATATAGGAAGATGCTACCCCCCAAAACAGAGAAATGGATAACAGTCTGAAACAAATAAAAAAAAAAACGGAAGTACAGATTTCATTTCGATCAGATCTGCTTCCATTTCTAGAAGGATTCAGGCAGCCTTGAGGATTTAACGTTAACATTCAAGGATTTTCACATTTTAGCCGTCAGATTAGTATTAGTAGCCAAAGGTGAATACATTTGGGTTTATTATTATGTACAAATGCAATTGATGAGGGGCGAAAGGCACAAAATGATTCTGTGAACTGAATGTTAGAATGAACGTGTAATATACTTACCACATTTTTACTTTCAATCAGAAGATGTAGTAGTATTATAAATAACATGGTAGTATTCATACGATTTCCAAAAGAATAGATATCTACATCAGAATCTTGGAATGTCTGCAAAGGAACCATTATATAACCATAAAAATCTCTCTCTCTCTCTCTCTCTCTTCTGCATCTCTCTATATCTGTCTATCTCTCTATTTCCCTATATCTCTCTATATCTATATATTATATAAAAATTACATACCGCTAACTATGGTAATAACATAAAGAAATATTAAACTATTTGGTATCTTGATATAGAAATTCCTGTTGATTGCTAAAGATGATTATGGGTAGTGATGTAAAGTTTGATACCAATAAACATGTACAATGAGTATGCGCTATTTTTAAAAAAACAAAATTTAAAGTATCAGAGATCAGGAGCAAGTAGCCAATTTGGCGATACGTACAAAGTAGCAGATAAAAAAGCAAACCAGACTTTGGTAAAAGGCATCCACCAAGTTCATTGCAAAGGCTACGCCCACATATGGCTGAAAAGGAAATAAAGAAAAGAGGGTGGTCAGTTTTGCTCATTTGAATTATCAATTTTCCGCTAACTTTGCTTGTCTCTAAACCTGCCTCCATCCATCGGTTAGAAACCTATCAAAGAACATTCTTCAGCTCCACCTTTTTGGAAATTTAAAAAGAAACGAGTGATAAAATGGTGGTTCAAGTGGCAAGGAACTAAGAATCAGTTGAGCCAAGCCAAAATAAAATAAAATAAAATAAAATACCTCATCTTTCTGACTGGCTTTGTAAAGCTCCGGATGGTTCAGGAGAGTTTCTGCAGAGACATCTTTATCTAAAACCCCATATATGACGGGTGGTACCGATGTGAAGAGGAGATTGAAGAAAATCAGACTCCAATAATCAATCGCGGGAGTTCCTGAAAACCCACAAAAGAACTGGTACCAGAACAGGAGATTGACGTATGCCTGCAAGGATTGGAAGAAGAAAAAAAGGACAATGCATTGTGGGAAGCATCAGGGAGATACTGGGAAGAAGTTTAATGGACTTCAGAGGGCGCTACAGAAATACAGCATTTGTCTTCTATAATTATGGTTCTCGGCTGCTTGACTTCCTTCAAAGCTCTGGAATCAGCACTGAGGGTGAAAGTGTGATCGATGTTTGTTCATCTTTGGAGCTTAATCAACCTTAATGCTAGTGCAAAAACAACATCTGACAGCTGAACTTATTAACCCGGTTCCCTTTTCAATGCATTCTTCCCGCCTCTGAAATCCAGGATACAGTTGGTAGCTAACATACCACGTTCTTGTAAAAGAAGTAGAGGATCATGTTAGCCAGTCGGGTGTAACACCAGTGGCCATGAACAAATAGCAACTTCCTGAGATGCTGGAATTGAGAAATTGCGAAGTCGCTGGCTAACACAGCCTGCAAACACATATAAGAGAAGTCACAGATTAATCAAATGAATTGTACTTACTGTTCTTGTCTAATAGTCCTGGTCTTGTGTGCAATATACTATTCTATTATATAACAGGCTTCATCAACCAGGCAGAAATGAACCGTTCGAGCAAGGTCACCCAAAAGCGTGCCTGGCCGAGGAATTCTGGGAGTTGAAGTCCACAAGTCATAAAAGGGCCAAGATTGAAGACCCCTGATATGGGGTCATGGGTCATCCTACCTGCATGCCTTCTTGCCCGGAAATTCCAATTCCAATGTCCGCCACCTGAATCATGCTGACATCATTGGCCCCGTCACCTTTGAAGCAGAAAGCACAAGAGCCTTGAAATCAACAGCCACTTTTGTACCCACTGGAAAATAGACTGAGCCCCCTCTTCTTTGGGGCAGCCCCTCAAATATTAAACATTATCCTAGAATAGAATAGAGCTGGAAGGGACCCTGGAGGTCTTCTAGTCCAGCCCCCTGCTCAAGCAGGAGAACCTATACCGTCTCAGACAAGTGACTGTCTAGCCTCTTCTTAAAAATCTCCAGTGATGGAGTGCCCATGATTTCTGGAGGCAACTTCTGTTCCACTGGGTTAATTGTCCTCACTGTCAGGAAGTTTCTCCTTAATTCCAGGTTGTTTCTCTCCTTAATCAGTTTCCAACCATTGTTTCTCATCCTTCCCTCTGGTGCTCTGGTGAACAACCTGACCCCTTCTGCTTTGTGGCAGCCCCTCACCCCTATTCTTTTCATTAAACTAGAGGCCTTACCCTATCTAGAGGGTGCACCATGGTGGAAAATGTTGAGAGGGGTCTCATTGAAAGTTATTAAAATCCTTATGATGGGGATATAAATGTATCGGAGCTCTTTTGAAAACATTTAACTGTGGGTAGGGAAGAGTTCCAATAATAGAAAAAGGAAGAAATAGTTTCAAATTTGAGTCAATTTTCTTCCACTGGGCAAGAAACTAAGTATCAGAAATTCTATTATAACATTTTAGTAGAGTCCCTAGAAAGCAAAGCAAAGCAAAGCAAAACAAACCAGTCCTGTTTGTTTTTCTTAAAGAAAAAAAAAGATGGAAAAAAAATAACAAATTCAAAATAAAACCAAGGGCTGCCTGGCAAGATTGTGACAGGGTGAAGATGCAAACAAAAAACAAAAAAAGAGCTTTGAATGTTAGGTGGAGGGGAGGACCCACCAACCACAAGGGCAATCTGTTGCAAGAGAGGCAATCCTCATCACCCCCCCCCCCCAAGGCTGGCTAATGGGACCTGTAGTCCAAAGTATCTCCTATGCCAGGGGTCTTCAAACTTGGCCCTTTGATGACTGGTGGACTTCAACTCCCAGAATTCCTCAGCCAGGCACACATGCATATAACCATAATTTTATTTTTATTATTATTTTTTGTATGCATTACATTTTTAGATTTTTATTTATTTATTTATTTGTAAAAACAGCGAGCATTTTAAGCAAGGGGGGCGGGAATGCTCAACATGAGCAAAAAAAAAAAAAAAAAAAAGCTCTGTTGCAAGAAGGGATCATCCCAATCGCCTTCACCTGTGCAGCCCTGATGAGCCGCCTCGCGCCCCGCCGCCGTCTCCATGGCAACCGCTGCGCGAGCCTGGGAACCAGCCGAGCGATCGCACCTGTTTGAGCGCGCGCCTTTCCCGCGCAGCGCCCTCGGACCGCCTCGCGGGCTCCTTTCTGCACGCCCATCTCGCCCGCTGATTGGCTGCTCCGAAAACGCGTCCCTCGGATTGGCTGAGCCGTCTGTCCCTCTCTCCGAGAGGCGGGCACCTTTTAAAAGTCGGCGGGCTCCTCAGGCTGAGGGAAAAAAGCGAAGCGAGCGCGCTGCTAAGGCAGCGGACGCCGCTCTCGCGTCTCTGGGTCCCCGAAAGGGACGATGCTGCGGGGCGCCGGGGGGTTAAAATGCCTCTCCCCGGCGCTCCCGCGGCCCAAGCCCTCGAGCTCGAGGCCGGGCAGGGCCTTTTGAGCTTTTGAGGTAATTCTAGCGGAGACTTTTCTAGCTGAGGGGAGCCTGAGGGGAGCCTGAGGGGAGCGCCAGGTCTTGAGCGAACGACTAGCCCCTGCGGTAATTCTAAGCGCGGCGCGTGTTCTTTGGAATAAAACGCCGGGGGTGGCTGAGGCGATATCTCGACGGTGTTTTATTCACACGACGCCAATACCGCAGGTCCCCAAAGACGCTGGTCTCAAGTCTCGGCAAATTGCTGGGTCTTGAAGTAATTCTAGTCAAAGCTCAAGTTCTTAAAATGTTGGTGGAACCTCAGCCATGTCCGTTTAAAAAGGACCAAACCACCACAGGTGAATGAGGGTTGCAATTAGCTTTGGAGTAAATCTTAGCCAGGACCTTGCAGCAAGCTGAGGCCATTTTAGGCAGGTGTGGTTAAAAGGGCTAACCTGCCACAGGTGAACCAGCTTTAAAATTAGCCTCAAGGCAAAATGGCTTCAGTCCCTGGAGTTGCCCTTTCTGGAATAAAGTCAGCTCTTGGGACCTGAGGAAGTTTTAGTCAAGGCTCAAATCCTTAAAAGAAGCAAACCATGTAGTGGCTTCAAGTCACTAAAGGCAAAAGTTAACTAAAATTACTTCAGGTCCTGGAGTTGACCTTTCTTTCTTGAAATAAAGTCAGCTCTTGGGAGAATTTTAGCCAAGGCGCACATTTTAAAATATTGGGGGAATCTGAGATAATCTCAGCCATGTCCTTTAGAAGGACCAAACCACCATAGGCAAGTCAGAATTAAAAATAGTTTTAAAGGTAAAGATAAAATTACTCAGACCTTGCTCTCAGGAATAAAGTGATTTCTTGGGATCTGAGTTAACTTTAGTGGGCTCAAGTCCTTAAAAGAAGCAAAATATGTAGAGGACTAGCTACTTCAAGGAACTAAACAAAAAGGTTAACTAAAATTATTTCTGGTCAGGGAATTGGACTTATTTTCTTGAAATAAAGTCAATTCTGGAGGCCTGAGGGAATTTTAGCCAAGGCTCAAGTTCTTAGAGTAAAATATTGGTGGAACCTGAGATAATCTCAGCCTGGACAGCCATTTGTCTGAAATGGTATAGGGTTTCCTGCCTGAGCAGGGGGTTGGACTAGATGACCTCAAAGGTCCCTTCCAACTTTATTATTATGTCCTTTTAAAAGGGACCCAAACCACCACAGGGAATAAGAGTTAAAATTAGCTTGGGGTAAAATCTGAGTTAATCTTTGCCATGTCCTTGCAGGCTAAAAAGTACTTCAAGTAAGTAGAGGTGAAAGTTAACTAAAATTACTTCAGGCCCAGGACCCTGGCTTAACTCTCAGGAAATTGCTTCTGTACCTGGAGTCAACTCTTGGGACCTTAGGAAATTTTAGTCAAGGCTCAAGACCTTAAAAGAAGCAAAACATGTAAAAAAACGACTAGTTGCATGGTCTGAGGTCTTCTTTCACTTGTAGGATAAAACACAAAAATCCCCTTTGATTGATTGCTTTTCTAATCTCTGAACATTGGTCATTTAGTGATGTTGATTTTTTTTAATTTCAAAGGCATGAATCCATATAGACGAAGAAGAAGACATCAACAGTAAGAGAGATGGTTTAATTCACTCTCCAGTATATCATGAAAGTGTGGAAGCCTGGCAGTTAGTTTGCAACATGTTTATTCCTGCAAAAAAGTTTTACAAAGTATCAATGGTAGAAAGAGCAGTGGTAGAGCATTCCACATACCCACAAGCATAGCGATGGTGGTGATGCCCCCTAGTGGTGGAGGTCTCTCAGTCCCTGAGCTTCCACTCTGTGACACTCACACTGAATGAGCCGGGGAAGCAAACTGCTACCTGTCTCATTGAATCCCTGAGCAAACACTGTGGGGGACTCACACTGGAGGTCCTCTCTGGGGTCAGCCTAGGTGACCCTTTCAGTCCCTGAGCACGCACTGAGGGCGAATCAACACTGGTAGAGTGAACAGCGTCCACTCCTCCACTGCCTGAGGACCCCCTCAGTGAGACTCAAACTGGAAGGCGATCCTTTGGGATCGCCTCACACTTGAAATGAGGTGTCCTTGGTGCTGTCTGAGCTTGGTGGTTTTCTTGTAGACGTTTCATTACCAAACTAGGGAACATCATTAGTGCTAGTAGAAAGGAGTGTGGTTTGCTGTCAGGTTATGATCGAGTGGCTTCTTTCAGTGTTGTTGAAAATGGTCTTGGAGGTCCTCTGTTGCGCTATTTGTTGTTAGCTTCTTTGACCGTTCCTTGATTGCGGTATTGTTTTCTTGCCATGGTGATGGTTTTTAGAACCCAAAATAAAACCTCAACGGCCATTTTTAATATTAGTTGTGGCTGTTGATCTATAAAAGAGGTTAGGGTTTTCTAGCTTTGCAGACTGAGCGGAGGAAGAATTGCACCACTGCTGCCAAAAGTTCCTCGAAAGAGACAACGCTGGCTGGGCACGACTGAGGAAACAAGAAGAAAGAAACAAAAGCAAAAGAAGAAAAAGAAAGAAGAAAGAAGAAGAGAGCAAGAAAATGTCTCCAGCTCAAGCCCATCTTCGGCTGTGATGTGGCCTCCTACGCTATGAGGTAAGTTTAGCCGAGTCTTGTAGTCTTCAAAGTTTTGGGATATGGAGGGAGGTGACCACTACTTGATGGTCATTCCTAGGTAGGTACCACCTGCAAATGGGGTAATAGTAAGCAGTGTGTACTGTGCATTCTTAGGACTAAAACTCCAATGGCAGCTGAAGTAATGTTAGGGTTTTTTTTTTTTTTATCTCAAAGGCCTGTTCTCTGCACCACCTTAGAAGACAGAAGACTCAGTCGTCAGCCTGCAGCGTCGATGGAAGAAGGAGGAACGGAATGCAATAAGGATGGTTATTAGAACCAAAAAAACATCCTCAATGGCTCTTTTAATGCTAGGCATGGCTGTTGCTGGATTATAGATTTTATAGTTTTCTGCCTGGTATAAATTTAGCCATGGCAATGTTCTTAGAACCAGGAAGAAAACCTCATTGGCCCTTTTAAATGACCAGTGTGTGGCCAGTGCTTGGTAACAGATTTTAGAGCATTCTTGCCTGCTGTAAATTTACCCATGGCAAGGGTTATTAGAACCAAAAAAACATCCTCAATGGCCCTTTTTAATCCTAGGTGTGGCTGTTGATGGATTATAGATTTTATAGTTTTCTGCCTGGTATAAATTTAGCCATGGCAATGGTTCTTAGAACCAAAAATAAAACCTCATTGGCCGTTTTAAATGATCAGTGTGGCCAGTGCTTGGTAACATATTTTACAGCTTTCTGCTTGGCATAAACTTAAGCCATGGCGATGGTTCTTAGAACCAGAAAGAAAACCTCAATGGCCCTTTTTAATGATAGATGTGGCCGTTGATCTATAGAAGATTTTATAGTTTTTGAGTCTTTGAGACTGAGGGGAGGAACACTGGCACACTTGCTGCCAAATGTTCATCAAAAGAGACAAGACTTGCTGGGCACAGCATAAGAAGAAACAGCAAAAGAAGAAAGAAGAGAGCAAGAAAATGTCTCCAGCTCAAGCCGTGTTTAGCCTTCGGCTGTGATGTTGCTTTCTACACTATGAGGTAAGTTTAGCCGAGTCTTGTATTCTTCAAAGTTTTGGGATATGGAGGGAGGTGGATGGTCCCTTATGCCTAGATAAGTAAGTATAACACCTGTGACTGAGGTAATAGTACACACTATGTATTGTGCATTCTTAGGAGTAAAACTCCAATGGCAGCTGAAGTAATGTTAGGGTTTTTTTTATCTCAAAGGCCTGTTCTCTGCACCACCTTAGAAGACAGAAGACTCAGTCGTCAGCCTGCAGCGTTGATGGAAGAAGGAGGAATGGACCTTTAGATGATAGATTTTATACCATTCTTGCCTGCTGTAAATTTAGCCATGGCAATGGTTAATAGAACCAAAAAAAACCACCTCAATGGCCCTTTTTAATCCTATTCTTGGCTGTTGATGGATTATAGATTTTATAGTTTTCTGCCTGGCATAAATTTAGCCATGGCAATGGTTCTTAGAACCAGAAAGAAAACCTCATTGGCCCTTTTAAATGACCAGTGTGTGGCCAGTGCTTCATAACAGATTTTAGAGCATTCTTGCCTGCTGTAAATTTAGCCATGGCAAGGGTTATTAGAACAAAAAAAAAACATCCACAATGGCCCTTTTTAATCCTAGGCTTGGCTGTTGATAGATTGTAGAATGCTACTTCATTGTCAGTCATAACTGACTTTTAGAGGAATTGCTGAAACTATAAGAGACTTTTGGTTCTAAGAGATCTGGCTGCTTCTGACATTATTTCTCAGGGTGTGAAGGTGGGAGGGAAGCCATCCAAAAGGATTCCCACCATCCAGTTTGAGACTCAGCTGGACTCACAACTCAAACGAAAGAGGACGACCAAGGCCGGAGCCCTTTCTGCCTCTGCCAGGGGTGGGCTGGGGGGGCACACAGGCAAACAGCAAGGACAGCTTGGCTGCTGAAACACTGAGCATCTTGGGAGGGAAGCGAGGGCAAATGGCAAGGGCTGGGGGCTGATGCGACTGCCTGCGCCTTGGGAGGGAAGGGTGGGCAAATGGCAAGGGCTGGGGGGCTGATAGGACTGCTTGTGCCTTGGGAGGGAAGGGAGGGCAAATGGTAAGGGCTGGGGGGCTGATGGGACTACTTGCGCCTTGGGAGGGAAGGGAGGGCAAATGGAAAGGGCTGGGGGGCTGATGGGACTGCTTGCGCCTTGGGAGGGAAGGGAGGGCAAATGGAAAGGGCTGGGGGGCTGATGCGACTACTTGCGCCTTGGGAGGGAAGGGAGGGCAAATGGCAAGGGCTGGGGGGCTGATGGGACTGCTTGCGCCTTGGGAGGGAAGGGAGGGCAAATGGAAAGGGCTGGGGGACTGATGCGACTACTTGCGCCTTGGGAGGGAAGGGAGGGCAAATGGCAAGGGCTGGGGGGCTGATGGGACTGCTTGCGCCTTGGGAGGGAAGGGAGGGCAAATGGAAAGGGCTGGGGGGCTGATGCGACTGCTTGCGCCTTGGGAGGGAAGGGAGGGCAAATGGCAAGGGCTGGGGGGCTGATGGGACTGCTTGCGCCTTGGGAGGGAAGGGAGGGCAAATGGCAAGGGCTGGGTGGGCTGCTGGTATTGCTACCGTCGTAGCCCCCCAGCCCTTGCCATTTGCCCTCGCTTCCCTCCCAAGATGCTCAGTGTTTCAGCAGCCAAGCTGTCCTTGCTGTTTGCCTGTGTGCCCCCCCAGCCCACCCCCTGGCAGAGGCAGAAACGGCTCCGGCCTTGGTCCTCCTCTTTCGTTTGAGTTGCGAGTCTAGCTGAGTCTCAAACTGGATGGTGGGAATCCTTTTGGATCGCTTCCCTCCCACCTTCACACCCTGAGAAATAATGTCAGTAGCGGCCAGATCTCTTAGAACCAAAAATAAATCTGTTGTTGAGCTTTGTTATGAGGTTTTCCCATATGAATAAATTAATAACTAGATTTTTTGCTAGGGTTAGGCATCAGGTTCTCGAACTGGAAAATAAATCTCTGTGGCCCTTTTTAATTCTAGACGTGGCCACTGAAACCCTGAGTAGATTCCTTGCCTGGCTTAATTCAAACATGATGTTGGTTCTTAGAACCAGAAAACATCTCAATGGCCCTTTTTAATGCTAGAGGTGCCGGTGATGGATAATAGATTTTATAGTTTTCTGCCTGGCGTAAATGTAGCCCTGGCGATGGTTCTTAGAACCAGGAAGAAAACCTCAGTGGCCCTTTTTAATGCTAGGTGTGTGGCCAGTGCTTCATAACAGATTTTAGAGCATTCTTGCCTGCTGTAAATTTAGCCATGGCAAGGGTTCTTAGAACCAAAAAAACATTCTCAATGGCCTTTTTAATCCTAGGTTTGGCTGTTGATGGATTATATTATAGTTTTCTGCCTGGCGTAAATGTAGCCCTGGCAATGGTTCTTAGAACCAGAAAGCAAACCTCAACGGCCCTTTTTAATGCTAGGTGTGTCCGTTGATCTATAGAAGATATTGTAGTCTTTGAGGTTGAGGGGAGGAATGATGGCACACCTGCTGCCAATCTTCCTCGAAAGAGACAACGCTTGCTGGGCACGACTGAGGAAGAAACAAAAACAAAAGAAGAAAGAAGAAAAAAGAGAGCATGAAAACGTCTCCACCTCAAGCCCTGTTAACCTTTGGCTGTGATGTGGCCTCCTACGCTGTGAGGTAAGTTTAGCCGAGTCTTGTATTCTTCAAAGTTTTGGGATATGGAGGGAGGTGACCACTACCTGATGGTCATTCCTAGGTAGGTACCACCTGCAAATGGGGTAATAGTAAGCAGTGTGTACTATGCATTCTTAGGAGTAAAACTCCAATGGCAGCTGAAGTAATGTTAGGGGTTTTTTTTATCTCAAAGGCCTGTTCTCTGCACCACCTTAGAAGACAGAAGACTCAGTCATCAGCCTGCAGCGTCGATGGAAGAAGGAGGAATGGACCTTTAGATGATAGATTTTATATCATTCTTGCCTGCTGTAAATTTAGCCATGGCAATGGTTCTTAGAACCAAAAAAACCACCTCAACGGCCCTTTTTAATCCTATTCTTGGCTGTTGATGGATTATAGATTTTATAGTTTTCTGCCTGGCATAAATTTAGCCATGGCAATGGTTCCTAGAACCAGGAAGAAAATCTCATTGGCCCTTTTAAATGACCAGTAAGTGGCCAGTGCTTCGTAACAGATTTTAGAGCATTCTTGCCTGCTGTAAATTTAGCCATGGCAAGGGTTCTTAGAACCAAAAAAACATTCTCAATGACCTTTTAAATCCTAGACTTGGCTGTTGATGGATTATAGATTTTATAGTTTTCTGCCTGGCGTAAATGTAGCCCTGGCGATGGTTCTTAGAACCAGAAATCAAACCTCAACGGCCCTTTTTAATACTAGGTGTGTCCGTTGAGCTATAGAATATTTTGTAGTCTTTGAGGTTGAGGGGAGGAACGATGGCACACCTGCTGCCAATCTTCCTCGAAAGAGACAACACTTGCTGGGCACAGCAGAGGAAGAAGGAAAAGAAGAAAGAAGAGTATGAAAATGTCTCCAGCTCAAGCCCTGTTAGCCTTCGGCTGTGATGTGGCCTCCTACGCTGTGAGGTAAGTTCATCTGAGTCTTGTATTCTTCAAACTTTTAGGATATGGAGCGAAGTAGATGGTCTTCCACTACTGGATGGTCCTTCCTAGGTAAGTAAAACCTGCAAACGGGGTAATAGTAAGCGGTGTGTACTATGCATTCTTAGGAATAAAACTCCAATGGCAGTTGAAGTAATGTTAGGGGTTTTTTTTATCTCAAAGGCCTGTTCTCTGCACCACCTTAGAAGACAGAAGACACAGTCATCAGCCTGCAGCGTCAATGGAAGAAGGAGGAATGGAATGCAATAAGGATGGTTATTAGAACCAAAAAACCCACCTCAATGGCTCTTTTTAATCCTATTTTTGGCTGTTGATGGATTATAGATGATATAGTTTTCTGCCTGGCGTAAATTTAGCCATGGCAATGGTTCTTAGAACCAGGAAGAAAACCTCAGTGGCCCTTTTAAATGACCAGTGTGTGGCCAGTGCTTGGTAAGAGATTTTATAGCTTTCTGCCTGGTGTAAATTTAGCCATGGCAAAGGTTCTTAGAACCAAAAAACCCACCTCAATGGCCTTTTTAATCCTGGGCATGGCTGTTGATGGATTATATTATAGTTTTCTGCCTGGCGTAAAGTTAGCCCTGGCAATGGTTCTTAGAAACTGAAAGAAAATCTCAACGGCCCTTTTTAATGCTAGGTGTGTCCGTTGAGCTACAGAAGATTTTGTAGTCTTTAAGGTTGAGGGGAGGAAGAATGGCACACCTGCTGCCAATCTTCCTTGAAAGCGACAAGACTTGCTGGGCACAGCAGAGGACGAAGGAAAAGAAGAGAGCAAGAAAATGTCTCCAGCTCAAGCCCTGTTAGCCTTCAGCTGTGATGTTGCCTCCTACACTGTGAGGTAAGTTTAGCCGAGTCTTGTATTCTTCAAAGTTTTAGGATATGGCAGAAAGTGCATGGTCTTCCACTATTGGATGGTCCTTCCTAGGTAAGTAACACCTGCAAATGGGGTAATAGTAAGCAGTGTGTACTATGCATTCTTAGGAGTAAAACTCCAATGGCAGCTGAAGTAATGTTAGGGGTTTTTTTTATCTCAAAGGCCTGTTCTCTGCACCACCTTAGAAGACAGAAGACTCAGTCATCAGCCTGCAGCGTCGATGGAAGAAGGAGGAATGGACCTTTAGATGATAGATTTTATACCATTCTTGCCTGCTGTAAATTTAGCCATGGCAATGGTTCTTAGAACCAAAAAAACATTCTCAACGGCCCTTTTTAATCCTAGGCGTGGCTGTTGATGGACTATAGATTTTATAGTTTTCTGCCTGGCGTAAATTTAGCCATGGCAATGGTTCTTAGAACCAGGAAGAAAACATCATTGGCCCTTTTAAATGACCAGTGTGTGGCCAGTGCTTCGTAACAGATTTTAGAGCATTCTTGCCTGCTGTAAAGTTAGCCATGGCAAGGGTTCTTAGAACCAAAAAAACATTCTCAATGGCCTTTTTAATCCTAGGCTTGGCTGTTGATGGATTATATTATAGTTTTCTGCCTGGCGTAAATTTAGCCCTGGCAATGGTTCTTAGAACCAGAAAGAAAACCTCAACGGCCCTTTTTAATGCTAGGTGTGTCCGTTGAGCTATAGAAGATTTTGTAGTCCTTGAGGTTGAGGGTAGGAAGAATGGCACACCTGCCAATCTTCCTCGAAAGAGACAAGACTTGCTGGGCACAGCAGAGGAAGAAGGAAAAGAAGAAAGAAGAGTATGAAAATGTCTCCAGCTCAAGCCCTGTTAGCCTTCGGCTGTGATGTGGCCTCCTACGCTGTGAGGTAAGTTCATCTGAGTCTTGTATTCTTCAAACTTTTAGGATATGGAGCGAAGTAGATGGTCTTCCACTACTGGATGGTCCTTCCTAGGTAAGTAAAACCTGCAAACGGGGTAATAGTAAGCGGTGTGTACTATGCATTCTTAGGAATAAAACTCCAATGGCAGTTGAAGTAATGTTAGGGGTTTTTTTTATCTCAAAGGCCTGTTCTCTGCACCACCTTAGAAGACAGAAGACACAGTCATCAGCCTGCAGCGTCAATGGAAGAAGGAGGAATGGAATGCAATAAGGATGGTTATTAGAACCAAAAAACCCACCTCAATGGCTCTTTTTAATCCTATTTTTGGCTGTTGATGGATTATAGATGATATAGTTTTCTGCCTGGCGTAAATTTAGCCATGGCAATGGTTCTTAGAACCAGGAAGAAAACCTCAGTGGCCCTTTTAAATGACCAGTGTGTGGCCAGTGCTTGGTAAGAGATTTTATAGCTTTCTGCCTGGTGTAAATTTAGCCATGGCAAAGGTTCTTAGAACCAAAAAACCCACCTCAATGGCCTTTTTAATCCTGGGCATGGCTGTTGATGGATTATATTATAGTTTTCTGCCTGGCGTAAAGTTAGCCCTGGCAATGGTTCTTAGAAACTGAAAGAAAATCTCAACGGCCCTTTTTAATGCTAGGTGTGTCCGTTGAGCTACAGAAGATTTTGTAGTCTTTAAGGTTGAGGGGAGGAAGAATGGCACACCTGCTGCCAATCTTCCTTGAAAGCGACAAGACTTGCTGGGCACAGCAGAGGAAGAAGGAAAAGAAGAGAGCAAGAAAATGTCTCCAGCTCAAGCCCTGTTAGCCTTCAGCTGTGATGTTGCCTCCTACACTGTGAGGTAAGTTTAGCCGAGTCTTGTATTCTTCAAAGTTTTAGGATATGGCAGAAAGTGCATGGTCTTCCACTATTGGATGGTCCTTCCTAGGTAAGTAACACCTGCAAATGGGGTAATAGTAAGCAGTGTGTACTATGCATTCTTAGGAGTAAAACTCCAATGGCAGCTGAAGTAATGTTAGGGGTTTTTTTTATCTCAAAGGCCTGTTCTCTGCACCACCTTAGAAGACAGAAGACTCAGTCATCAGCCTGCAGCGTCGATGGAAGAAGGAGGAATGGACCTTTAGATGATAGATTTTATACCATTCTTGCCTGCTGTAAATTTAGCCATGGCAATGGTTCTTAGAACCAAAAAAACATTCTCAACGGCCCTTTTTAATCCTAGGCGTGGCTGTTGATGGACTATAGATTTTATAGTTTTCTGCCTGGCGTAAATTTAGCCATGGCAATGGTTCTTAGAACCAGGAAGAAAACATCATTGGCCCTTTTAAATGACCAGTGTGTGGCCAGTGCTTCGTAACAGATTTTAGAGCATTCTTGCCTGCTGTAAAGTTAGCCATGGCAAGGGTTCTTAGAACCAAAAAAACATTCTCAATGGCCTTTTTAATCCTAGGCTTGGCTGTTGATGGATTATATTATAGTTTTCTGCCTGGCGTAAATTTAGCCCTGGCAATGGTTCTTAGAACCAGAAAGAAAACCTCAACGGCCCTTTTTAATGCTAGGTGTGTCCGTTGAGCTATAGAAGATTTTGTAGTCCTTGAGGTTGAGGGTAGGAAGAATGGCACACCTGCCAATCTTCCTCGAAAGAGACAAGACTTGCTGGGCACAGCAGAGGAAGAAGGAAAAGAAGAAAGAAGAGTATGAAAATGTCTCCAGCTCAAGCCCTGTTAGCCTTCGGCTGTGATGTGGCCTCCTACGCTGTGAGGTAAGTTCATCTGAGTCTTGTATTCTTCAAACTTTTAGGATATGGAGCGAAGTAGATGGTCTTCCACTACTGGATGGTCCTTCCTAGGTAAGTAAAACCTGCAAACGGGGTAATAGTAAGCGGTGTGTACTATGCATTCTTAGGAATAAAACTCCAATGGCAGTTGAAGTAATGTTAGGGGTTTTTTTTATCTCAAAGGCCTGTTCTCTGCACCACCTTAGAAGACAGAAGACACAGTCATCAGCCTGCAGCGTCAATGGAAGAAGGAGGAATGGAATGCAATAAGGATGGTTATTAGAACCAAAAAACCCACCTCAATGGCTCTTTTTAATCCTATTTTTGGCTGTTGATGGATTATAGATGATATAGTTTTCTGCCTGGCGTAAATTTAGCCATGGCAATGGTTCTTAGAACCAGGAAGAAAACCTCAGTGGCCCTTTTAAATGACCAGTGTGTGGCCAGTGCTTGGTAAGAGATTTTATAGCTTTCTGCCTGGTGTAAATTTAGCCATGGCAAAGGTTCTTAGAACCAAAAAACCCACCTCAATGGCCTTTTTAATCCTGGGCATGGCTGTTGATGGATTATATTATAGTTTTCTGCCTGGCGTAAAGTTAGCCCTGGCAATGGTTCTTAGAACCAGAAAGAAAACCTCAACGGCCCTTTTTAATGCTAGGTGTGTCCGTTGAGCTATAGAAGATTTTGTAGTCCTTGAGGTTGAGGGGAGGAAGAATGGCACACCTGCCAATCTTCCTCGAAAGAGACAAGACTTGCTGGGCACAGCAGAGGAAGAAGGAAAAGAAGAAAGAAGAGTATGAAAATGTCTCCAGCTCAAGCCCTGTTAGCCTTCGGCTGTGATGTCGCCTTCTATGTTGTGAGGTAAGTTTAGTTGAGTCTTGTATTCTTCAAAGTTTTGGGATATGGAGCGAAGTAGATGGTCTTCCACTCCTGGATGGTCCTTCCTAGGTAAGTAACACCTGCAAATGGGGTAATAGTAAGAAATGTGTACTGTGCATTCTTAGGAGTAAAACTCCAATGGCAGCTGAAGTAATGTTAGGGTTTTGTTTTTTTTATCTCAAAGGCCTGTTCTCTGCACCACTTTAGAAGACAGAAGACTCAGTCATCAGCCTGCAGCATTGATGGAAGAAGAAGGAATGGACCTTTAGATGATAGATTTTATACCATCCTTGCCTGCTGTAAATTTAGCCATGGCAATGGTTATTAGAACCAAAAAAACCATCCTCAATGGCCCTTTTTAATCCTAGGCTTGGCTGTTGATGGACTATAGATTTTATAGTTTTCTGCCTGACGTAAATTTAGCCATGGCAATGATTCTTAGAACCAGGAAGAAAACCTCATTGGCCCTTTTAAATGACCAGTGTGTGGCCAGTGCTTCGTAACAGATTTTATTCTTGCCTGCTTTAAAGTTAGCCATGGCAAGGGTTCTTAGAACCAAAAAAACATTCTCAATGGCCTTTTTAATCCTAGGTTTGGCTGTTGATGGATTATATTATAGTTTTCTGCCTGGCGTAAATGTAGCCCTGGCGATGGTTCCTAGAACCAGAAAGAAAACCTCAATGGCCCTTTTTAATGCTAGGTGTGTCCGTTGAGCTATAGAAGATATTGTAGTCTTTGAGGTTGAGGGGAGGAACGATGGCACACCTGCTGCCAATGTTCCGAGAAAGAGAAAGAAGAAGAAGAAAAAGAAAAGAAGAAAGAAGAGAGCAAGAAAATGTCTCCAGCTCAAGCCTGTTAGCCTCCGGCTGTGATGTGGCTGCCTACGCTGTGAGGTAAGTTTAGCCGAGTTTTGTATTCTTCAGAGTTTTAGGATATGGAGGGAGGTGGGTGGTCTTACACTACTTCCGGGGTGTCAAACTCAATTTCATTGAGGGCCGCATCAGTATTGAGGTTGCCCTCAGGGGGGGCGGGTGTTGTGGCCAGGGTGGGTGCGGCCTACTAGGTGGGCATGGAGTAGGTGTGGCCTATTGGATGGGCATGGCCAGCTCTATATCGTTCGCGCCCTGTGGGGGCCTGGGCAGGAGTGGGACAGATCTGAGGGTCTCTGGCAGAAGGGAGTGGGACCAAGGCATGGTCCACTGGAGGAGCCTCACCGTTCCTCTCAGGCCATGTGCGGGGGCTGGATGGTAGTGGGGGCTGCCCGGAGCCCTGGCCAGCAGAGGTCCAATGCCCAGCCTGGCCCTTGAGCACCCGCGGCACCAGCCCCACTTCCCCAAGGGGGTGCCCAGCTGCACTTGCTTCCTCCTCAAGGCTGCTGCTGCTGTGCTTGCTCTCCTTAGCCAGGTTGCTCCTGATGGGTACGAGAGCCAAGTCAGAGGGAGGCCCATTCCCTCTCCATGGGAGGAGACCCGGCTTTGTATCCAAAGCTTCTTTAGCAATAGGATGGGAGACCCCAGGACAGGCCAGGAGGAGGGGGCAAGGGGATGGTGAAAGGGCAGCAGGGCAGGACTAAGGCAGGACTTCCCTCAGACCCTCCCTCTCATTTTTTCCTTCCTTCCTTCCTTCCTTCCTTCCTTCCTTCCTTCCTTCCTTCCTTCGGACAGAGTGGTGGGAAAATATTTGAGATAGGGAGGGAGAAAAACAGGCAAGAAATGCAGCCAGGGCCAAGGCAGCGGGGGGGGGGCTATCCCTCACTGTTTCCAGGATGGCTTCGCGGGACACATGAAACCACTTTACGGGCCGCATCCGGCCCCCGGGCCTTGGGTTTGATGTGTCTGCACTACTTGATGGTCCTTCCTAGGTAGGTAACACCTGCAAATGGGGTAATAGTAAGCAGTGTGTACTGTGCATTCTTAGGAATAAAACGTCAATGGCAGCTGATGTAATGTTAGGGGGGTTTTTTTTATCTCCAAGGCCTGTTCTCTGCACCACCTTAGAAGACAGAAGACACAGTCGTCAGCCTGCAGCTTTGATGGAAGAAGGAGGAACGGAACGCAAGAATGAAGATGATCTCCATCGAGAATGCTACTTCACCGTCAATCACAAATGACTTTTAGAAGAATTGCTGAAACTGTAAGAGACTTTTGGTTCTAAGAGATCTGGCTGCTTCTGACATTATTTCTCAGGGTGGGAAGGTGGGAGGGAAGCGATCCAAAAGGATTCCCACCATCCAGTTTGAGACTCAGCTGGACTCGCAACTCAAACGAAAGAGGACGACCAAGGCTGGAGCCCTTTCTGCCTCTGCCAGGGGTGGGCTGGGGGGGCACACAGGCAAACAGCAAGGACAGCTTGGCTGCTGAAACACTGAGCATCTTGGGAGGGAAGTGAGGGCAAATGGCAAGGGCTGGGGGGCTGATGGGACTGCTTGCGCCTTGGGAGGGAAGGGAGGGCAAATGGCAAGGGCTGATGCGACTGCTTGCGCCTTGGGAGGGAAGGGAGGGCAAATGGCAAGGGCTGATGCGACTACTTGCGCCTTGGGAGGGAAGGGAGGGCAAATGGCAAGATGCTGCTTGCACCTTGGGAGGGAAGGGAGGGCAAAAGCAAGGGCTGATGCGACTACTTGCGCCTTGGGAGGAAAGGGTGGGCAAATGGCAAGGGCTGGGGGGCTGATGCGACTATTTGCGCCTTGGGAGGGAAGGGAGGGCAAATGGCAAGGGCTGGTGGGCTGATGCGACTGCTTGCACCTTGGGAGGGAAGGGAGAGCAAAAGCAAGGGCTGATGCGACTGCTTGCGCCTTGGGAGGGAAGGGAGGGCAAATGGCAAGGGCTGGGGGGCTGATGCGACTACTTGCGCCTTGGGAGGGAAGGGAGGGCAAATGGCAAGGGCTGGGGGGCTGATGCGACTGCTTGCGCCTTGGGAGGGAAGGGAGGGCAAAAGCAAGGGCTGATGCGACTACTTGCGCCTTGGGAGGGAAGGGAGGGCAAATGGCAAGAGTTGATGGGACTACTTGCACCTTGAGAGGGAAGGGCGGGCAAATGGCAAGGGCTGGGTGGGCTGCTGGTATTGCTACCGTCGATGCTCCCCAGCCCTTGCCATTTGCCCTCGCTTCCCTCCCAAGATGCTCAGTGTTTCAGCAGCCAAGCTGTCCTTGCTGTTTGCCTATGTGCCCCCCCAGCCCACCCCCTGGCAGAGGCAGAAACGGCTCCGGCCTTGGTCCTCCTCTTTCCTTTGAGTTGCGAGTCCAGCTGAGTCTCAAACTGGATGGTGGGAATCCTTTTGGATCGCTTCCCTCCCACCTTCACACCCTGAGAAATAATGTCAGTAGCGGCCAGATCTCTTAGAACCAAAAATAAATCTGTTGTTGAGCTTTGTTATGAGGTTTTCCCATCTGAATTAATTAATAACTAGATTTTTTGCTAGGGTGAGGCATCAGGTTCTCGAACTGGAAAATAAATCTCTGTGGCCCTTTTTAATTCTAGACGTGGCCACTGAAACCCTGAGTAGATTCCTTGCCTGGCTTAATTCAAACATGATGTTGGTTCTTAGAACCAGAAAACATCTCAATGGCCCTTTTTAATGCTAGAGGTGCCGGTGATGGATAATAGATTTTATAGTTTTCTGCCTGGCGTAAATGGAGCCCTGGTGATGGTTCTTAGAACCAGGAAGAAAACCTCAGTGGCCCTTTTAAATGACCAGTGTGGCCAGTGCTTGGTAACATATTTCTGTTTTCCAGCTGGGAATAATTTTATCCTTGCCTGTTGTTTAAAATGTGTAAGTTATGTTTTGACTGGTAAATAATCATGACACACAGTATGCAGCTGTCACCTCACTAATTTTGATTTCTTCTGTCACACACATTTATCTTTTTGTTTCTGAAATATCTGTAAATGGGATTCAGACTTGATAACATTCTGTTTGACGTGTATTTTTTGTAATAAAGCTTATTTTTACTCCGGACTTGTTATTTGTTGTGATAGACAAGATATTTTATCTTTTGCCTGTTTTTATGTATCCGTTCTTAACCCCGTCTCTTCACCAAGAGATACTTGTTGTGATATTCATGTATTTGAACACTGAAGTTGCGTTTTCTTCTGTGATAAATCTGTTGATGACAACTGTTGTTTCTTTTATACCTCACCTTTTTATTAAAAATGTCATTTTAAATTAGTGAATTGTTTAACCCATCATGGTATTTTATCATTGCTTTTGTAATTTTTACAATTATAAAAATGTGACTTTTTATCCTTAAAATATTGGATGATATTTTTATGTATTTTACCTGTATAATGTTTTGTATTGTACCTGTATAATGTTTTGTATTGTACCTGTATAATGTTTTGTATTGTACCTGTATAATGTTTTGTATTGTACCTGTATAATGTTTTGTATTGTACAAAGTGCTTGCAGCTGGGTTATGCTTGGAAGATGGGATGCTTGTGTTAAACAATTTGTGATCCTGCGGTGAGGAACTTGGACCTGTTGGACACCTTGTGCTCCTGCTCTTTGCCAAAGTCGCCCGGGATCACCTTTTGTAAGGATTTACACACACACACACACACACACACTGTCCACTAACTGTACCTTAGGGAAAAAATGCCATGGACTTATCTGGCCACAGGAGGGCAGCATTCCCTGTTCTGCCATCCTCCGTGTCCTATTAGAAATGAAGTTTTAGCAGCTGGAATTATCTTTTATATTCCCCAGAGCCTCTTTGGTGGCTGCTTTGAGCTTCCATCGAAGGAAGGGAGAGAATAAAAATAAGCCACTCCAGGCCTCCTTGGCCAAATGTTACAGCACACACTGGCCACAGGAGGGCAGACTTTGCTGCTTTGACTAAACTCGGTTTGATGGGGGTTTGCTTGTTAGGTATATTCCTTTATCAAAGGTGCACGCTGAGTGCCCCTAGGGAAAAAAGCACCGAGTTGTAGGAATCCTAATAAGTCCCTAGAATTCTTGATCAGGGCTTGATGAAAGGTGACCATAAGAAGGGGGCAGACTTTCCTGCTTTTACCAGCTGGACTTGGGGTAAAGAGAATCAAAATCCTGCCACTAGACCTCCCGCTTGCTATCAGTACAGCCTCCACAAAATGGCACTCGTGCCCACAGAGAGGGCTCTGAGTGCCGCCTCTGGCACACGTGCCATAGGTTCGCCAACACTGCACTAGGACAATCGTGTCATGGAGTAAGGGGCTCTTGAACCCTCATCCTTTTTGGCACGGGTCCCAGGATGGTCCAGAATTGCACCCTTGAAACATTTAGAAGTCCATGGATCATCCCGGGTGCAAAAAGACGGGTTTTAGGGTCTGGAAGAGGTGGCCCCCTTGACACAACTCCCCTGCTGGGAGACACAACTCACCGACCGCCAACGTCATCACCTGTAGCTCCTTCTGCGCCTCCTTCACCATTTTGCTCTTCTGCAGGGGGGTGGCCCTGCAACAGATGACCGCTCGGACCTTCCTTGCAAGCTGCATGAACGTGTCCTTCACCCTTTTGTTCAGAGCAAAGTCCAGCGTCGGCCCGTTTATGATTAAGGCAAAGCTCATGGCGGAAGCCGCCGTTCCTGGGGTGTTGCCCGGCTTTGGGGTGCCAGTCCTGATCCCGATCTCTTCCAAAATGCTTTTTGCTTTAAGGGCACAGGTCTCCTGGTTGGGAAAAGAGAAAAAAGACTTAAGTGAGATTAAAGTTTCACCTCCGCTGCTTGTAAGGCTCCATGGTGGTCCTAACCCAGGGACCCCCCGTGCTGGGAAGACCTCTTCCTTCTCAGCCCTGAGATCCTACAAAGATATAACATTTGTAGGGGGGAAATAAGTTCTTCCACCAGAGCTGCAGACGCACCAAATTCTCGCTGTCCAGGGTGAAAAGCTTGTCCGATCCATCCAATAATTTGCAGGAATAAGCAATATTGATGGCCGTCTCCTTTTTATCGCCGGTTAGCATCCAAATATTAATTCCCGCTTTTCGGAGAGCTGCTATGGTTTCTGGAACGCCTTCTTGCAACCGGTCTTCAATTCCAGTGGCGCCTATTTAAAACAAACAAAAAACCCAGTTTCACGAGGTTCCAATGACTAGTTCCTTCGAAATAATAATTATATTATAATAATAATAATGCAACGATATCTGTAATACCATCAAACATCCACATCTGCCTATCCCAGGTCCTGGGTAAGGACTCAATAGGTAGACAAAATGCCAAATCCAGTCTGAACATCTGGCTGACTGTGCGATGATCCAAAATAATAATAATAATAATAATAAAGTTGGAAGGGACCTTGGAGGTCATCTAGTCCAACCCCCTGCTCAGGCAGGAAACAGACCATTTCTGACAAATGGCTGTCCAGTCTCTTCTTAAAAACTTTCAGTGTTGGAGCACCCACCACTTCTGGAGGCAGGTTGTTCCACTGGTTCAAAACACAGTCCAAACTGTCCCTTTGGCATTGAAAAGATACACTTTCCTGAAATGGGAAACTCAAAAACTTTTCAGAATGTAAGGATTTTGTAACTGGGACTAGGAAAACAAACAAACAAACTGGATAGCCTTGCCTAACTACGGCTATCTCCCTTCTGTAAATCAGCCTTTGCGTCAGGGGCCGATTTCACGCAAGTGTGGGAAACAAGTCCACGGATGTGATGTACTGAGGAGGGAATAAAGGCTCGTACAGGAATGACGGATGTCTTCTTTACACGGTGGTAACTCTATTGTCCAGTGTTGATTGGCTAGCAAAGTTTATAAAGCGATGCCACGAACTTTCTAAGGCAGAGGTCCCCAGCTGTTTGGGCCCCAGGGACCGGTTCCTGCACTTTAAAAAATTTAGCATCCGTTTGCTTTTCCAACTCACCCAGCAGAATTAATTTGTTTTCAAGTCTCTCCGCTGACTCCAGAAGTAGCTGCTCTCGGTTTTCTATGCTGCTCTCGGCTACATATTGTCCTTTCAGCCACTCTTCATATTCCTCGTTGCTCAGCACCTGAACGGCCCCCCAAAATACACCATCATAGAATGGCAACGCTGACATTACAGCTGGCCGTGGGACATGAGTTTACACTAATATCAAAGAAATGGTGGAATAGAATCCTTAAACTTTAAGGAGGGGTGCCAAAGGAGAGACAAAATGAAGGACAAAAATATATATATATATATATATATATATATATATATATATATATATATATATATATTATATATATAATATATATGTTTTCTGAGGTTTTCATTGCTGCTCGAAGCACATATATATATATAATATATATATATATATATATATATATATATATATATATATATATATATATATATGTAGGTCTTTGGCTGTTCGGGTTTTCTCCTGCGTAAAATTGGAAGTGTCTTGGCGACGTTTCGACGAAGTCCCATTCGTCATCTTCAGGCTGGTGCTTTCAGCTTCGTGCTTTGAGCAGCAAAGCAAAGCACGAAGCTGAAAGCACCAGCCTGAAGATGACGAATGGGACTTCGTCGAAACGTCGCCAAGACACTTCCAATTTTACGCGGGAGAAAACCGAACAGCCAAAGACCTACATACAAAATACCCGCAAAAACCTCAGAAAACATATAATATATATTATATATATATATATATCTATATAATATATATATATATATATATATTTGTTTTAAGTAATTGAATTATTGAATTGTTCCATGCTGAGTTGCCCTGCAGTGAGTTGGGTGGGGGAGGAGGAAATTGAAGGAGGAGGAGGAGGAAGAGGAGGAGAAGAATCTATCCAACTTTCTATCCCAAATATAAGGAGCCATAATCCACGTTTAAGGTGGACAACTATGCCTGCCTTTACAACTTGTAGACTTCAACTCCCAGAATTCCCGAGCCAGCATGGATTGGAACATACATTCCCCATGGCACAAAAGAGCAGCTTAGAGCAGAATCTATATTATCCATTATTTTCAGCAGTGGATTGAACCACACCAATAAACAGGGATGTCTGATTATGCCCTGGCTGCTGTTTCCTAAACTAGGGGGAAAAAAATATGAAGTCAAATTTTTTTTTTTCATATCAGAAATCTTTAAAAAGGAGATTCTTGTGAATTCTTCAGGCGTCATCCTTTTTTTGCAAAATTACCTTCATAGAGATACAAAGCGTGCGTAGTCCTTGTCTGGCATAATCATTTAAGTGCCTCTGTGTTCTTTCTTGGACTATCTTCCTCTGTGCCCCTATCTTATCTTTGCCTGAATTTAAATAAAAGACAGGGGCAGAGAATATTAAATATATAAGACTTTGGAAAAACAACTAAATCAATTCTCTTGATTCTGTGGTTATGTGATCAAAATTCAAAGGCTTGGCAACTGACTGCTATTTATGATGGTCGCGGCCCCTAACCTGTTAATCCCAGGTCCAGCAAATTCATGATGGTGGTGTCTGCTCCTTTTGTGTACACCACCACTTGGTTTAACATGGGATGCTTCACCACCACGGACATACGTTTCCGGACGGAGTCGAAAGGCAACAGGTGCAGAAGCTGGAACGTTAGCATTCCCAAAGACGCAAAGTCGATCTGCACCTGCTCGGGACTTCTAGCTTTCAAGGTGCATTGGTAAGCCCTGGCAGCGTGCACCAAGGCCGCTTCGTCGGGACTCTCGGCCTCGTAACATATCTCTGGAATATTTAATGACTCGTACGACAATCGGTCTGGGCGGTCTTCCGGTAATCTTAAAATGTCTGACTTTTTGGGGCTAGGGGACCCCGCTGGCATTTCCAGAGTGTCCAATATCTGTGCTGGCGAAGACGGAAACTTCACATGAACAGATAACTTTTCGGGGTTTTTGGCACTCTCTTTTTGTCCTCCCGAAGAATCTGGACTTTGCAAGCTCATTCTGCGGCTCGACAACCTTTGGAAGATATTTTTAAATTCGCCCAGGTTTAAAGCCGGCATCTTGACCATGGAAGACCACCTCCTCTGTAAAACAAGGAGCGATCTATAAATATTCAAAAATGGATTACAGTCTAGGGGTCTCTCCGGAGGCACGACCCCATGTTGTCAATATGGCTCAACACACTGTATAATCCAAAAATGAAACAAATGGATCGAAACTAATCAAGGAGAGAACCAACCTAGAACTAACGAGAAATTACCTAACATGGAAGACAATCAACCAGTGGAACACCTTGCCACCAGAAGTTGTAACTGCTCCATCCCTGGAGGTTTTCAAAAAGAGACTGGACAGCTACTTGTCTGGAATGGTATAAGGTCTTCTGCTTGAGCAGGGGGTTGGACTAGAAGACCTCCAAGGTCCCGCTATATAGAGTATAGATCTATCCTCTATACTCACCTTAAGTCGTGGTTGGTCAGGTTCTGAGACGACCACCGTGTTGCAAATTGCCAGGGCTATGAAGAACTCAGTGATGTACACTATTTCCGGGATCAGTTTCTGTTTGCCTGGGTAGGAGTATGCTCTGGATGAGATCCGGTTCACTTTTTTTAATAGTCGCATATCTGGCACAACATCCGTCTCCTGTGGGTAATATTACAAGAACAAAGTCAGGTTTTTTTTTTTCTTCCCCATTTCAGTCGTGTGCCGATTTGTTATTTTTTTAAAAAGTGTTTTCTAACGACAGCAGGGAGGAGGCTGAAAGCCTATGATCAAGGTCATAATTTAACAGCTAACCAGCTGATGTAATGTAAGAGGTAGGATGGAATAAGGTTGGCAACTCTGCTGGGCTCTCACGCAGAGACGGGTTGATTTGGGAACCCTTACCAGAGGGCTGCTGAAAGCGAGATGTCTCCAGCTACCAAGTCCCATGCTGCTGGTCTTTTGAAGAATCCGGGAATTCAGAAATTCACTGGACCTGTGGCTGAAGAACCTCGGCCTGGCTGCGTGCCTCAGCGAAGAGTGGGAAGAAAAATAAGCTGCCTCGTCGTCTTCCTCTTCGTAATCTTGATACGTTTCCAGTCTTTTGGCTAGTTGTGGAGAAAAAACAGCTGTGTTACGGGCAGTCGTCGGCTTATGAAACCGCAACGGAGCATCCCGAATCTCGGCTGCAAAGCAAGACACCTGTTTGCCCCCCTTTTCATTCACCTGACCGTGGGGGTCGCAAGTGTGAAAAATGGTCTCCTGTCACTTTTTTTGGTGCTTGAATGGTCTCTAAGCGGACCATTGTAAACCGAAGACTATTCGTGGACCCCTCTTCAGGTGAAATGATTGAGGCTGACCTTAAATTTAATTTAAAAAAAAAAATCCTCAAATTGTCTAGTGGATTAGGTATTCCTATAAATCGGGGCACCTCAGAAGCGCTGATATGAATTATCAAAATATTTGCCGTCTAGTTTTCAGGTTCCTTTCGCTAAGTGGACCGCTGTAAACCGAGGACTGGTTGTCTTTTATTAAAAGGAGCCCCTCCGTGGATTTGCCCTCAGTCTTACCATTTTCTTCATGGCCATATTCTAATCCCGCAATGCTACATCTCCGAAACACCATTTTATTCTCTGTCAGCGTTCCGGTTTTGTCTGAGAAAATGTATTCGATCTGGCCCAGATCTTCTGCGATATTCAGCGATCCGCACTGTATCTTTCGATCGGAGGCTTCGTCGTATAAATCCAGGTCATTTCGTATCAGAAAGATTTGTCCCAGCTTGACAAATTCAATGGATACGTAGAGAGAGATTGGGATCAAGACCTGCGAGGCGATTTATAATTATAAATTGGCAACGGACATCTCTTAACCTAGAAAACTTACATAAGGTGTCCTACATAGATGGCACTTACCACCTGCTAGGTTAGCCCAAGGGTTTAAAAATGTTAAACATTTAGCAAAAACGTTTTAAAATAGATTTAGCAAATGTTGGAAACGTCACCCAAAATCTGGCGGTGGGTGGACCTGTGTTAAAGCAACAAAAAAGGGTTTTTTTAAAAGGGTTTTATTAATTTTTTTTTCTATACAATTCAGTAGTACTTATTCAACCAACGTGTTGCCTGAGTTTATCATTCACTAACACAAATTTATTTCCTAATCCTTTATTCTTTTCTCCAGCCATTGATAAAACTTCACCTAACGAATGTTTCGTTTGGCAACAGAAATTTTGGGCTGAATTCTAATGGTAAGTCAAGGACTGCCTGTACAAGAAAAACATTGCTTGAAACCCAAGTCCTTTCAGATCACAGGGACATAAATCAAAAAAGTTAGAGGGAACCAGCTGTGAAATTACCTGCAATAAAATGATCATCGTCCAGAACATTAAAAATCCTCCCAATTCTACAGGGAGTTCTTTCCCGCTTGCGTAGAGAGGGGGCCTCTTGCTGGCACTTAGCCAACGCCGGTGGCCTTTAAGGAAAGGAAAGAAAGATTTGGGGCAATTAAACATCAAACGATCAGCATGATTTACTGTTCTTTAAAACAATGGAGGAAGAGCCTATATCAAAAGTATACGTTGTATAATAAAAGTTTTCGGTCTTAAGCTAAATTACTTGATATTAAAATATCTATCATGTTGTTCATATTGCGGTCTCTCTCTCTCTCTCTCTCTCTCTCTCTCTCTCTCTCTCTCTCTCTCCAATCAGGCTTAGCAAATTTGAAAGACTGAAAGTAAAATAAGCAACAAACAAACAAAAAAATCAAACAAACAAATTTTAAAAAGCTTCTGACTTTCCTCCTTTTATACATCAGTTAGTCTTGCCTTTAACTTACCGATCGCCCCGATAAAACACATCACTATTAGAAGCAACACACACCAGAGGATGTCCTTGTTCATTCTCTTCTCCAGTTTACTTCGCTTGTAGCGAGCTCCTGTTGTGTTTAACATGGCTTTTGTTTCGTGACCTTGCAACACAAACACACATACACACACACACAAAAAAAAACCACATTGGATGTTTCAGTGCAAAGCAAATCCTTAACTCATGCTTATGCAGTGCTTACGCGATCTGTTCTAAATCACGTGAACTTTGATCGATCAATCAATCAATCAGAATAGAGCTGGAAGGGACCTTGGAGGTCTTCTAGTCCAACCCCTCCTGCTCAAACAGGAGACCCTATACCGTTCTGGATATCAGAGTTAGAAGGGACCGTGGAGGTCTTCTAGTCCAGCCCCCCACCCAAACAGGAGAACCTATACCATTCCAGACAAGTGACTGTCCAGTCTCTTCTTAAAAACCTCCAGTGATGGAGCACCCACAACTTCTGGTGGCAAGCTGTTCCACTGGTTAATTGTCCTCACTGTCAGGAAATTCCTCCTTAATTCCAGGCTGCTTCTCTCCGCTGCCTCCAGAAGCGGTGAATGCTCCAACACTGGAAGTTTTTAAGAAGACAATGGACAGCCATTTGTCTGAAATGGTATAGGGTTTCCTGCCTGAGCAGGGGGTTGGACTAGATGACCTCCAAGGTCCCTTCCAACTTTATTACTATTACTACTACTACTACTATTATTATTATTACTACACTACTATTATTATTATTAACACAGACAATATGTCCATGCAATTTACAGAACTTCGCCTCCATATAATCCTTTCCATTTAACTACTTAAAGTTCTGGAACTGTGTTTTGCGACTTCCTAATTGACCCAACGAAGGGGCCGATACCTCTTTCGCTCCCACACAACCCAGGCATGGCACCCACCTGCGTACACCACAATCCCGACAACAGCTTCGGTGTTTCTGACAATACATCCACGCATCAAGAGGTTGTCCTTATTTAGGCCCACTCGCTCCTGATCCACATTCTCACTGTAACGTTCGGAAATCTAAGATTAATTCTCATGGTTATGAAATGAATCCGGCTTCTTCCCACTTGACTGCGCGTGACCCCGGGAGACACCGCGACCGTCGTAAGTGCGAATCACCCTTCTTGGTTTTAATACGATGTGCTATTTCGGTGCAATATATTTAGATTTTTAATATGCTATTATTTAGGCCTCTTAGAAAATTAAATATGATTAAGAGGAAAACACGAAATTCTGGCAATATTAATTAAGAGTTATGGATGTGAGCCGGGGACACCGCGACCGTTGTAAGTAGGAGTCAGTTGTCAAAGCTTTGGGATTTTGATCACGTGACCCTGGATGCTGCAACGGTCCCAAATATGAAAAACGGTCCTAACTACTGTTTATTGGTGCCTTCGTAACTTTGGTCACTAAGTTAACTGTTGTAAATTGAGGACTATCTATAGTCCTGCTTAGGAAAGGAGCACCCCACGTTTTCTTTTGTTTCTCCTCAAACGGAAGAAGGATGTTTAAGAGCAACTTCAAAAGTACCTACATGAAGCCCCGGAAGGAGGTAAGGTCATTGTTAGGAGTCTCACATTCTATTCTGCATATAATGTCTTCTGGATTAATTTCATAGGCCTGCAAAAGAGGAAGATCCCCCCCCAAAAAAAATAAATCCAGGTGCAGAATGTTATAATTTCTAGAAATAATGAGATTTCTATCCATGCTAGCCGACACAAGGACATGGGTGCGTTTGCTTTTGCTAAAATGTCCATCCTCGGGGAAGGCGCTGGACCCAAATATTTAGGTAATGGTTAGCTGTGGGAGAAATATATGCAATAAAAGGAAAGGACGGGAAACGGTCCCAAGGCACTTTTTCCAGTACCGTCGTAACTTGGGTCACTAAATGAACGGCTGTAAGTTGAGGATTACTCGTCTTTTCTCAATACCTGCTCAGCAAAGCCTTTTACCACCTGCCTCTGCTTCAGGTTGGTCTCTCCGTCCAGGCTTGACGTCTCAAGGTGGCAGATTCCATCCCCGTCGCTGGAATAGATCAGGATCATGTCCGCTGGAATCTCCTCGTTACACGACAGTCGGATAAAGTCACCCACGGCGACGTCGCTCCAAAACTTATTCACGTAGTCCTTCGCTTTTCTGGAAAAGAAGGGGAAAAAAGCTCCGTCAAGTCAACGGAAAACAAGAGCGTGCCGTGGTTTGATACAGGCCAGTCCTCTACTTACAATGGTTTAGTGGCCGTTCAAAGTTACAACATGACGCAGGACCATTTTTCACACTTACGGCGGTCGCAGCATCCCTGTGGCCCTTAAACTGAGGCCTTACTATGTTGCACAGGCCGCGTTACATACCTACAATATGCTCTGGTGACGAAATTGTTTATCTTCTTGTCGAGTTTGTACTTTGTGTAGTCCTCCAGGCCGTCTTTCACTGCAATAATGGTGAGAACCACACACAGGGGGATCATGGTGATTTCCTTCCTAAAAGCCTCCACCGCTGGAACCCAGTTAAGCAGCACTATAAATAGGAAGTACAGATTGGCAACTCTGAAATAGAACAAAATACACACACAGGTAAACATATGAGACGCAGTGTGTCCAATCAGAACATTACGTATTCACAAACTGTAGGTGTTTATCATATGCATTCTCAAATATCCGGATTTTTGTTCCTTTTTTGTCTTAAATATTCCGTTTAAATAGTTCAGCTTTGGTTACTGCAGTGTTAAAAAAACATGTTGAGACTCTAGAATAGAAACAGACTAGAAATAGAAAGAACAGAACAGAATATAGAATTAGAATATGGAATGGAATGGAACGGAATAGAATAGAAGAGAAAATAATGGAATGGAATGGAATAGAAATTAGAATAGAATAGAATAGAATAACAGAATAGAAATTAGAATAGAATAGGATTACAGAATAGAATAGAATAGAATTCTTTATTGGCCAAATGTGATTGGACACACAAGGAATTTGTCCCAAGTGCATAAGCTCTCAGTGTACATACAAGCAACAAGTGATAAATAATGACCATAATCATAAAATGCAATCTTCATAAATGATATAACACTCAGTCTGACAGTCATAAGATACTAAATAAAAGCAATCAACACAAATCATAAGAAACCAATAACACAGTTATAGTCATGAGATGCTAAAGGAATAGATAATAGGAAAGATGAGAAGGATAATAGTAAAACAGCTCTGCTAGGTGGTTTGACACCCCCCCCCCCAGGGCATAAGAGAGTGTTGTGGGAATTAGTTGTTTAGCAGAGTGATGGCATGGGGGGAAAAAACTTTCTTTGTGTCTAATTGAATTATGAATTATGGTGAAGTTGGTCATATAACTCAAATAAAACAAGTAAACAAATGCATCACCTATGGAACTGTTCAAAAAGATTCCTAGGTATAAAGGACCAAAACCGGTATTTTGTCGTCCGTATTTTGTTGTTCACATAAAGGTTGGTGACTTTTTTATGCTCTTCTTTGAAATGGGTCGACCAAGGAATAACTACTCTGTGTTTCTTCGATTTTTCAGGCAACAGTAAGGTGTCACAACTCGGAGCGTTGGGCTTAATTTTGTTCTGCCTGCCCAAGGCCGATATCAGCCACCGGCGACAATATTGCACTCCCCACAGTCTCTCTCCCATCTTCTGAGAAAAAGAACCTGACAAACCTGGAAGAAAAAAGGAACAGAATATATTTAGTGGAGTGGTCATTGCAAACCCAAATCCCCACCCCGGTCCTTTTTGCTTTTCAGCACCTTATTCAATCCTCTTAATTTTAATAGTTTTGTGCACTGCCCTTTTGATCGGGCTACACAGATACTGTACATTTTTGCATGACTGGACTAGAAGACCTCCAAGGTCCCTTCCAGCTCTCTTATTCTGTATTGAAAGTGTCTCCTGCTTGAGCAGGGGGCTGGACTAGAAGACCTCCAAGGTCCCTTCCAGCTCTGTCATTCTGTTACCTTACCCAGGGTAGAGTTTTTGCCCACATCTGATCCCATAGAAGACATCACTAATGGAAGCTGAAGAAAGCAGGCAATTAAAAAAAAATAACAATACAGGAACTTACTTGTTTGGACTCTACGTCCAATCAGAGTTTTTAAAGAAGGAAACTGAACAGTTCCCTCAAGCCATTGTGGCTTAAAATCTTGGCAGGGGGCACCTAAGCCAGCATACCTGGGTGCCAAGCTTGAAGAAGCTTTGGAACCAGCAACTGAAGTCCATTGTTACGAACGTTCTAGAACAGTCAAGGCAAAGAATTGTTGCAGCCCCGAGACGGCTCTCCCGGGTTCCCTGGGTTGAAATGTGTCCTCCCACTTGCAAACACAGGAACGGCCACAACTCACGACCACAACGGAGCCAAAAGCTCCTGTCGCTAAGCGAGATGTTTGTTAAGTGAGACAATTGTGAGTTTTGCTCCATTTTATGGCCTTTCTTAACCATTGCTGAGTGAATCACTGCAGTTGTTAAGCGAGGCAAACAGTTGTTAAGTGAGTCTGTTTCCCCCCTTGACTTGGGAAGTCAGAAGATGGCATTATTATTATTATTATTAAACTGGCAAGGCTACACTAGGAGAGGCGTAATACAGGTGACAAAGCAAGAGCTTTGGGGTTAAAAAACTACAATTCCCGGGATGGGATGCTCCTCACGTGACCGGCAGCAAGGCTGCGCCTGCGCAGAACAGGCCACGGCTGGCCGCAGGAAACTACGCGTGCGCACAACGCCCTTTTCAAAAAAAAAGCGAGCCAGGCAGACCCGCCGGGACTCTTGCGCGTGCGCAGTAGAAAATGAAGCTTTTGGAGAAATTGCCGGAGGCCGAGGCGGCGAAGGTAAGCACCGAAAGAAGGGACGAGTTTTATTATGGGCCGGACGGTTTCTGCACCACCGGAGCACCTTCTTTCCTTTCATTTCCCCTCGGTTCGGGCACCGAACGCTCGACGCTAGCTGCGCATGCGCAGAGCGGGTCGCAGAATCTGTGTTATCTGTGTGCGCATGCGCATGTTCGTGGGGTTTGTTTTGTTTTTTGCACATGCGTAGTAGGGCGTTTTACTTAGTCTCTTCCTGTAGCATCCTTGCTGTGTTGAATAACAGAGTTGGAAAGGGGCCTCGGAGGTCTTCTAGTCCAGCCCCCTGCTCAAGCAGGAGACACTTTCATACAGCATAACAATGGCAGAGTTGGAAAGGGGCCTCGGAGGTCCTCTAGTCCAGCCCCCTGCTCAAGCAGGAGACACTTTCATACAGCATAACAAGAGCAGAGTTGGAAAGGGACCTCGGAGGTCCTCTAGTCCAGCCCCCTGCTCAAGCAGGAGACACTTTCATACAGCATAACAAGAGCAGAGTAGGAAGGGACCTTGGAGGTCTTCTAGTTCAGCCCCTTACCTGTTGCATTTGCATCTCCCTTTTCCTTTTGGAGAGATGCAACTGCGACCGTCATAAATACGAATCAATTGCCAAGTGCCTGAATTTTGAGCATGGGGGATGCTGTGAAAAACAGTCGTAAGTTTTTCAGTGACATCGTAACTTTGGACAGTCACTAAACAAACTGTTGTCAGCCGGAGAATATCTATACTTCCGCCTAGTCGTGGCATTTAAGAAATCATGCCATGAAAGTTCCTGTTTATGCCAATTTTTTCTCGCAGTTCCTTCACAAGGTGGTCGATGGGCTGTGTGGCTACGCTTTCCCTCGGCACCAGGACTATAATGCTATTTGGGACTTAGCAGAATGGATGGAGGCTCTAGAACAAACAGCCTCGTACTTCAGGAAAACCGTTGGAAAAGACCTTTCTGATGAAGAGGTATGTATAGAAAAGAGAGACTTAATTCTGCGGATTAAGTCAAAATTATTTCACAGGAAAAAAAAACGTATTAAGAACATTACAAGCCAAGCTTTATTTGTGGAGAATTTGGTTGTGGGTTTTTCTATTCAGATTCACAGGTAAAATTTGCTTATGGACCCACCGGTGCATGTTTCAAAGTGACTTTTTTTTCTCCCCATTGTGTTAGTAGCTACTAGAGGATTAGCTGTATTTGCAACAAGCTGGGCGCTGGTGCCTGCAGGCAGCAGGAGCTGTCCCAGACAAAAAGTAACACACCTGGACTTTCACACCTGCCTTAGGATAGTTTAGTTTTTATTGGATAAGAACTGTACTGGCTTAAGCGTTGCTCTTGTACCGCTAATTGTTTCTTTTCTTTGTAGGCTGCTCGGCCATTGGCTGAGTTAAATCCCGACACTCAAAGAGCAATGCTGGCTTGTTTGAAAGGCAGAAAACCTGATATCAGGCAAGCCCTGATTGGAAAAACAAATGCTATTTGTTCCTCCCAGCTCTTGAATTTTGACTGGCAGCTCAAGGTGAGATTAGCCTTCTCACTTCTTGTCTGCATAATATTCTAGGAATCCCAAACTCTGAGGAAGAAGGGAGATGTGAAGGACTCTGAAGCAAAAGTTGGGCAAAAGCAAAAGAAAGATCCTTTATTTATTTCTTTTCATGGATTCTGATTTTTTTAAAAACAAACAACAACCAGGTCTTAGTTGTGTTGTGTTTGCTTTACTTTACAGCTTGCGCTTTCTAGCGATAAGTTGTCCATGCTCCAGATGCCGCTTTTAAACCTGGATCTGGATTTGTCTAGAGATGGTGATCTCAAATATATCTCCGTTGAAATTAATAAAGAGGAATTACAGACTCTGATAAATGCCTTGGAAGCAGCAAACAAGGTGGGTCTGTCTGCTTCACTCACTTAACAAATGTTTCACTTAGCAACATAAATTTTGGGCTCCACGGTGGGAAACACCCAACTTAGCAGCAGATACCGAATGCTTATTTCACCCAAAATCTGAGGGATAATTCTCTGTTTAATTTAATGACTTTTCTGGTCCTTTGTATCTCCCATTTTTACTCTTATATTATCTTTGGGGAAAGTCATTCTGTTTCATAAAGCTTACTCTTTTTCTTATGGAAGAAATTTGGTAGCCGGTCCATAGATGTTGGGAAACTGTTGGGATTTTCATATAAATGGAAACTTAATTATCCAGGCCAACGGTATCTAAAAAGGCTACATCATAGCAACTGGACCAACGTTTATTAAAACGGAGATGTTTTGTTGTTTTCATTTCGACGGAAGAAGTTACGAAATTAATAAACTTTAATAAACTTTGCTCCAATTGCCGTGATTTAAACTTTATACATACCTACGTTGGGGTTTTCATGGTTGGGGATTGACTGAGAAGATACGGGGGCAATAAACAATAAAGTTTAAAATATTACAATATAGTTGAACAACGTTATTTACTGGTTTCTATCTTTTTCATTCTTTGAAGGTTGTTTTGCAACTGAAATGATTCCAATCTCGGAATTTCCCGGTGACGTTTATTCTAAAATGCAAAAGGATTTTTGTTTTTCCCCTGAGCTGCAAAATTCAGCACATAAACGAAGACGGAGAATTTTAATGGCAAGCTTAACAAGACTCAAACTGCTAATGAGCAGTAGATCAAAATCAGTTAAGTACATTTAGGCTAAATGGCCAAAATGTGTCATAGAGCAAAGCTTGGACTCTTGCAGTATATCTGAAAAGTTTTGAAGGTGCTGAAAATTCACTGGAATTCTTGGGAACATTAACAAACATTGTGTCAAATTATTTGCTGCGAAATAAAAAGAATTCTTTTTCCCAATTTGCTTCGGATTTGTTAAAACAATTACATACATTGACTACCATCTGACTGTCAGATTTGAAAGCAAAATAATTCATTTCTAACTTGCCTAAGAACCATGTTTTCTAGTAGAAATGTTTTCTATCTACAAATAAAAGGGAACATCTCCACTTAAGAACATCAGCTTAAAAGTGACATTAGGAACACTCCCATTCATGTCAAGTGGACTTACAACATTAGAGTAAATACTTGTAGGTGGGGGAAAAAAATCAATAAATGTTTTTAAAACTGAGTGGAATGGATGAAACATAGGCTGTCAAGTATGTTGCAGAATTTAATAGTGTTGAATCTTGTGGATGTAGGACAACTTGCCACAGGACGAGTTACAGTAATATCAAAGAAACGGTGGAATAGAATGATTAAAGAAGGCCAGAGGAGGGGCAAAATGAAAGGTGAAAGACAAAAAAAAAATTAAATTATTTTAAATAATTAAATTGAATTGTTGAATTCTCCCATGGCTAGTTGCCCTGCAGTGAATTTAAAAAGAATAGAATAGAATAGAATAGAATAGAATAGAATAGAATAGAATAGAATAGAATAGAATAGGAGCTGGAAGGGACCTTAGAGGTCTTCTAGTCCAGCCCCCTGCTCGAGCAGGAGATCCTAGACCATTTCAGACAAATGGTTCTTCAGTCTCTTTTGGAAAAGCCTTCAGTGATGGAGCATCCACACCACTTAACGAAAGATTAGTAACAATCATGTTACTAATTTGACAAGTGCTATTTTGACAAGTTCTGTTATTCTGATAGGATGACAGTCTCCCCATATTTGAGGGGCTGCCCCAGAAAAGGGGGGGGTCAACTAAAGCACCTGAAGGCAGGACAAGAAACAATGGTTGGAAACTCATCAAGGAGAGAACAAGCTTACATCGAACTAAGGAGAAATTTGTCTGAAATGATATAATTTTTCCTGCTTTAGTGGGGGGGGGTTAGACTAGAAGACCTCCAAGGTCCCTTCCAACGCTTGTTATTCTGTTAATTGGAAATCCCGTGAGGTCTACACCAAGTTGCATTTAGGAGGGCTTGAAAATTTTCCCGTGAAAGTTCATCTTCCTTCATGAGTTCTTATGAACCAGAGAATCGGCTTGATTTTAAGAGCTGCGTTTGGATGAGGAGGACCCTGGTTTGGGGTTCATTAACCAGCATTTAACCAGTTTTTCCTAAATCTGGGCCACTGAATTCTCTGCATTTCAGGAAGAAGATTAATTCTTAGGTTTAATTTGCCCCTCACAAGCCTCTGATAAACTTGCTGACGTCGCGTGCAATCCTGTTGGCTAAGGTAAACGACAGGAGGCGATAGTCAAAGAACACGAGAACGCCATGCACGCCATTCTCTATGTGGCTCCAGGTGACCGGCACACGGTTGTCCGTCAGCCGCTTCACGTACAGCAGCCCGTCATCGCGAAGGACATCAAACTCGCAGGTCAAAAGGAAGGTCCGAGGGAGCTTGGAGATCACCCCGTCGTCCGCACACAAGGGCAAGCAAGGCGCTGTGAGCATCATTTTCATTTCTTCGTAGAGCTGAGGGCTGAAATTAGCCCCGGGAGGCTCTTGCGGTGTATAGCCTCTGACCTTGAACTCCTCGGGGATAAGGCTGCCGTCGACCCACTTCTGGTACTTCAGCCAGGTGGCCTCCGGGACATGGCTGTTCTTCAGGAGACCGTTCACGAAGGAAGTTGGCTTGTTGAAGTATCGGCAGCAGGCGAAGGCCACCAGTTTGCGCCACAAGATGGGACTTCTGCAGTTCTGCTGGTAGGACGGCAAGGTCATATCCAGAGCCTGCAGCACTGGGTAGATCAAGGCTTGGGCGTGGACCTTGGGAAGATCACACCGATCCACCAGTAACTGGCAAACGTGGGCGGCTAACAACCCCCCGAAGCTGTCTCCAGAAATGATAACACGGGAGCTGTCCACCCCGTAATCTTCGGCGTGTTTCAGGAGGAAGATGGTGGCCTTTAGACATTCAGCATGCTGGTTTGGGTAAGGGTTTTCCGGCCCAACTCCATATCTGAAAGAAGTGGGAAATGGCTTATTATGGGTTCTTAATCCAGGGTGGTACGTTGACGAGTTCGGTCCTGCCCTCCTTTTGTAATACGGTCTTTTAAAAAATTAATCAGAAGAGAGCTGGAAGGGACCTTGGAGGTCTTCTAGTCCAACCCCCTGCTCAAGCAGGAAGCCCTAGACCATTTCAATCAATCAGTCAATGAGAATAGAGCTGGAAGGGTCCCTGGAGGTCTTCTAGTCCACCCCCTGCTCAAGCAGGAAGCCCTAGACCATTTCAATCAATCAGTCAATGAGAATAGAGCTGGAAGGGACCTTGGAGGTCTTCTAGTCCACCCCCTGCTCAAGCAGGAAGCCCTAGACCATTTCAATCAATCAGTCAATGAGAAGAGAGCTGGAAGGGACCTTGAAGGTCTTCTAGTCCAACCCCCTGCTCGAGCAGGAGACCCTAGACCATTTCAGACAGGTGGCTGTCCAGTCTCTTCTTAAAAACCTCCAGTGATGGAGCACCCACAACGGCAAACCGTTCCACTGGTTAATTGTCCTCACTGTCAGAAAGTTCCTCCTTAATTCCATATATAATTTATGATTGGCCGTGGCGAGTTGAGCTGACCTTGGTGAAATGCCCAGAGACCCCCTGCCTATTAAAGGGGCAAGGAGGTAACACTCACCCAACTGCGATGACCGTTGCTTCCCCCTCTTTGGCAACGTGACACAGGAATCTTTCGTAGGTATCTGAAACAAGCAACGATGAGTTACAACGGATGAGGGTTCATTCCTGGAAACCGCTTTCCCTGGTTTAAACAAGAGTTGAAGGAACGTTTGTAATCGGGCCCTGGATGGCTGGTGCCAGGCCTCTGCTAAAGTCTGGGCTGTTTGCTTTTGGAATCATGCCAAAAATGCTGTGGCAATGTTGAAAATGGATGAAGCTGTGGGGGCAGCTAGGATGTTTAAAATACAGATGTGGCTCAGTTAAGGTATGTAGAGCAAATGGCTCCCACATTTAGCAGGAGAATTTAATCCTCTCTGTTAATCTCTCTCAGCATCTAGGGATGTCTGCCTGTCTACCCTTCTCTCGCTTCAGCTTCTTGCACAAAGCTAGTTGGACTAGAAGCATTCTTGACGCGAACATTATAGGCCCAGTCAACTCTTCAGTAAATCATTTAGATGAGGGAATAGAAAGGAGAACTCATCAGATTTGTAGATGACACTAAACTGGCAGGAACAGACAACATCCCAGAAGATTGAAGATCTTGACAGGGTTGAACAATAGGCCTTATTCAACAAGATGGAATTTAAGGTGGAGAAAAGCATCGTTTGACAACTAGGCAAAAAAACAAAACCAAAGCAGAACTACAGAGTAGGTCAAAGTTGACTCAAAAATAGTAACCAGGAAAGGCACCTTAAGAGTCCCAGTGGACAATCACTTAAACAGGAGCCAGCCGTGTGTGGCAGCAGCCAAAAAAGCCAACACAATCCTTGGTTGGGTAAACAGGCATAGAATCAAAATCACATGAAGATTGAGCACCGCTTTATAAAGCCTTAGTAAGGCCACATCTGGAATACTGCATCCAGTTTTGGTCCCGACGTTACAAAAAAGATGTTGGGACTTTGGAAAAAGTGCAGAGAAGAGGAACTAAGATGAATAAAGATCTGGAATATGAAGAACGGCTGCAGGAATTGGGGATGGCCAGTCTAGAGAAAAGAAGGACTAGGGGGGGACATGATAGCAGTATTTCAGTATTTTGAGGGGCTGCCCCAAAGAAGAGGGAGTCAACTTATTCTCCAAAACACCCGAAGGCAGGACAGGAAAATCAAGGAGAGAAGTAATCTGCAATTAACATGTGAAGACAGTGAGGACAATTAACCGGTGGAACAACCTGCCTCCAGAAATTGTGGGTGCTCCAACACTGGAGGTTTTTAAGAAGAGACTGGACAACCATTTGTCTGGAATGGTATAAAAGGTCTCCTGCTTGAGCAGGGGGTTAGACTAGAAGACCTCCAAGGTCCCTTCCAGCTCTATTCTAATGTGTGTGGTTGTGTGTGCGAGAGAGAAAGAGGGAGACTTTGAAGTGGAATGCCAAACAAATTCACAAGCGTGTTTTAGTAACCAACCATCCAGAAGCGTTTTGCTGTCATCCGGGATGCTTTTCAGACTTCCAACTTATCGCCCTGAATATTCCCCAACTATCTCGGTTTAGCAATCTGTGGTTAGCTTGGACTACGTCTCTCTCCCCTTACCGTAGCTTCCGAAAATGCCACAGCCCCCATGGAAGTAAACCATCGCTTTTCTTTTCGTAGCTGGCACTGTTTTGGATGAGTAGATCCTCACCGGCACTCCGTCAAATTTCTGGTCCCGAATGACGAGGGCCGGATCCCTGCACGCCGGGATTCCGTTAACGAATATCCGTAAGATTTCAGGGAAACTGCTGAAACCCAGCTCCTCCAACACAATTCCCTGTTGGCCAACGGAAAAAAGAGGAGTTAATTTGGATAGATTATCTTAATCGGCATACAACGGTTCCTCTAGTAGTGACTGTTTTAAGGAGTCAAATCGGAAAAAAATAAAAGGCTTTTGTGGCTCCAACTAAAAAAAAAATTGGAAGTTCACAAAGGAACATCATAAGAATAAACTCTAAATTGTTAGAAACCCAGTTCCAAGAATATTAGATATTCAGCTCCAAGAATATATCATTGGTTCTCAACTGACTTGTGTTTATGTCACAGTGTCCTGGGGTCATGTGATCCTCTTTGTGATCTTCTGATAAGCAAAGTCAATAGGGAAACTGGATCAAATTGGGGAGTTGAGTGGGAGTGACAGGACGTGACATCTTATCCAGCTGGAGAACTTTGAGTGGGGGCACTTAAACTTTAACTTAACTTTGACTTAAAGTTTAAACTTAACTTTGACTTAAACTTTAAACTTAACTTTTACTCAAACCTTAATCTTAACTTTTACTCAAACTTTAAACTTAACTTTTACTTAAACTTTAAACTTAACTTTGACTTAAACTTTAAACTTAACTTTTACTCAAACCTTAATCTTAACTTTTACTCAAACTTTAAACTTAACTTTTACTTAAACTTTAAACTTAACTTTGACTTAAACTTTAAACTTAACTTTTACTCAAACCTTAATCTTAACTTTTACTCAAACTTTAAACTTAACTTTTACTTAAACTTTAAACTTAACTTTGACTTAAACTTTAAACTTAACTTTTACTCAAACCTTAAGCTTAACTTTTACTCAAACTTGAAACTTAACTTTGATTTAAACTTTAAACTTAACTTTTACTCAAACTTTAAACTTAACTTTGACTTAAACCTTTACTTAAACATAGTGAGGGATAATTCTCCCAAGTTAAGATTTTTCTTTTTCAAATCCTTTTTTTTTTAAAAAAAAGACTTTCACCCCATTTTTTTTCATTTATGAAAAAATTCTTTGGATTTGGCCACCTGGCCTGAACCAAACCACCTCCCCAGGCTTCTGCTCTGGGTCCAACTCTGCCCAGTTGGACAGGCCCAGTTACCACCCAGCTGTGAGATCCAGGAAAAAGAAAACGAAGGAAGCCCCTCCTATTTCAGCCCTTCCAATCTGGACAGGCAGGTGACCCGGTCAGTTTCACTGCTTTCTTGCTCAAGAAAGCCAAGAAACGCTTGGAGGGCGGCGACGCCGATGAACTCAGGCTAATTCTAACCTGGCAAGAAAAGAATAAAGCCGTGCTATTCTTCTCCCCTACGTTTGTGAGGGAAAAGAAGGAAGGAACGAAAGACAGGCCTTACTAAAATGATGCCCGAGATGAAGACCGTCTGGCAGAAACGGAGCTTCCACTGTTGTTCAATTGCAGGAGGAAGCGACGTTTGGGCATACTGGATGATGACCGAGACCAGGAAGATGGCTGGGTAGATAGCGGTCCCAACAAGGAGGCAGCCCAGGCGCTTCCAGAGGGACCTCATGGCGCCTGGTATGGGGCAGAAAGATGCTCTCCTCCTCTCCTCCTCCTCCAAACTGTTCACAGAGGCTGTGAAGAGTCCGGTGGCTGATCCAGGGAAAAATAAATGGGATTGATAAGGGGAGGCCGGCCTTCTCTTCCCATTATGGAGACACCTACAAGGATAATAAGGCAGGGACACAAGGCAACGTTGGATCCTCGCCTTCTAAAACAGGTTTATGTCCAGTTGGGAAATGCAGGTCTCTAAGTAGATCTCTTAGTGTGTGGATTCAACAGGTTTACTCTGTGGGCCAACCTCTTCTCGGTTCTCCTTCCATCGGCTAGATGCCAAAAGATTACCCGGTCTACCGCATTATTAAGTCTACTATATTATTAAGGGTTTAATCACCAACGCTGTGCAGCATTTTCAGCTCCCTTTTTATTTCCTGATGTTGCAATGGTGCCACTTTGGAAAGAGTTGCCCGATTGTGGTTCCTATAGGGAGCGATCCTGTGGCCGTGAGCCACGACCATCCTACCCCTGCCTAAGGGATGTGTAGAGCCCCCAGTTCAGGGGTAGGGGTGTGTGTGTGTGGTGGCGGCGCAGTGGTTAGAATACAGCATTGCCAGCAGTTCGATCCTGACCGGCTCAAGGTTGACTCAGCCTTCCGTCCTTCCAAGGTCGGTAAAATGAGGACCCAGATGGTTGGGGACAATATGTTGACTCTAAACCGCTTAGCGAGGGCTGTGAAGCACCGTGAAGCGGTCTATAAGTCTAAGGGCTGTTGCTATAATTCTCCATTCTATTCCGATCAGAACGTGCTAGGAAGGGGCAGCATGAGGGCATGGCTGTAATCCCAACATCTCATTTTAGATCAGTGGTTCTCAACCTGTGGGTCGGGACCCCATTTGGGGTCGAACGGCCATTTCACGGGGGTCGCCAAACAATGCAGTCCGTTATTTTTTTTCCCCTTTTCCTTGGCTGTGCTACTCCCTTTTATTCTATTGGCTTTTGAAAGCCAATAGAATAGACTCTCTTGAATAGTCTAATTCTATTGGCTTTCAAAAGCCAATAGGAATTGTCCAGGCTGTCTCTGCCCTGCTGAGCCCGCCAAAAGTCCCATTCTGCAAACGGTACTGCGCCAGTTGAGTAGTCCTCGACTTACAACCGGTTGAGTAGTCCTCGACTTACAATCGGTTGGGGGTCGCGGCATTAAAAAGGTTGAGAACCACTGTTTTAGATCGTTGCAAAGGACCTGGGTCTCAACTGGATTCCCTATTTGTGTTCCTTGCCTTTTAGCCAGGCTCCATGTTCTTTATGGGCTAACCATAAAACAAGTGTTTTTAATGCATCTGTTCTGTCCCAGCCTACAAGCTCACAAGGAGAAACCCCCGCTTCCAAACAAGCAGGCTGGAACTGCAGGAAAAAAACAATCCCTTTTTATTATTCACAGACCTGAATAAAATGTCCAAGGCAAACAAAACACAGTTCACTGAAACTTGATTCCTTAACACAAGCGGTTGCCTTCAGCAGCCAGCACCTGCGATTGCAAGAGACAGCCGGGAAAGATTGCGACAGATTTGCTTGTTGGCCAGCAGGGGACTTCGCAAGCCATAAAATCGTAGAAGGCCGACGGAAATAAAAGTAAAGGCTTCCTAGAACCGTTCTAGGAACTGAAGGACCCTTTGAAGATTGCGCCTCGTCCCGGGGAACTCCATTGGCCCAAGGCCTATCATTAAGGAGATCCCGTGGAATCCATCCTCCAGGTGATGCCAGGTGACCGCCACCCCGTTCTCTTCCAGCCGCCTTTTGTAGAGCAGGCCGTCGTCTCGGAAAATGTCGTATTCGCAAGTCAGAAGGAAAGTCTTTGGAAACTGCCGGAGGATGGCATCTTCCGCCAGGAGTGGAGAAAGCCTGGGTTCGAAAGATCTCTCGTATAGTCTGAAAAGGTCTTCTGAAAACAGACTGGGTACAAATGGCACGTAACCCCGGACTTTAAACTCCTGGGGAATATGGTCCGGGCTAACCCACTTCTGGTACTTGGCCCTTACTTCCTGGGACAAGTGGGCATTGGCCATAACGCCATCCACGCCGATGTCACTTCCGGTGAGATAAAGCATGAAGAAAGTGACGGCGTGTCTCTTGAATAACAGGGGCACTGAGTGGTTTTGCTGGTAAGAAGGCAGGTTGGAATCCAGGGTCTGGACGTAAGGGTAGAGGAGCACGTGGGCCTTGACCCGTGGCAGGTCCTTCCGTGACACCAGCTGTTGAGAAATGGCAGCCACGATGCTGCCTCCACTGCTGTCTCCACCCAGCACGATCCGTTCTGGGTCCACCCCGTAGTCCTGCGCGTTCTTCAAAAAGTGCAAGACGGCAGCGTAGCAGCTGACCTGTTGAGCTGGGTAAGGATGCTCTGGGGCTAAGGGATAGCTAAACCAACATTGAGTTAAAAAGAAATCGCTCAAAGGCATTGGGGTCCTGTTGTTCCTATTATTGTTGTTGTTATTTTACATTTAATTTTCAATTCGATTCACAGTCTGGGACTGGTAAAAACTCAACACTTCAAGTCCTATTCTATTCCTTTTCCTTATTCTATTCTATTCTATTCTATTCTATTCTATTCTATTCTATTCTATTCTATTCTATTCTATTCTATTTCTATTGTATTCTATTCTATTCTGCATTATTCTATTCTATTCTTTATTATTTCTATTGTATTCTATTGTATTCTTCATTATTCTATTCTATTCTATTTTTTATTATTTCTATTGTATTGTATTCTATTCTATTCTATTCTTCTATTCTATGAGCTTTTAAGGTAACGTCTGAGTATATAGGCAATATATTATTATTGTTGTTGTGCAACATCCAATACAGGCACTCCTCGACTTACCAATACAATTGATCCCAAAATGCCTGTAATTAAGTGAGACATTTGTTAAGTGAGTTTTGCCCCGCTTTACGACCTTTCTTGCTGCCGTTGTTAAGCGAATGACTGCAGTGGATAAGCTAGTCATCCGGTTGTTAAGTGAATCGGGCTCCCGTGTTTCCCGTGTCGCAAATTAAACCTTACCCGATGCAGACAATCACGGTGGCACTTTCCTTGGCAAAGAAGTGGCACAGCCGTTGGTAACTTTCTGGAAAACCACAAAGAGAATAAGAGGGAACAGAACAGAGCTGGAAGGTACCTTGGAGGTCTTCTAGTCCAGCCCCCCTGATCAGGCAAGAATTGATCTTCAGACGAGAAAGTCCCACTTCTCCCAGCCCTAACTTGTAGGCTTTTTATCTGAACCCACCCACCCATTTCCCTTGGCAAGTATTTCGCCATCCCAGTCAATTTCAGGCAGTCCCCGACTTAATGACCACAAGGAGGGGCCCACATTCCTGTTGCTCAGCGAGACGTCGGCCGCCCAGTGTTTGCATTTTGGTGGGGAAACGGCCCTAAGTCCCTTTTTTCAGTGCCGTTGTAATTTTGATTGGTCACTAAATGAACCGTCGTTAAGTGGAGAACTTACCAAGGCTTCCAAACAACCCTCCTCCTCCGTGAATCCACACAAGCCCTCGTCGGTTCTCAGCCCTTGAGGATTTGGACGCGTAGACCCTGACGGGCACCGTGTCGAAAAGTGTCTCCTTGACGATCAAGTCAGAGGCCCTCATTGGGAGTTTTCTGTTGATCAGCAACCTCAGAACATCCACTTCACTGCACATGCCAAGTTTCTGCAGAATCGCACCCTGCTCAATGCAAAAGTTGAGAAAGACACCAAATGCATGGAGAGAGTCAGACCTCTTCTTTGTGGGGGTCAACTTATTTTCCAAAGCACCAGAAAGGTAAAAGACAAGACACAATGGATGGAAAATCATCAAGGAGAGGAGCAACCTGGAATTAAGGAGAAACTTCCTAACGGAGGACAATTAACCAGTGGAACAGCTTGCCACCAGACGTTGTGGGTGCTCCATCACTGGAGGTTTTTAAGGAGAGATTGGACAGCCATTTGTCTGGAATGAAACAGGGTCTCCTGCTTGAGCAGTGGGTTGGGCTAGAAGACCTCCAAGGTCCCTTCCAGCTCCTATTCATTTCTGTTCTATTATTCTATTCTGTTCTGTTTTGTTCTATTAATTCTAATTCTATTCTACTCTGACTTCTAATTCTATTCTATTCAACTCTGAATTCTAATTCTATTCTATTCTATTCTGAATTCTAATTCTATTCTGTTCTAATTCTATTCTATTCTACTGTACTCTGAATTCTTATTCTATTCTTTCTGTATTCTGTTCTGTTCTATTCTTTCTCTATTCTCTTCTCTTCTCTTCTTTCTATTCTGTTCTGTTCTATTCTTTCCATATTCTATTCTATTCTATTCTATTCATTCTAATTCTAATTCTACTCTATTCTATTCTGTATTCCAATTCTATTCTACTTTGAATTCTTATTCTATTCTATTCTTTCTGTATTCTGTTCTGTTCTATTCTTTCTCTATTCTATTCTATTCTATTCTATTCTATTTCTATTTCTATTCATTATTCTGTTCTTATATTCTAGCACTTTGAAGGCACTTCAAGCAAGGAGCAGAGCTTAAGGTGTGAAGGGGAACATGGCAAGGAGACAACCGTATCAGAATGAGAAAGGAAGAAGTCGATCCCAAGCAATAAAAAAAAAAAAACCAACAAAAACTGAACATTGACTTTTCTACAGCTTCTGCTGACCAAATTGCAAGTCTCTGCAGGACTGTGGTGGCCAGGAAAAGCCCCTGAAAGCAAAGCTAGAATCCAAGGACGGAGGCTTACCAGTCTCATAAAAATCCTCATGAACAATTACATGAAGCAGAGTTTTCCCCCTTGGCTGATTCCGGGTGGGATATGCACCCTGGTGAAATCTTGGTAGAGGAGCCAGACGAAGACTAAAAACGGGATCGAAGCGCAGAAGGAAAATGGTCGTTCCTGTGCTGGAAAGCTCCTGCAATGGGATTCTTCTTCTTTTTAATTTTCTGGCAAATGTGGTCAAAGGAAATTGCAGCTCCAGCTCCCTTGTTCGTTTCTGTTTTTTTTTTTTTCTCGGTCTGCGAGATCTGTGTGTTGCCACAACCTGGTTCTTTTAACAGTAGGACCCAGGTGTGCCTTTTGTATCCTTTCCCTCCTGCATTTGACACAATTGTGCAACTCAAAGTTCAAAAGAACAAATCCTTCCCTGATTGATGATAATGTCAACCGACATTTGCGTTCCTTGCAGATCACCCATCCGATTACATGGGGAATATACTGATTTATTGCCCTTAATTATGGACTCTAGAACCATATAATGTTTCCAGGTGAGCCACCGGGAACAACTTTCCTTAAAAGAGAATTTGCTTGACAGAGATTTTGAGATGAAAACAGATTCCACGAAGGTTCGTGCCAAGCGGAGTTGGCCCTTTGAATTCTAATTTAGGGCAGAGGATCAGAGTAAGATCAAAGGCAGGGCCCTGAATGCAACTCCTCGCCATTTGTTGATAAGGAGATATTTGTAGGGTTTCATCACATCCTTTGGAAGAGGAAGCTGAGTGTAATAGATATACGCAAATAGAATAGAGTAGAATAGGGAATAGAATAGAATAGGGAATAGAATAGAGTAGAATAGGGAATAGAATAGAATAGAATAGGGAATAGAATAGAATAGAAAATAAATAGGATATCGAATATAGAACAGAGTTGCTTCAGTTGAACCATCGTCCAATGTGCTCTACAGGGACCCCTTCATCCCTTCCAAGCCTAGGAAAATTTATCCCACTAGACCAGGGGTAGGCAACCTTGGCTCTTTTATGACTCGGGGACTTCAACTCCCAGAATTCCTGAGCCGAGCCGAGTCATAAAAGAGCCAAGGTTGCCGACCCCTGCACTAGACAGCCAAGAAATCAATCTGGCAATTTCCTATACAGGAAAGCCCTCTGGTGGATACAGGAAGTATTGCATGCTGCCAGAGGAAACCAAGAATTCTGCAAGATAGGAAATTTGGGGAAAGCGCATTAGAAAGCCTAAGGCGGGAACACAAGGTGTCTCCAGGTTTTGGTGATGTGCTTGTTGTGGCTTGGCGTAGAAGAATAAAACGGAATGGAATGGAATTAGAATAGAAATGCAGAATAGAACAAAATAGAACAGAATTAGAATAGAAATGCAGAATAAAATACAGAATGGAACAGAATTAGAATAGAAATGCAGAATAAAATACAGAATGGAACAGAATTAGAATAGAAATGCAGAATAAAATACAGAATGGAACAGAATTAGAATAGACATGCAGAATAAAACACAGAATGGAACAGAATTAGAATAAAACAGGAATGCAGAATGCCGGTCAGGGGATCAAAATTCAGATGCTCGTCAAGGGGCTCATATTTACCACCGTCGCAGCGTCCCCGGGGCTCACGTGATCCCTTTTTGTGACCACCTGTCCAGCAAAGTCCACGAGGAACAGCCAGTTTCATTTAACAACCATGTCGCTTAACTTATCAACGGCAGAGCGATTTGCTGAACGACCAGGACAAGAGAAGGGGCAACGCTCACTTAAAAAAACGCCTTCCATTAATCCCATGGTTGTTTTAAGAAGCGAATCTCTTTGGACTTTGCTGGTTGCAAAAGGGGGGAATCGTGGGACCCTGCAACCGTCATAAAGATTGGGCTCAACTCTTGTGGTCGTAAATCAAGGAGTCGCTTACTCTTTACTCTTGGGACTGCCTTCGGCTTCCTTGCCTACTCGCGGCAGCGCTTGGAATTCGGTTTCCTTGCTCCACTTTTTCCAAAATTGATTGGGACCCCCTTGGCAGGCAATTCCGCAAAGTAGTCAAGGTGGACTGTATTTCATATTTACTTGTTATGTAAAGGTGTGTGGGTCTGCACATATGTTGTACATGGTATGTTTAGGTGTGTGTTGCGTAGGTGTTTCACTTTGAGAACGGGCAACTACATTTCATTGTCGATGTGTGCCCTTGTGCCCACCGTAAAAAAAAAAAAAAAAGACAATAAAGGTTAACTTGTCTTATTGCCCCCCTCCTTCTGCCCCCCCCCCGGCCGACAACCAGCCCGCCCTCCGGGGAGGGGTTTGCACGGCCCGCCCCGGACCCACCCCGGCGCCCGGGTGCAAAAGTCCCCGTAGCTGCCACTTCTCCTCCTCCTCCTCCTCCGCCTGGGTGTGCGCGAAGAGCGGCCGCCGCCGAGATGTGAGTCCCTCCGTGGGTCTGGGGGGCTGCTTTCGTGGGGGGGTCCCGGCTTTTGCAGCCAGGGGGCGCCGGCCGGCAGGAGCCAGGAAGTTGCGCGAAGTTGGAACGCCGCATTTGCAACCGGGCGCCCGCCGCTTTGCCTGGGCGCCCGCCGCTCTCGGGGGTCCCGGGGGAGAAGGGAAGCCGAGTCGGGCGGGGGGAGGGGGCAGAGGCAGGGCCGGGCCCGGAGGAGAGAGGCCGAGTCTGCTGGGCTGGGCGGGGAGGAAACTGGCCCGGACGGGAAACAGACTTTGGGCCGGCCTTTCCTTTGCTCGGCTTCACTTCGGAGCAAAGATTCGGACTGACTCCGGATCGCTTGCAACTTGGCGGCGCTTTTTTCTCCACCCCCCCCCTCGAAAGGGCTGGGTTTGCAACGGGTTGCAAAAAAAGGAAAACCAAAAAAAAAGCCCCGGGGCGATGCCCATTTCCGGGACAGGCGGAGCTCCGACCGACTCCGACTTCGTTTCGGTTCCCTTAGGGGCGCAGCTGAGTCCTGAGACGCTTTGGCGAGGGGTGTGTTTGTGTGTGTGTGTCTCTGTGTGTGTATGTGGGGAGGTGCGGACTGTGAGCGCGTGCTGGGTGTAGCCTCCGGGTTGTGTTTTTCTTTCTGGTTGGTTAAGGCCAACCAGGATAGCTGGTTTGGGATTCAATTCGGAATGGAGCTGGAAAAGGGACCTTGGAGGTCTTGTAGACCAACCCCCTGTTCAAGCAGGAGACCCTAGACCCATTTCAATCAATCAGAATAGAGCTAAGAGGGACCTTAGAGGTCTTTTAGTCCACCCCCCTGCTCAAGCCGGAGACCTTATACAGGTAGTCCTTGACTTAACAACTGTTTGTTTAAATGACCGTTCAAAATTACAACAGCACGGAAAAAAAGTGACTTAGGACCATGTTAACAACCAACTTAGTGTCCTCTGCAGATGTGATGAGTTTCCCTCCTCTAAGTCCTTGATGAAGATATTGAAGACTTGACTGGGCTTAAGAGGGAACCTTGTGCTGCCCTTGACTGCGGTTGAGCCGGATAGTGACTGAAACCTCATTTTATTGATGACATAGAAGCGGGAAGCAATCCTAGAATTTTAGTCTGCCATGTAGGTTGATCCTGGGGCCTGACTGGATATCGGTAACCCAGATCAACTCCCCAGGATTTGCAAATGGCGGTCTGGCAATAACCTGGCTTGTCTTTTTGTGCAGGTCTGGGGATCCCGTAGCAGGCGCTGCCTTGGGCAGCAACCGACGTCTTCAGCAGACGCAGAATCAAGTTGATGAAGTATGTATGGCCAGGCTGTTCAGAACCAGGATGGTGGGTGGGCTCAGTGGGTGAAGCTGCAGTGCCTTGCTGTGACAGTCAGTTGAGGACCTTCTTGAAGGCCCATCCGTTGAAGACCTTGTTGAAGGACTCAACCGGCTGAGGACCTTCTTGAAGGCCCATCGGTTGAAGGACTCAACCATTTGAGGACCTTCTTGAAGGCCCATCAGTTGAAGACTTGTTGAAGGACTCAACCAGCTGAGGACCTTCTTAAAGGGCCCATTGGTTGAAGGACTCAACCAGTTGAGGACCTTCCTGAAGGGCCCATCAGTTGAAGGACTCAACCAGTTGAGGATCTTCTTGAAGGACCCATCGGTTGATAGTAAGTCCTCACTGTCATGAAGTTTCTCTTTACTTCCAGGTTACTTCTCTCCTTGATTAGTTTCCATCCATCCTTTCTTTCCATTGTTTCTTTCCGTGGGCAACGTATGGCTTGTTTTTTTGTTTTTTTTAGAAAGCCAACACCATGCTCCTCTTTGAATGGGGGAAGGGGAGGTTGGGTTGGTCTGGAAGACCTCCACAGTCCCTTCCAGCCCTGGGATTCGGTGTTCCAAACCTTTCGTTCTAGGTGGTGGATATCATGAGGGTCAATGTGGACAAGGTTTTGGAGAGGGATCAGAAGCTGTCCGAGCTGGACGATCGTGCTGACGCCTTGCAAGCGGGAGCCGCTCAGTTTGAGACGAATGCGGCCAAACTCAAAAGAAAATACTGGTGGAAGAACTGCAAGGTAAGAACACTGCTGAGCTTGGAGGACCAGGTTGGTTAGAGAGAAGAGTAGAGAAGAGAAATACAGAGAAATGCAGAGTAGAGTAGAGTAGAATACAGAACAGAGAATAGAATAGAGAACAGAATGGAATAGGAATAGAAGAATAGAATAGAATAGAATAGAATAGAATAGAATAGAATAGAATAGAATAGGGTTTTCTGGCTGAGCAGGGGTTGGACTTGAAGACCTAGGTCCCTTTCAACTCTGTTATTCTATTATTCTATTCTACACAGGTATAGTTTTCTTATTTGAAGAAAGGCTGTTTTGCTTTAGCATATTTTTTTCTCTGCTAATTATTAACAGTTACACAGCTAGGTTGATTTAGAACGTGATAGTTTAAAGGGACGTGAGACATTTTAAGTACATACAAAATCAACCCCTCTGCGAAAAAAAATGGTATTTATTCTTACAATGCTTATAAATCTCTTTTCCATTGTTCTTCCCTCCCCCCTTTTAAAATGATCAGTCACGATTAAAAAAAATCTCCCACAATAAATCCTGTTTGTTTGTTTGATTTTTGAACAGATGTGGGCCATACTGGTCGCAGTGGTGGTGGTGATCCTCATAATTATCATTGGTAAGTTATCTTAAATGGGCATGAAGCCCCCTGGCTGGAAGTACAGCTAGTCCTCGTTTAGCGACTGCCTTGTTTAGCAACTGTTCGCCGTTACAAGAGTGATGAAAAGGGATTTTAGGGAACCAGTCCTCGCCTTTGTGGCCTTCACCGTTCTGTATAGCAAAGAATAGCTGAACTAAGATCCTAAACGGCTTTCCTTAAATTGCTTTGTCCCAATTTCGTCACTAAACGAGGACTGCCTGTATTTCTTGGAACCGGGACCGTTTTGCCCTAAGCACTGCCTCCAGCCAGTTTCCAGTTGCTGAAAAATAATTTGCAGCTGTCTCCCGTGTTTATTATTATTTATTATGAGTGCCAGCCTTACTTTGGGTTGTTATTGTTATAATTGTTATTATTTAACTTTAATCAAAAGAATTTTTAAAAGCGATCGTGTGCTGTTGTTTTTGCTAATCTGTTGCTTTTTTTTTTTTTAATTCCCTCTTTGCAGTTTGGAGTGTGTACGGGTGATCCAGCAGAACGTAAAAGTTGTGTTCCACATGCAAAAAAACTCTTCCATCCGACCTGCTCTGTTGCCAAGCTTTTTGTATGGGTGCACAAATCATTTATTCTGGACTGCTGTGTTTATAACTCTTTATGTAGTTTGAGCGATAAGACTGCAAGCTGCAGGAGAAAACCTCACGCCTCCTTTTTGATCATGTGCTAAAAATTGTCATTTTTGGGATAAATCGATATTATTCCTCTCCTGGTTAGACCATTGAGAAGTGGGATTGGTTTATGTTCCTGCTTTTCCTACAATTAATAATTATTTTTATCCACAATTGTGACATAGAGAACCACGTTGCCTTCATTAAATCACAGCAATTAATCAAGGGGAGCAGGCCACAACGAGCAAACACTAGTCTTTTTAAGCTGATTTTAAGTCTCTTGCAAAGAGTTGCACACTTGGTGGAGTTAAAATAAACACCGTGAACCTAGAGGCCTTTTAGGTGCAAACCTAGTTGAATGTCGGTTGTTACAACTTAGTGCCTTGTTTGGATCTGAATTGAACTGCCTGTTGCTCAGATGCAGTGAATGTGGTTGCACAATTGCAAGCAAAAAAATAAAAATAAAAACCACAAGGGCTTTTCAGAAGAATTCTGACTTTTTGCAACAGTTGTTCTGCATCGGCAATCTAGTAATTCTGTTTTTTAGATGCCCCCACTTTCCAATGAGGCTTATTCTTTTATTGATCAAGTCTCTGTGTGGCTTTTCCACTTTTCATTTCCTATATTTGTCTTACTCCTCTCCGTTTAGCACCCCAAATAGGGCACAAATACCAACAGTTAATCCCATGAAGTATTCAAGCTGTCTCATCAGATTATTTTTCAACTTGCTTATATTTCTGATTTATTCTTATTTTTTGAATACTTTTGTATAGGTTAAAAAAAAACGCCGTGATTTTGAAACACTGAAAATAAGCTTTTCCTGCCTAGATTACTGTACTTATTATTGTAGTTCTTCTTACCAATTCCTCACTCAGCCAGACTTGAATGAATGTGTTTTTCTACTACTAACATGGAATCTTCGTTGTCTGCCAGGCAGAAAAGTTTTCAACAATCCGGTGGATCGAGCAGCTGAACTTTTATTGTAGCTATTTAATAAAGAGCGATTGTCAATCCGGTTGGCGTTTTGCAACTTTTGTGGTCCAGTTGTCTTTGCGGGAGTCATATATAAAAGCTTGTCTATAAAAGCGAGTCAAAATAAGGGCCGCCTGATGAAATTAGATGAAGCCATTAATGCGGTACAAACTGTGACTCACTCAGTCTGAGGGCTGAGACAGTATTGCTTCGCTCTGTTGCTCCATCTGACGTAGGAGGGCTGCGCCCGTGCACTGATGGTTGTGAAGGTTGGCAAATTGTGTGGGAGCCCTCAAGATGGGCTAGGGAGTTTCTGCATGGGATACCCAGCAGGGATATGGCCAACCGGTGGCAAAGGTGGTCAGCTGATGTCCGTGTATTTGCTGTCTGTCACTGCGGATTACAGGGATTTAATCTTCATCAGCCACCCAGAATAATGTTTGTGAGATGGGCAGTCATATACATTGATTTAAATAATATATTTATGTATTTCTTGTTTTCTAAACTTGAACAGGATTCATGCAGGGGGAGAAGGAAAATAATTCCTTTCAATAATAGGAACAAATCTAGAGAAGATTTGGTTGGAATACACCAACCAAATACACCAATGTATTTTGTATAACAACTACAGCTGTATTCAGTAGAGGTATATATTTTTCAACCAGTAGATTGGCAGTGTTTCTAGGTTTGTAGTTGCATCTATAGTGTACTCTTTATGTCTTTTTCTCTGAATCAAAAGTTTTCTGCTTCCTTGTGGCAGGTAAGCAGGAAAGCACATGGGGACTGTGCACTGTCCGTTCTATAGGGCTATATACAGAATTTCTAACAGATTTATTAAATCCCATGCAAGTAACATAGGAGTTTCATCTTCAGTATGTCTTTATTTTCATGACGTGTGCATTTTCAGAAACGATATGCAGGAATCTAGTCTATTGCTTGATCACATCATAAATTATAGGGCGAGGGACTAAGGGCACCTGGAAGCAAGAGGGATCCCAGCCGGTCACACGCAATATTTCCAAAAGCATTGGGAGAGATTCCTGCGTTCCTTGTACTGCTTCCTGGCAGATTCCCATAAGCGTCTTAACAGCATGTTCCGGGAAAAGCTTTCAACCGGTGCCTAAAAGTGGGAAAAAATATATATAAATAGTCCTCCTGTTACCACCACAATGGACCCCAGAATATCTGTTGCTATGTGAGCAATTTACAAAGCTAAAATCTATAATGGAAGGAGTTTGTTTCTTGAGAGCAGGAAGGAAATTCTACTTTGAACTTTTCTCCATGGGAGAAGAGCAATTTTCCCAAGAAAATAAGCAGATGTTGGGAAGCTCGCTTTGCTAACTCAGGAAGATTCTCCCCCATTCAAATTATCTTCAATTCTCTTGACTAGGTCTTTTTCCAAAGGAAAAAGTTGGGCCTTTCACAAAGAAGCAGAAACCTTCAGAGGCACAAAATGAGAAAAACACCATTTCAGATCTATTTTCTCTCCGTTCACCCTCCCTTTCTTACCTCCTCAACCGATTCCCTGGGACTGAAGCGGGGGGGACCAAGATCTGCAATGAAAAGAAAAACGTTCAGAATATTTGGATCATCCTAGTGGAGGATCACACGTAAACACGAGCCAGCCGTGTGCGGCGGCAGCCAAAAAAGCTAACACAATTCTTGGTTGCATAAGCAGAGGCACAGAATTGAAATCACATGAAGTCTTAGTACTGCTTTATAAAGCCTTAGTAAGGACGCACCTAGAATACCTGCATCCAGTTTTGGTCCCCCACGTTGCAAAAAAGGATGTTGAGACTTTGGGAAAAGTGCAGAGAAGAGCAACTAAGATATTTTTCTTTGTAAAATATACGAAGAACGGCTGCAGGATTTGGGTTTGGCCAGTCTAGCGAAAAGAAGGAGTAGGGGGGACATGATAGCAGTATTTCAGGGGCTGCCCCAAAGAAGAGGGGGCGTCAAGCTATTCTCCAAAGCACCAGAAGGCAAAAGACAAGAAGCAACGGATGGAAACTCATCAAGGAGAGAAGCAATCTGGAATTTAGGAGAAACCTCCTAACAGTGAGGACAATTGACCAGTGGAACAGCTTGCCACCAGAAGTGGCTACTCCATCACTGGAGGCTTTTAAGAAGAGACTGGACAGCCACCTGTCTGGAATGGTCTAGGGTCTCCTCTTTGAGCAGGGGTGGGACTAGAAGACCTCCAAGGTCCCTTCCAGCTCTTTTCTGATTGATTTGTATTGGAAAAACAGAACCTGTTTCATTGCAGCAAGTTCCACTGGTTAATTTGTCCTCGCCGTTAGGAAGTTTCTCCTTAATTCCAGGTTGCTCCTCTCCTTGATGAGTTTCCATCCGTTGTTTCTTGTCATTTGTCTTTCTGGGGCTTTGGAAAAATAAGTTGACCCTCCCCCCCTTCTTCTTTGGGGCAGCCCCTGAAATACTGTGGGGTGAGATGGCACGATTATTGAAGGGGGGGAAATGTCTTACCTGCTTTGCTCGAATTGTCCTCTGTCTGTGCTCCTAGTATCCTGGTTAAGATTTGCTGGAAGGATCTTCTGCTGGTCAAAGGATCCAGGCTTAGCTTGGCCTCTTCATTGTTGACTGCAGATTGAGAACAAAGTTGGAAAGAAGCAAGGGGATGTTTGGAGACAAGTCTGTCTTCCCCCTGAAATCCTTGAGGATGAAGAAGACCCTTATTCCTTTGCTCTAAATCATAAACCTTTGCTCTGGTTACCATTCTTGCTAATCAGAAGTGATGCTTCCTCTGACATCTAAACCTCCTTCCTCTAAATCTCCTTAAGGTAGGAAGTCCTGGGTGGAAGTCTGCTAAAGAGAGAAGCATCCTAAAATTCAGGTCCTGACAGTGAGAACCATTAACCAGGGGAACGGCTTGCCTCAAGAACTTGTGGGTGCTCCATCACTGGAGATCTGGATAACCATTGATCTGAAACGGTCTAGGGTCTCCTGCTTGAGCAGGCGGTTGGACTAGATGAGCTCCAAGGTCCCTTCCAACTCCGTTGCTCTGTATTCTCTTCCATCCTTCCTTCTTTCCTTCCTTCCTTTTTTTCCTTCCTTCCTAGCAGTAGAACTAAAGGGAAATTTCCTGAACAGCTTCCCTCCAGAAGTTGTGGGTGCTCCATCACTGGAGATTTTCCAAGAAAAGATTGGACAAACATTTTTCTGGGAGGGTATAAGGTCTCCTGTCTTGGGCAAGGGGGGGTTGGACTAGAGGACCTCCAAGGTCCCTTCCCATCCTATGATTCCATGAACTAAGTTCAGATGTGGATCTAACCTAATCTCCCCTTCATCAGAGGGGGAGGCTATCCCAGGGAACGCAAGCCCATCACCTTATTTATTTTTAATTTTGTTAATTGAGGGGGTCACCAGTTCCCCATTAAACAGCTTGAGCGTCAAACGTAGGCGAGGCGAATGTTGCCTTATAGCACTAAAGACCCTGTTCTGTCATGGGCACATGGTTCTCTTCATATTTCAGGGAGGAAACACAACGCCGGAAGCGTTTCACAAGTACTTATCCTAATGACATTTTAGCCGAAGTTTGCGGAAAGGCAAAATCCAGCCCACCCCCTGCTCAAACAGGAGACCCTAGACCATTCTGAATATCAGAATAACAGAATTGGATGGGACCTTGGAGGTCTTCTAGTCCATCCCACCCCCCGCTCAAGTAGGAGACCCTACTATTATTATTATTATTATTTCAGACAAGTGACTCTCTAGTCTCTTCTTAAAAGCCTCCAGCGTTGGAGCATTCACCACTTCTGGAGGCAAGTCGTTCCACTGGTTAATTGTTCTCACTGTTAGGAAATTTCTCGTTAATTCCAGATTGCTTCTCGCCTTGATTAGTTCCCATCCGTTGCTTCTTGTCCTGCCTTCAGGTGCTCTGGAGAATAAGCTGACCCCCCCCCCTTCTTTTGTTTCAGCCCCTAAAATACTGGAAGACCGCTATCATGTTGTTTCCCCGCCCCCCAAGTCCTTTTTTTCTCCACACTGGCCATCCCCAATTCCTGCAACCGTTCTTCCTATGTTTTAGTCCACAGGCCTTCAAACGCCTTAATTGCTCTTCTCTGCACTTCTAGATACCCAGCCTCTGATCCTGATTCTTAACAACAGCCCAATCTGCTGCCAGTTTTGCAGTCTCCTTCCTCTCTGAAACTGGAATTTTCTCTAAACAGTCCCCCACCCTTCTTTTCTGTTTTGGCTGATTTTGCACAAACAAACTTCGTTTGGGGCTTTGCTTTCCAGATGCAACGGACTCATCTCCCATTCTTCTACAATGCCACGTCATTAAATGCTGGACGAATCCAAAGAATGAAATCTCTTCTTACCTGGGGCCCAAGCAGAAAGCTCCTCGCTGGTCCGGGGTACGGCCCACAGCTGGCCACAGAGGCTGAAGAGCAAAAGGCAGCACCAGCCCAGCTTCCCCATTATTTGCACCCAACCTTTGGTGTGTCTGGAGTTCCCTGCGTGCCGTTGCGTATCTCCAGAGGTTTTCCCACCTTGGGCTTATATGCTGTAGCCCACCTGTGACCTCATCACGTCCGTGGTCTCCGCCCCACCCCAAAATTCTCCAACCAACGTATTGTCCGTTGACAAGAAACACAAACAACATCTTGGGCACTGAGGTCATCCTTCAAAGTCGCTTCATAGACCATAAATTGTCTCCTTGCGTGGTGGACAAAGCGAGTGGAGGAGGGTGGGGGAGGGAGAGAGAGAGAGAGAGAGAGTCCAAAAAAAAAAAAAGTTTATAAATCGGGCATAAAAATCAGAGAGTACCTTTGGGTGATCAATCACCAGCTAATGAAAACATCGGACGTCATTTGAAATGGCCAGTGCATCGAAACGGCTGATTTATGAAGCTGGGCAAGCTTGACGCAAGTCATCCAACCAGATATGGATATGTGCTGGGAGATGGATGGGGGAGATGCCCTGTTGTGTTGGAGGCACCCGTGCCAAGAGAGTAAGATGAGCAAGGAATTAAGCAGCCATTCCCAGCTCTCCGTTCTTGTCTCCCTACGGAAAAAGTCAGGATTACATCTATGGGCTGCGTATATGTCCTGGTTGACTGGCCTTGGGAACGGGACCCTGAACGTGAAGGTCACCAGGTAAAAGGGAGGCTGGGACATGGTATCAAACAGGACAAATGTCGCACAGGGGCCAGTTTTTGCTGACCCACAAAGCCTGCTCAGATATGGAGCACTGTGGAAGACACTAAGAGGGAAGGAGACACGGCCTTCACTCAGGAGGTGAAAAAATATAAAGAACGCTGCTGGAATTGGGGATGTCTAGTTTAAGGAAAAGAAGGACTGGGGGGGGGGACAGGATAGCAGCCTTCCAGTATTTGAGGGGCTGCCCCCAAAGAAGAGAGAGTCAACCTGTTCTCCAAAGCCCCTGAGGGCAGGGCAAGAAGCAACGGATGGGAACTAATCAAGGAGAGAAGCAACCTGGAATGAAGGAGAAACTTCCTGACAATTAGAACAATTAACCAGTGGAACAACTTGCCTCCTGAAGTTGTGGGCGTTCCAACACTGGAGCTTTTTAAGAAGAGACTGGACAGCCATTTGTCTGAAATGGTATAGGGTCTCCTGCTTGAGCAGGGGGTTGGACTAGAAGACCTCCAAGGCCCCTTCCAGACTCATGAGATTATATGACAGATGGAGGGATGAATGAATGGATGCAATGGCTTCTCTTCTATTCTACTCTACTCTACTCTATTCTATTCTCTATTTCTATTCTATTCTATTTAGTTCTGTTCTGTTCTATTCTTTATTCTATTCTACTCTTTAATTCCATTCCATTCCATTCCATTCTATTCTATTCTCTATTTCTATTCTCTATTTCTATTCTATTTAGTTCTGTTCTATTCTTTATTCTATTCTACTTTTTAATTCTATTCTATTCTATTCTATTCTAATTCTAATTCTATTCTATTCTATTCTAATTCTTAATAGAATAGAATTGAATTGAATTAGAATTGAATTGAATTAGAATAAAATAGAATTAAAATAGAATTGAATTGAATTAGAATAGAATTAAAATAGAATAGAATTGAATTGAATTGAATTAGAATAGAATTGAATTAGAATAGAATAGAATTAAAATAGAATAAAATAGAATTGAATTGAATTAGAATTGAATTGAATTAGAATAGAATAGAATTAAAATAGAATAGAATTAAAACAGAATAGAATAGAATTGAATTGAATTAGAATAGAATTAGAATAGAATAGAATAGAATAGAATAGAATTAAAATAGAATTGAATTGAATTAGAATTGAATTGAATTAGAATAGAATAGAATTAAAATAGACTAGAATTGAATTGAATTAGAATTGAATTAGAATAGAATAGAATAGAATTAAAATAGAATTGAATTGAATTAGAATTGAATTGAATTAGAATAGAATTAGAATTGAATTGAAAGAATAGAATTGAATTGAATTAGAATAGAATTAGAATAGAATAGAATTAGAATAGAATAAAATTGAATTAGAATAGAATTGAATTAGAATAGAATAGAATAAGAATAGAATATAATTACAATAGAATAGAATTAAAATAGAATAGAATAGAATAGAATTGAATTAGAATTGAATTGAATTAAATAGAATAGAATTAAAATAGAATAGAATAGAATAGAAATAGAATAGAATTGAACTGAATTAGAATAGAATAGAATTGAATTAGAATAGAATTGAATTAGAATAGAATAGAATAGAATTAGAATAGAATAGAACAGAATTAAATTAGAATAGAATTAGAATAGAATTGAATTGAATTGAATTAGAATAGAATTGAATTAGAATTGAATTAAAATAGAATTGAATTGAATTAGAATAGAATTGAATTAGAATTGAATTAGAAGAGAATTGAATTGAATTAAAATAGAATAGAATTAAAATAGAAAAGAATAGAATTAAAATAGAATAGAATTGAATTGAATTAGAATAGAATAGAATTAGAATAGAATAGAATAGAATTGAATTGAATTAGAATAGAATAGAATTAGAATAGAATAGAATTAAAATAGAATTGAATTGAATTGAATTAGAATAGAATTGAATTAGAATAGAATTGAATTGAATTAGAATAGAATTGAATTGAAATAGAATAGAATAGAATTAGAATAGAATAGAATTGAATTGAATTAGAATAGAATAGAATTAGAATAGAATAGAATTAAAATAGAATAGAATTGAATTGAATTGAATTAGAATAGAATTGAATTAGAATAGAATTGAATTGATTAGAATAGAATTGAATTGAAATAGAATAGAATAGAATTAGAATAGAATTAGAATAGAATAGAATAGAATTGAATTGAATTAGAATTGAATTAGAATAGAATTAGAATAGAATAGAATTGAATTGAATTAGAATAGAATTGAATTGAATTAGAATAGAATTGAATTGAAATAGAATAGAATAGAATTAGAATAGAATAGAATAGAATAGAATAGAATAGAATTGAATTAGAATTGAATTAGAATAGAATTGAATTAGAATAGAATAGAATTAGAATAGAATTAGAATAGAATTGAATTGAAATTAGAATAGAATTGAATTAGAATTGAATTAGAATAATTAGAATAGAATTGTATTGAATTAGAATTGAATTAGAATAGAATAGAATAGAATAGAATTAAATTAGAATAGAATTAGAATAGAATTGAATTGAATTGAATTAGAATAGAATTGAATTAGAATTGAATTAAAATAGAATTGAATTGAATTAGAATAGAATAGAATTAAAATAGAAAAGAATAGAATTAAAATAGAATTGAATTGAATTAGAATAGAATAGAATTAAAATAGAATAGAATTGAATTGAATTAGAATAGAATAGAATTAGAATAGAATAGAATAGAATTGAATTGAATTAGAATGGAATAGAATTGAATTAGAATAGAATTGAATTGAAATAGAATAGAATAGAATTAGAATAGAATTAGAATAGAATTGAATTGAACTAGAATTGAATTAGAATAGAATTGAATTAGAATAGAATAGAATTGAATTAGAATAGAATAGAATTGAATTAGAATAGAATTGAATTGAAATAGAATAGAATAGAATTAGAATAGAATAGAATAGAATTGAATTGAATTAGAATTGAATTAGAATAGAATTGAATTAGAATAGAATTGAATTAGAATAGAATTGAATTGAATTAGAATAGAATAGAATTAGAATAGAATAGAATTGAATAGAATTGAATTAGAATAGAATTGAATTAGAATAGAATTGAATTGAATTAAAATAGAATAGAATTAAAATAGAAAAGAATAGAATTAAAATAGAATAGAATAGAATTGAACTGAATTAGAATAGAATTGAATTAGAATTGAATTGAATTAAATAGAATAGAATTAAAATAGAATAGAATAGAATAGAAATAGAATAGAATTGAACTTAATTAGAATAGAATAGAATTGAATTAGAATAGAATTGAATTAGAATAGAATAGAATAGAATTAGAATAGAATATAATTACAATAGAATAGAATTAAAATAGAATAGAATAGAATAGAATTGAATTAAATTAGAATAGAATTAGAATAGAATTGAATTGAATTAGAATAGAATTGAATTAGAATTGAATTAGAATAGAATTGTATTGAATTAGAATTGAATTAGAATAGAATAGAATTAAATTAGAATAGAATTAGAATAGAATTGAATTGAATTGAATTAGAATAGAATTGAATTAGAATTGAATTAAAATAGAATAGAATTGAATTAGTATAGAATAGAATTAGAATAGAATAGAATAGAATAGAATTACAATAGAATAGAATTAAAATAGAATAGAATAGAATAGAATTGAATTAAATTAGAATAGAATTAGAATAGAATTGAATTGAATTAGAATAGAATTGAATTAGAATTGAATTAGAATAGAATTGTATTGAATTAGAATAGAATTAGAATAGAATAGAATTAAATTAGAATAGAATAGAATTGAATTGAATTAGAATAGAATTGAATTAGAATTGAATTAAAATAGAATTGAATTGAATTAGAATAGAATTGAATTAGAATTGAATTAGAATAGAATTGAATTGAATTAAAATAGAATAGAATTAAAATAGAAAAGAATAGAATTAAAATAGAATTGAATTGAATTAGAATAGAATAGAATTAAAATAGAATAGAATTGAATTGAATTAGAATAGAATAGAATTAGAATAGAATAGAATAGAATAGAATAGAATTGAATTAGAATAGAATAGAATTAGAATAGAATAGAATAGAATAGAATTGAATTGAATTAGAATAGAATAGAATTAGAATAGAATAGAATAGAATAGAATAGAATTGAATTAGAATAGAATTGAATTAGAATAGAATAGAATTGAATTGAATTAGAATAGAATTGAATTGAATTAGAATAGAATTGAATTGAAATAGAATAGAATAGAATTAGAATAGAATAGAATAGAATTGAATTGAATTAGAATTGAATTAGAATAGAATTGAATTAGAATAGAATAGAATAGAATTAAAATAGAATAGAATAGAATTAGAATAGAATTGAATTAGAATAGAATTGAATTAGAATATAATTGAATTAGAATAGAATTGAATTGAAATAGAATAGAATTAAAATAGAATTAGAATAGAATTAGAATAGAATAGAATTGAATTGAATTAGAATAGAATTGAATTGAATTAG